ATGCAGTTGGGTGTTCATCCATGGACGTGCCCCGTTAACTATCTCCTAACCTTCTGTTGGATCGGTTATCTATTGGATGGAGCGAACGAATAGACGAATAGACGGAGCCCCTAACAGGGATGCTTGGGAATCAAACAAAGAAAGTACTCGCACGTATCAACTGTGGCGCTTCCGGTAGCGGCTAGGCCTTGGCTAGGAGATGTGACAGCTGAGTCTTTGTTCTTTCATTATCAGTATGGCCTGTTGCTCATTTGACAGAAGTAAAGTGGATGTGTAGATGTTGACGTTTATACATCCACGTCGCACGAGCCGCGGAGGCTTGGCATGGACTCGGAGGAAACGAATAGGCACGGGGCGATTAGTGGTCTAAGCGTGAGGATTATGCAAGATGATAGGCGTGATGAAGTCATGCATTGCCTTTAACTGTGAAGTAGCAGTTTGTTAGCTTTGTTAGCTTTGTCGACTAGGCCTTGGCCGTTGAGCCAGTACGGTATCTGTCACTCGTGAAGACCAATCGCCGAGCTGTAAACATCCAACTGATGAACTTGGGGCATAAAAAATAAAGATGCTGCGGTGTGTAATGGCGCCTAAATCGATCTCACTGCAGAGTGGAGGGTGACACATATATCGAGCTTAACAGGAAAGTTCATACTGAAACGGGGGTAACATATTAGTAGACTGGAACGACAGACACGCGGCGGTCAACACGAAGCATGATGAATCGCGCCAGACAGATGTAGCAAGCCGAAAAGGGAACCCCGGCAGTGTCTTGAATATAGTACGGAGGAGATGAAAGGAAACACAAGACAATACACACCTAAGGCGCCACGATATAGATAGAGACCTGCTAAGAGGCGTACTAAGAGCACTACACGCCATTGGAGATATTCGGATCACCTGATCGGCATCAAGCGGCCGCGGAAGCCGTTCCGACAATAGCTCATTTTCACAAACGCGCCACATGCAAAGCTCCTTTCTTTTGACGCTCGAGAGCCAGGAGAAAGTTTCTCGGTAGTTCTCCGACCGGCGGAAAGTAATGATAGATACGTTCTGTGCTGGCCGTGTACCCTTGGCGAGTGTCGGCGACTTATACTTCAGGGGCTCCATGATAAATGATAAACATTGTTCAGGAGTGGTAATCAACAGGATATCGACATTAAGATTGAGCTTCAGTTGATCGAAAAAAGTGAAGTTTAATTGGTATAGATCATCCCAGGGAGGAGGCAGGGGACAACCAACCGGAGCTGTCAGACCGCCAAGGAACCTCGGAATTGTCCATTAGCATCAGTCGTATGATGTGATACTGAGACGGATAGCTTCTAGCACATAGAGCTATGCGATCGTAGACAAACAACGCGTCGGAATAGGTTGAGATTCATTATCCAAGACGTGATGAAGTGTCAAATGCGCCCTCTTCTAATGGCTAGGCCTGTTTTCTGACATGATGTTACCAATAATAAATCTGGAATGGTCGGAGACATTGCCGTGGAAGTATTTGCCTATTCCGGAGTGGAGGTTGTAACATGGCGAGAACTCGGTTATTAGTGAGATGGCCTGAGGAACATTCGAACTCACGACCAATGAACTTGGCACATTTGCAATAAGTCGTGAATGTCTAGAAATGGCGATTTTGTCAGCTCTGTAGCTTGCTAATAAGACTTCCATCGAACGTCGGAACCCATCGCACCTCGGCGCACTCCGCCAATAAAAATACCGCCAGGCAGATCAACTCACGTAAGGACATAGAAGACTTCCCCGCACCCCAGACCGGGCTACTTAGTGAGCTGTGCCAATAGAAAGCTGCAGGAGTCCCTGTAAGGTCGGTCGTGGATAGAGTAATATCCCGTTCGTTATTGGGTCGGAAACGGTAGGCGAATTATTTAAACTGCGGGGAACCCATCCCTCGCCTCTTTTTTCTCTTCTTCACTCAACAATCATATTAATTCATCATGGGTGAATGTCCTGTGGCACACAAGAAGAGTAATGTGGCGGGTGGCGGTACTCGGTATGGTTCTTTCTGAAGTGGCGAAATCCAAGCTTGACGCCACTCCCCATTTATCTTGGGTGCATGAGAGGCTGATTGTATACAGAAACACTGACTGGTGGCCGAATGCCTTGAAGCTCGGCATCCTCCGCCAGCACACCGATGCCACAAATCCCCACGGCAAGGATTTCGATTATGCCGCTGCTTTCAAGACCCTCGACTACTGGGGCCTCAAGAAGGATCTCCATGCTCTCATGACCAGCTCCAATGATATCTGGCCTGCTGATTTCGGCCATTATGGCGGTCTTTTCATTCGTATGGCTTGGCACAGCGCCGGTACCTATCGTGTTTTCGATGGCCGTGGTGGTGGTGGCCAGGGCCAGCAACGATTTGCTCCCCTCAACTCGTGGCCCGACAACGTTTCGCTGGATAAGGCCCGCCGTCTCTTGTGGCCTATCAAGCAGAAGGTGAGCAATCGAACACCCAGAGGAGCATAAGAAAGACCTTGGTGCTAATACAATATATAGTATGGCAACAAAATCTCATGGGCTGATCTTCTGCTCCTGACTGGCAATGTCGCTCTGGAGTCCATGGGTTTCCAGACCTTCGGATTCGCTGGTGGCCGCCCTGATGTCTGGGAAGCTGATGAGTCTGTGTACTGGGGTAGCGAGAATGTCTGGTTCACCAACGAGGCTCGCTACGAGCCTGAAAACCCCGAGGAGAAGGCTAAGCAGAGCGACATCAAGACTCGTGACCCCGAGGATCCGCTAGCTGCGGTCGTCATGGGTTTGATTTACGTCAACCCGGAGGGTCCCGATGGGAATCCCGATCCCATTGCTGCTGCCCGCGATATCCGGATCACCTTCGGCCGCATGGCCATGAACGACGAGGAGACTGTCGCCCTGATTGCTGGTGGACACACCTTCGGAAAGACCCACGGTGCTGCCCCCGCTGACAATGTTGGCAAGGAACCTGAGGCTGCTGGTATTGAGCAGCAAGGTCTGGGATGGAGCAACGCCTACGGTTCTGGAAAGGGTCCTGATGCCATCACCAGTGGTTTGGAAGTGACCTGGACCAAGACTCCCACTAAGTGGAGCAACGACTTCCTCGAGTACCTGTTCAAGTTCGACTGGGAGCTCACCAAGTCTCCGGCTGGTGCTAACCAGTGGGTTGCCAAGAATGCCGACGATATCATTCCCGATGCCTACGACGCCAACAAGAAGCACAAGCCTCACATGCTGACCACTGATCTTGCTCTGCGCTTCGACCCGACCTATGAGAAGATCTCTCGTCGCTTCCTCGAGAACCCCGGCCAGCTTGCCGATGCATTCTCCCGTGCTTGGTTCAAGCTGCTGCACCGTGACATGGGCCCCCGTGCCCGCTGGTTGGGTCCTGAGATCCCTAAGGAGGTCCTCCTCTGGGAAGACTCCGTCCCCTCCCCCACCTATGCTCTGATCGACAACGGCGATATCTTTAACCTGAAGAACGAGATCCTCTCATCTGGTGTTGAGCCTACCAAGTTCATTTCTACTGCTTGGGCTTCCGCTTCCACTTTCCGTGGCGGTGACAAGCGCGGTGGTGCCAATGGTGCTCACATTCGTCTTGCCCCCCAGAAGGATTGGGATGTCAATAACCCTGCCCAGCTCCGCGAAGTCCTCAGTGTCCTGGAGAAGATCCAGAGCCGCTTCAACAGCGCCCAGGCCGGCGAGAAGCGCGTCTCCATCGCTGATCTGATCGTTCTCGCCGGGTCTGCCGCCCTCGAGAAGGCCTCGGGTATCCCAGTTCCATTCATTCCCGGCCGCAACGACGCCACCCAGGAACAAACCGACGTCGAGTCCTTCCAATGGCTCCGACCCTTCGCCGACGGCTTCCGCAACTACGGTAACTCTACCCGCCGTGTGCGCACCGAGCAGCTCCTCGTCGACAAGGCTCAGCAGCTGACTCTCTCCGCCCCCGAACTGACCGTCCTCGTCGGAGGTCTCCGAACCCTGAACGCCAACTGGGACGGCTCCGCCCACGGTGTCTTCACCTCCCGCCCCGGCCAACTCAGCAACGACTTCTTTGTCAACCTGCTTGACATGAACACCGTCTGGAAGCCCACCGGCGCTGACAGTGAATACTTCGAGGGCTTCGACCGCAAGACCGGCGCCAAGAAGTGGTCCGCTACCCGCGTGGATCTCATCTTCGGTCACCACGCCGAGCTCCGTGCCCTTGCTGAGCTGTACGGTAGCTTCGATGCCCTTGATAAGTTCAAGAAGGACTTTGTTGCGGCTTGGGACAAGGTTATGAACTTGGACCGTTATGATATCCCTACATTCCCTGCTGTCACTGGTCGTCCTCGCCTGTGAAGTATGAGTTGATTTATGACTTTGTGTTTCATAGTGTTACTTTAGCTGAAATGATATTTCAAAATTGTTCCACTCATATATGGTTACTCCAATACCCCGTGCTTAGTCAATTCTATGATAGAGAAAGAGGTCGCCAGTTCATATTCACGCCTTGTCTGTCAGGCAACAACCTGCGATCTTGGCGCCTCGTCAACGCCTAATGCCATCGGGACGTTGTCTTTGGCGCTCTTCAAAAAATCCGTCTCTATTTATAAATCTAATTACCAAATGCGTTTCCTGCGCTTGAGCAAACAGGCAAATATACAACATACAACATGGCCAACCATGGCATTTTCACCCACGCAGCCCACCGACCCCCTATGAAAACAACGCTACGCACGACACTAACATAACGAAAAGGGAACTCCCGCGTTAAGCGAAATGACCACAGCAGGTTTCACCCTTGACCAAGTATCGTGAACAACTACGCTTTTCTCCAGACCATCCGACCCTCAGGGGATTCCAACCAATTACCAATAATTGGAGAACCTCTTGTCAAACTCTTTCACAGATCCTTCCGGCCGAGCGCCGTGCGGAGCCTCTGCGGCTCTGTCTCGGAAATTTAAAGAGCTGCATCGCTTGCGATTGTGATTACTCGCATCCGCATCATATTGTGTTAACGAGACATCATGCAGAATCAGGATAACCCATTCGGGGGCCCGATGGATCATGGATCGAAGACTACTATTTCTGATGACTCTACTGGACGGCGGACTCAGACTGGGAGTTGTCCTGGGAAGTCAGCGAATCGCGGTTCGAGGGGTATGGATGCACTTTTTGGATTAAAGCCGAGCACGGATACACCGCCAGCGTTTGTGGCTCAGTCTTCGCATACTGGTGGACTATTTGGATCATCGGAAAGGACGGCACAACACAGTGCCTTATTCGGACCATCAGCGGGGACGGCGAATCTGACGCCAAACCCTTTCGCACCTGATATGCCCGGGCTGCAGCAGGACGGCGTGCCTTTTGGATCACCAGCAACGACAGTGTCAAATCCTCCTCGGGCACGGCCAAATGGTGGACTTTTCGGGCAGTCACCGAGCACTGCGCTAACGCCTGCTACATATCCTACTCCTAAAGGTGGGGGTCTCTTTGGGACTGGAGTTTTCGGGCAGTCACCAAGCACTGCGCCAACGCTTACTACATATGCTACTCCTCAAGGCGAGGGCCTCTTTGGGGCGTCGAACAGTGCACCAAAGCCTCCCATTGAGCAAAAGCATCGTGGGTTTTACGGACCACCAAAGACAAATATGCCAGGCCCCGGTCGATTTATGGGTGGTCCACCTTTTAGTGAAGTGGCTCATTCAAATGTGCCCAAAAAGCCACAAACACTCCTTCAGGCCATCAACCTCAACGCGATTGACTCAGTTCAAGAATTGCTGCCTCTCGCTAATCCACAAGAACTTGATGAAGCAATGGATGCTGTGGCAAGCAAAGGAGATGTAGCTATGATGAAGTTGCTTCTGAGTTCCTCCCATGTGAACGTGGATTGTACCTCCAATGATACTCCTCTCTTCCGCGCAGCGCTTGGGCATCACCTTGAAGCAATGAAGTTACTTCTGGACCACGGCGCTGATCCAAATAAAGGGTCCAGAGGGTTGCGATCCCGAGGCTGCATTATGGTCGTCATTCCTAGAGAGTTATCTACGCCATTGCATGCAGTTGCGGGATTCGACACTCTAACAGGTGTCAATACACGCCCTGCATCCACGAAGCCAGCAGAGACCCAAAAGCGCGCCCAAGAGTGTTGTCAATTGCTTCTGGATGCTGGCTGCGACCCAAATATTCGGGGCTATGATGATAACACGCCTCTCCATTTCTGTGCAGGCAGTAACCTGTTCATGGTGGCGGAAACGCTTTTAAAGCATGGCGCAAACCCCTTTCCTGCCAATAACGTGGGTCTCATTCCTCTCGCACTAGTTCAGCCTCCAGTTCAGCCAGGTGCGGATAGCGACAGTATGGCCATGATTCAGCTTTTCACGAAACTTGGACGAAGAATGGATACAGCTTGTGGGACGGATGGAAGCACCCCTCTCCATCATCAGTTCCGATCCCGGCATGATATGGATCTGGGCCGCTTAGCCCCTTATGTGACTGATTGGAGCGTTGCCAATAAAAAGGGAGAAACTGTCTTGCATCAAATTATGAGCTGGACGCCTTTGCCGGCATACAGAATGGTGGCAGATTTGATCAAATTGGGGGCCGATGTACGATGCAAAGACAATCAGGGCCTTCAGCCGATACATCGTATCATAAGTCGCTATAATCCCGAGCTTTTGCTAGGCCAAGGACCTATAATTCGGCTTCTTCTTGGTGCTGGAGCTAACCTGGACGCAAAAGACTCACAAGGCAGAACTCCTTTACATCATTTGATTATAAAAACAAGCACGAAAACTGATGGACATGAAGTTGTCTGCGATTTCATCAGAGAATTCAATCCTGACATCCACGCTGTCGATAACGATGGAAATGGTGTACTCCATTTTGTGGTACGGGAAGGGCCATTAGGCTTCCCGAACCATCTCGGTCTATGGTCACCTGCCATATTGACAGGGTTGGTGCATTTGGGCGCCGATCCACTTCTCGTGAATCATTCTGGTGAAACCCTGATGCATATCCTGATGAGCTGCAATTACACAAAAGCTGGAAACCTCCCACACAACATCCTTCAATTGTTGTTTGACTACGGGATTCCAAGTACACACGAAGACAAAGATGGAAACACCCCTCTACACACTCTTTGCTCAACACGATTGAACTCAGACAGCTCTGACTGGCCGGATGACGAAGGCATCGAGCTCTTACTTTCCTCTGGCAATCTCGATTTCCTCCAATCCCCAAATAGCGCGGGTGTAGAGCCAATCCATCTCGCCGCTGCCAATTCAAAATCCCTTGTGTCTAAGCTCGTTGCCAGAGGTGTTTCAACTTCCAACCAAACATTGTCGAAGCGAAATGTTTTGCACTTTGCTGCATCAGCACGGGAGGCCAACAATATTGGTCTGCTTATCGATGACTGTCGGGGAAAGCTCACCTTGGGCTCGCTTCTCAACCAACGCGATTATAACGGCCATACACCCCTCCACGAAGCTTGCCAATCCGGGTCTATGGAATGTGTGCGTCTTCTTGTTGGAGCTAGGGCGGAACTTGATGTCCAAGATAACACAGGCGCCACACCTCTGGATCTATGTCACAATCTTATTGACCAAGTTGAAGAAGCTAGCGTTAACCTTTGGGAGAATCAACGCACCCGAGCGAGCCTCTTCCAAGACACTCGTATCTGTTGTGAACCCAACTCGCAACCTAATGATGCTGGCCAGATGATGGAAATCATCTGCTTCCTCGAACAAACCATGGGCCACGAACCACGATTAAGGGGAGATTACGATCTTGACGTTGGTAGTCTCCCATTCCATTACCCATTGTCGCGTGTCACATCTATATTTCTTCGAGGGCATTATGGAGTCATCAAGAAATGCATCGAGTCAGCCATCGCGTTTCCTCTTGGCTCTGGAATGTCCGGATCAGTCCACCAATCCCAACAGAAAAGTACCGACCTGCTTTCCCAGCTAGTCATTGGCGGATATGTCTTTTTGTTTCACATGATCGCTGAATCGCTTAAGGACAAAGACTGGCTACACGGTTTGAGCGGTGTACCTCCGTACCTCTTCACTGCAGCCACACGAAGTGAACCAAATATGGAAATACTACGTCTACTGGTGGAGAAATATGGCGCCAATGTGAATGCAAAAGGCCAACTCTGGAATTGTATCTGGGGCTATCATGACTATGGTGCCCTGCATATGCTGGCTCGGGGTTACAACTGGTGGCAGAATAGAGCATTGCAATACTTGCTGGAGAAGGGTGCTGATCCAAATCTGAAGGATGGCTATGGGAGGACACCACTGCGGTTGGCTGTGATTAGCCTGATTAACGGTGCTCCTTTTAGCAAGGATATTATTAGGTCTTTGCTGGATAAAGGCGCTGACCCAAATATTGCAGATGATCAGGGTCTTGGGCCTTTGGATGAGGAAATTGGTGACTCTGAGGTTGTTGATCTTCTCAACAAGGCGAGAAATGGATCCGAGCCAATCTAGGTGGAGTTATCGCTATCAGCAATATGGACCTACGTCAGCTTAGGAAGTTTTGCACGGATGCTGAATCTCTAGCTATATACTTGTTGCGGTTAAACAACATCCCTACGCAGCTCTTTATTGTGTTTATATACAACAGGGGCCATCAGTCCTTTCACACCTCCCCTTTGTGTAAGCTATATGAATAACCCGAGACACTCGAAAACAGGCTAAAATGAGGTGAAAAAAAGAGAGGCGCAGTAACGTTAGGGCGAAAACAATGCATGAAACGGTATACTCGCTTCGAGGCTTTCGTGTAGAAGCTGTCTAATACTTCATGGCAATGCGTACACATTGATAACCCTGCTGTATTTGCTTCCTAACTTTCATTTCCAGATTACATAGCTCGCTATACAGCTTTGATAGCATATTGTCTCAATATGCAACATTCCCGACCGTAAGCAATACGAAAGTTTTATACGATGTCAGATGCAAACCAGTAATCCCGTGAAACAGCGGGATTGTGCGCAAATGTCCGCAAATCAGCGGGTTTAGTCTGTGCTGTCACAAACTATTTAAAAAGATCCCTCTGTGTTACGCAACTCTCGAGTTCACTTTTCTCCCACGAACACAGCAGAATGGCACCTCTGAAAGTTCTCATCGTTGGAGGAGGCGTTGCAGGTCCCGCTCTGGCCTTCTGGCTATCTCGTATTGGGCATCAAGTCATCGTCGTTGAACGATTCCCCGCCTTGAGAGCCTTAGGCGCCCAAATCGATCTTCGGGGACAGGGTATCGAGGCTGCCAAGCGCATGGGGCTTATTGAGGCCATTCGCAGCAAACTTGTCGACGAGGAGGGGATGTCCTTCGTTGATACCAATGGAAAAGTCAAAGGAACCATTCCGGCCAATAAGTCGGGGAAAGGAGCACAATCTCTGACCTCTGAGTATGAGATTATGCGAGGAGATCTTGTTCGAATTTTCTACGAAGCAACAAAAGACAGAGTACAATATATCTTTGGCAAAACGGTTGATCGTTTCACACAAGATGACGAAAAAGTCACCGCGCAGTTCTCGGATGGCACAACCGACACGTTTGATATTCTCGTTGGAGCCGACGGCCAGGGCTCACGAATCCGAAAAGACATCTTACCCCCTGATTCCCCAGATCCGTATCGCCCACTGGGGTTGCACATGGCTTACTGGTTCATTCCTCGAGACGAAACTGACAGTAGCATTTGCAGCTCCTACCTCAGCCCCGGCGGCCGAATGATCATGCGAAGAAGTCACAGTGCCACCGAATCGAATGTGTGTTTCTTCCTGAGATCGGCCTCCGATGAATTGCGAAGTATCCCAAGAGCATCGATCGAACAACAAAAGGAGTTCTGGACGCAGAAATTCCGCGGCGCGGGATGGCAAACCGACCGCTTCCTGGAGGGCATGAAGACGACCGAAAATTGGTTTTGTCTAGATCTCGTCCAAATCAGAACAGACACCTGGCATTCGGGCCGGGTTGTACTTCTCGGTGATGCGGCGCATTGCCCTTCTCCACTGACCGGCATGGGAACTACCAGCAGCTTAGTGGGAGCATATGTTCTGGCTGGCGAGATCGCGCGCAATAGCGATGATATGTCTCAGGCATTTAGAACATATAACGAGAAACTTCGACCGTTGGTCAATGAGGTTCAGGATGTCAACCTGTTGTTGCTGAGATTGGCTGTTCCGGACTCCCAGTGGGCGATCTCTATTATCCACTTTATCTTTGGGATCATCTGTTTCTTTCGGATACCTGAGCTTATATCCCGTTTCTCGAATGATAGAGATGGAGGCTGGAAATTGCCTGATTATCCAGAGCTGGAACTGGGTGATGAAACTGCTGCACCCAGAGGTCACGGACCGCTATGAAAACACATGCCTTTCCTTCACAAAATGTATGAATTTTTGGTTGATATCTCTGGCCCCTAAGGCTTCTTCGAACGGCAATGTTCTTCTGAACATCCACTACATCGTTAGTATCCTAGTCCCTTTCTCGTGGATAATTTAACCTTCGGTACGCGAAGTCATGGATTATATGATCTCTGTGATTTCCAGTCGGTCAATGTCTCAGGCGTCGTCGATTCGAACTTCTTTTTGAAACCAAAATAGTTCGTAAATATGCCCGATCTTCAATGCGCGTTCCTCCACATCTCTGTTCCAAGCATCGTTATTCCATGTGATTGTTGCGATACGTTAACGAGACATACCAATTTTCAATATATCAGACCCCATTTCGATTCTCTGCTGCTGATGGTCCTCATACATCATGTCGCCTTCTACTACCTCGCCACGCGAACTCCCTTCGCGGCCTGATTTGCTCTCCTTTGGTCCCATAGTTGAAGGAATCCCAACTTCTCACTCAAAGTGCCCATGCACCAAGATGAAACAGGAAACCAAAGTTCTGTGGAGTCGCTTTTTCTGGATTGAACCAAGTCCACGTTATCCAAAGCTGCTTAGTGCGGCTGTGAACTAGAACAGCTTCGGGCTGGATCCGCAGAGACCATTATTGTGCGCAAACCTCGCCCGATTTGGAGTACCAGACACTCGAAACGCAACTGTCAATCTCCTTGAAAGTAGGAAGATGCCGGACCAAATGCTCTCAACTACCTGCGTGGCATCGAGCAGCTTGACAAGGCGGTGGGTTGCATTGACGATACGTACCATGCTCAACAACGTTACATCGATCTGGCTTCGTACTTTGATGCCATTCTTCACCCTGACCTGGTTTGGAATACCCAAAGTGGCTATAAATCTCCTTCGGAAATCGATTGAATTGCTCGTCAACTGGCAACAAAGTTGAGCCTATGTTACAGTACCGGAAGTTGAGAATCGCTGTTTTGCTCTAGTGTTGCAGAGTGCGCGCGTTTTCCTGCTTTGTTTTCTTTTTTTCCTTTCTCAATACTCTACGCGTAAATTTTTTTTTTTTTTTTCAACATTTAGTATCTCTTTCACGTGCAACACGATTGTTACTTATCCAGAATTCAATTCAATTTTTATGTGCTTCACGCAGCATCGATCCATCGCATTTATAATCTATATAGTCGTGTAAATACCGATCTAAAGGCGGAGGACTATTTTTCCTATTTGTTTACCCTGCCAGACATGCTCGACAGCATCATCAGCCTGCTCGAATGGGAAGACCTTATCAACTAGATCATTTAGTGGTGTTTGGGCTGCCTCGAGAGCAGCGCAAAAGTCTTCCATATCGAACTTGGAACCAGCATTTATGCCCCTATCATACATTAGTTTTCGCTGTCTGACAGCCGAGTAACAATATCTCACCTGAGATTGATTCTCCTATCAATTATAGTTGGGACCAGTTCCCGTAGGTCATTGGGATCCTGTTTAGAAAGATATCCGACCTGACTGACCACACCCCCGCGTCGAGTACACCTCATACTCTTGACCAAGGACCCGGTTCCGCCATTTTCAACAACGATATCGACACCAGTGCCTCCGGTAAGCTTCATAACTTCCTGATCCCAGTCAGGTATCTTGGAGTAGTTGACAGTCAAAATTGGTGGATGCGAGAACTTTTCTTTCATTTGCTGAAGCTTCGCGTCACTCGAGGAAGTCAAAATCACTCGAAGGCCTGCAGCCCTTGCAAGTTTGAGTGCGAAAACACTGACACCACCGGTTCCTAATTCATCAGTGATAATCCGTGCCAGATACAGATATGCATACCTTGAATCAACACGGTCTGTCCAATACTCATGCCCTTCAGCGCCGACCAAGCAGTGACTCCCGCACAAGGGATTATCGAAGCATCGACCCAGTCGAGGTAGGTTGGGAGTTTGCATAAAACGCGCTCGTCAAAAATGATATGATCCGCCATTACCCCATCCTCATCTGCAGCCAGCCACGACCGCTTCGCCTCACGACCCGAAATATTCTCCGTGTCCGTGATAGGCCCGACCCGATCACCCACTACCAAGGACTTGACCTTCTCGCCGACGGCAATAATCTCGCCCGCGGCGTCATTGCACAGGATACCGTTGGGGATTACTGGCCAAGGGTTTCCGCCATTCGCGATGTTCGCATCGCGGTAGTTGAGACCCACAGCGTGAACCTTGATCAAGACGGCTGTTGGTGAGAGTGGCAGTTGGAGTGCTTCCCGTACAAGCTTGACTTTGGGTGTGCCGGGAGTATAGTCGTCAGTGCGCCGGAAGGCGCGACGTTGGGTCACTGCTGGGCTTGACATTTTTGCGTTGAATAAATTTGATTGATGGTGAACAAAATACTTTAAGAGACTCTATGCACAGACTTTGTGTAGTTTCTTTGTTCCAATCACTGAGTACTTGATTGCTAATCCTCGGATGTACCGACGTCATATTGCAGGGATAAATGACGATCGGGATTGGTCCCGACGTCTACTCTACATAATGCCTCGGGACAGCCGATATGCCCTGACTAGTATATCCCCGCCGGGGAGTAATCGGGATGTTCCGAGTTCAGTAAGGTTATGCGACTTCAACCGTACAAGAATCCGACTATATCCCGCGTATTTTCCCACGATGTTAACTGCTCATCTTCTACCACGCCAACTCAGAGCCATCATGGTCGAGAAACTTCCCGCTCATCTTCTCAGTCGCACCATCAATCTGGTAAGTTGCGAGTCAGTCGCTTCAACCACATTCACATCTCCGTCTTCACTCGATCACACATACCACATTCTTTATTGCACGCGCACTTTCTTCGGGAGCGGCAAAGCGCACTGAAGAAAGATCGAACCCTAAACTCTTTGAGAGCTCGAGACCATCCCGAGCCATATCAGTGTCCACATTTCTAGACGGAGAATGTAATCAGCAAATTTCACGCCCAAGAAGTGATGCTTCAACATGAATACGCACCCGGGATTTTGTGCCCAAATAATCACATCCTTATTGTCCAGCGCCAGCCATTTGAAAAGGAAATTAGCTAGAGCCTTGCTCGCTCCGTACGCGGGGATAGGCACTTAATGTGGAGGTACGAAGTCAGCGCAGTCCCTCAAAGTAAGTGCTTAGATACAAAGCCAGCGTTCTACCCCAGAAGCAGTTAATCTGACAAAACGCACCGACTTAGTGCTAGGACATTACATACTGAAGTTGTACATGGCCGTCAAACTTCCGCCGGCGCTAGAGATCAAGACAAATTTCGCTTTGTTCTCCGCACTGGAAGAGCGTAGAAGAGAGAGAACAGCTTTGAATAGCTCGAACGGGCCGTATGCGTTCACGTCAATGTACTTCTGGAGCTCAGCGACGGGTGCTTCGGCCAGATTGTTGGTCGGCCCAGAGATGCCAGCATTTGCAATGACAATGTCGAGAGCGCCGATGTTGTGCGTCTTCAACGTTTCTATAGCGGTGGCTATCGAGTCTGCCGACGCTATCTCAAGCTTGACGATTAACAGGCTAGATCCTGAGGCCTTGGGAAGAGCAGACAGAGACTCGGAGTTGGATAGGTCGCGGACCGTCGCTATCACCGTAGTGTCTGGAGTAGATAGGTACGTAGCTACGAGTCCTTTACCAAGTCCTGTGAAAACGATGAGAAGGGCACAAGAAAGAGGGACGGGGTTCATACCGCGGTTTCCACCCGTGATCAGGATGGTGGTAGGCATGTTTAATTCGATGCTAGATAGACAAGATGCTAGGTAGTGGGAAATAATATAGGCGGAAACAGAAGGGCCCGAAGGTAGACGACTTGGAGATGAGACTTCAGTGCGGAGCAAGATGATTGCAATGAATGCCTGTGGTGGCTTTTATAGACATCTATTCTATTGTGAAACCTCCCGCCTCCCTTTACTTCCTGCCTCGAAAAGCCTCCGCGGATCGATCACGGGACAATGATATCTCCGATCCAAACTGCGCATTTACATGCGCATATGTGGATGTAGAGGAAGATTGATAGGATATCCCGCTCGGAACGTTGAATTGCCGTGTCAGGTGTGGGACCCAATTCATGGTAGAAGACCAACAGGGCTTACGGCCACCAGCTATCTCGCACTGTTTGTGTGCAACTTTGCGGCCAAGGCTCGACCGCCGCTAGCGGAGGAAGCTTAAAATCCCGCGCCACGCCGCCAAACTCCGCAACATTACCTCATCACCTCTACTCGAGTACGGACTTCACAGAACTCCGCAGGCGACCTACGATGGCAAGCCACTCCCAGGGCTCGCATTAATACTGATGGAAAGTATTTGCTACGATGCCCCCGTCACGCCGGAAGTCTTGTCTTGCATGCGCTCAGTCCAAGCGAAAATGCGACAAAGGACTACCCAAATGCCAACGTTGCCTTGCAAAGAAGGCTCACTGCGAATACAACGGCCGATACCCCGACCAATTGCGGCAAACTACCGGAAGAAATGTAGAAGAAAATGCTGCCTTTGCGGAACCCTTTGCGGGACCCTTTGCGGAGGAACTGTCCGGTGATTGGCAACTGCAGCGAAGTCCCATGCTACCGGCGGCGGCAACACTCTCGCCCTGCATGGATGATGCATTCTTCAACTTTGGCAATAACCCATTCAGCATGGCAAGCATACCACAAGACGGTTTCCTCAGCTCTGCTGTCATCCAAGATATCGTCGCTCAGCAAACCCCAAACGATATCGGGCAGATTACCGCGGATACAACTGCACAGGCTCGCGTAGAGTTTGCAGCAAAGAGGTTAGCTGTGGTTCCGAAAACATTTTGCGAATCAGGGCAAACGATGTTCATCCACCGTCTCTTATTCCAAGAGAGAAACCCTCCGGCTTTACAGGATGCGCTCAGCGCCTGCGCTCTGTATTACATGAAAAACACAGAGAATCAGGGACTAGTATTCCGCAACTTGGAGCACAGACGACAACAGCTGATCGCCAACACTGATCCGCTCCGCGCCTCCAAGATGGATCTCCTTGAAGCGCTGCAAGCGCTGATACTATACCAGATAATAAGACTGTTCGATGGTGACATTCGACTTAGGGCTCAAGCAGAAGCGGACGAGCCAGTTCTCATAATGTGGGCGGCACACCTTAGGTTACGCACACGTCAAGTGCAGCCTTCTCCACCGGCTCCAGCTGAATCGCGACTTCTGCCGGGAACTCCTTTTACGGACTGGCAGCGCTGGCTGATCGAAGAGAGCAGTCGACGGACAGTAATAACAGCGTTCATGTTGAAAGGCGTATACGATTTCTTGAAACTCGGCTACGACACAGTTCCAGACCTACGAATGAGCTTCACGGCCCAAACGGCGCTTTGGAATTCGCAGTCAGAAATTAGTTGGCGAAAAGCGCAAAGCGAGAGGGAGCGGCTCGAAGTGCGGGTGACGCACTGGGATGAGGCAATAGCAAAGGCGAAGCCAGGTGATTTAGAGGAGCTCGGTGTACTGATAATGGCCATGTTAAAGGGTATAGAGGCCACCGGGGAATGGTTGGGGCATAGCCACATTATTAAATACGGTTTAGAGGGAGCGGAGTACGGTTCGTTATGAAGTGTTCTGGATTGAAGATATACATCTTGTGACGGGTTAAACCCCGGCTTTTTATCAGTGAAACATTCGGCTATTTGCCATCACGTAACGAAAAGGCCATTGTTCGTGTTAACAATAAGAACCGCACAATAGGTGTTTCACAGGCTGGCTGTCACAGCCGTGAGATGCCTCCAGAGACATATAAGCCCTTCCCTCCCCATAGTGAGCTCTATATCCAAGAAAACCCGATCATCTGGCAATTCCGCAGCCCCTGGCAGGTGATAGGAGCCCGTTTGTACACAGGGGCAGCCTGGTTTCACGATTTTGGGGGTGGGAGGTAGTCCCTTTGCACTAACACGCCATTTTGATGGGGAATTGAGTAAATGACTGCCCAAGATAAATATCTTTCTTCAAAACTCCGTTACCTTTCCAACGTACGTCGCGCCTAGTCCGCACTATCCGACGGTCGGGAAGCTTGACCATTATCAATTTGGAGCGTATCCTATGTACCTAGGCGTATGTACTTGTAGCCAATCCACCTCGCTAGGTAGCTTCCGCGTTTGCGGAATCACTAGTCGCATTTTCCACTTCGACTGGAGCTAACACCAAAAAGGCGAAGTCAAATCTTAGAACTGTCCAATGGTGATTGTCGAAACTCCGTAAATCCGCAGATGCTAGCGGACCTCAGGGAACGGGAACGGTTGCAGGTCAAAGCGACCCAGAGGAAAATGTCTAGGATTCTGGAAGCTAATGAGCATAAATAGGAACCATACCTCCCAACTTGCGACTCCAATCACACTCGTTAGCCAGCCCTCCACGTTATACACATTCATTTCGTAAGTGTCCAACGCAACTATTATCGTGGAAATGTGCTCACAACATCCAAGCAACAGATAATGTCGGCCGAACAGCAACCTCTCAGTCAGTGGGTGACACAGATCAACGATACTTTGTTCATCCAACCGAACGACGAAATCGCCATCAAGGCTCTCCATGAGCAAGTTGATCCAAGCTTAGTAGTCAGGTACGCTGCCTTAGCTCGTACATCTTGATAAGCACAGCTGACCCAGCCACACCGCCAGAATCAACCACAACGACTACAGCTACGACCAATTCAAAACAGGCCTCCAATACGCCCGTAGTTCCAGTACATCGATCCAAGATGAGTTTTCTGTGATACTCCAATGGGAGAACCCGGAGAAACCAGACGGCGTGGTCGCGGTTTTTAGTAAATGGACGTCCAAGGACAAGAAAACGGGCAAGGAGACCAAGAAGTCCAATGTTATTCTCTGGGAGGTCAAGTGGATTGGTGGCAAAAGGAAGCTTACGGCCCAGACTGAGGTGGAGTCTATGTAAGGGCAAGTTTGGCGTTGCTCTGTTAGCTTCAAGAGGTTTATCTCTTCTGCGCTCTTGTCAATATAAGTTGCCATCTACACAAGTTTATGGAGTGAAACGAACTCGGTGTAAGTGGGTGGCGCGGTGAATATAACTACTCTTTCTATGGTCCTCTATCTGCGATGAAAATTGATCAGTCTCCGCAAGTATCCAGAAAAGAGGTAGTCGTGGCTCTCGGTTGTTACCAGGGTCTATCCGCTTCTGGAGAGTCACGACCCGGAAGCCTATAGACCCATGTATGATGTTGCATCGGATTGTCCCCTCTCCGCAGAACCTCCGCCGCATCTCCGCCAAGAAATAACGCAATTTTGGAGAAGGCAACCCTTAAAGGACTACCGACCTTTATCAAAGCCAGACACTCACTTTAATGCGAGTTGTCATTCCAAGAGAAAGGGTGCTTTGCTAGGTCATAGAGTGCTCAGCGATCGGACAAACCTCCTATCTCTGGGACAGGAAGCAAACCCAGGCCAGTCTAAGCAAACAATTACTGGCCGAGCATGGCATTATTATGTCCTGAACTGAGAGTCCCCGAACTGACAGTAAACTTATAGCACTGTCCGCTTCCAGCCCACCCTACGCACCTACATTCTCAGCAACCTCGCCACTCCTGAGAGGCCTCCTGCTATACACATCCATTGTTTGTCCACATTCTGCCTAATTAGTTGCCACTAGCGCACAGCATTCGTAGCACAGCTCGAAAATTTTACACAGCATTTGTACACAGTGATTGAAAATCGAGCTGTGGGGAGTGGGATAGCCGATTCCATCGGAAGAATGCAAACTCTAGTGAAACAAGCTAGCGAGCCACATTTTGTACCAGCGTGGTTGGCTTCATAACAGTCGCAAGGCCTACTTAACGTCGAGCAAAGGTGTCCTTCACAGCCTGGTCGGATTTGATTGCCGAAGACAAACGGAAGATCGCCCTGCTTATCAATATCCAGAGCAGCGCATGCGCAATAGGGGGTTTGTCCCGATTTCAGCCGTGGTAGATGACTGGCAATGTTCTAACTGCTTGTGGAAACTCATCCCTTCACTAAAGAGCGATGCAAATGACGTACTTCGTTCATTTCGTGTCCATACTTCAATATAGAGATTATATTAGGTTTTACTTAACACGTAGTGAATGAAGCAAGAACGGTCCAGTCAAAATCCCAACCGCAGAGTGTATTTAAAATTGAATCATCTCTTCCCCAGCATCAATTCGTCGTAGGCACTCCTTTATGCCAGGATAGGTCCAGTTGTATTTTGCAAACGAATAGATCTCTTCAGCAGATCTTCTTTCGATCGATTTCCTCGTATTGTTCTGAATTTGAGCAACACGCGGCCTTCTGACTCGGTCGAAATCCTGAAGGATGTGCGCCACATCGTCGGATGGGAAGTTTATTTCGGTAAATAGACGCAGACCTTCGGCATCCTCAACAGCCTGCGTTCCTCCTTGGCCTTGATGGGGCGTCATTGGATGTGCAGCATCACCGATTAGGACAGCACGACCTTTGATATACGTTGGGAGCGGGTCTTGATCCCGAAGTTGCCAAAGTTTAATACCCGTTGCGTATCTATAAATAACCAGTAAGCAAGAGATCTTTTTTGGTTGAGAAAAACTGGCGTACTTGAAATACTGGACAATTGCAGGAGGGAAGTCGGTAAATAGAGAAATAAGCTCTTCTCTATCGCCTGCTGCAGACCAAGACTCGCTTGTCGCCTCTTTAAGGGACATGTCAGGCACGATGCAGACAAAGTTCAGTAATTCGAAATTCCGACATGGATACGTCACTATAGAACGATTGGTTTGATCGAATGCAAGAACCATATTCAGACAGGCCGATTTGGCGGGGTCTAGGAGATCAGGCACCACACCACCGTTCTTGTTTTTGATCTCCTCTGCAAGCAGAGTGAAGCGGAAAGCAGACATCCCAGAGGGGCGGGCCGTTGACAAAGCAGCATCTCCCACAACCAGAGGGCGAATCCGAGACTTGATCCCATCGGCAGCTATTTGTAGGTAGAAGATTAGAATAAAAGATCCTCACTGAGGGGAACCTGAAACGGGGATACTTGCCTATTATGAGGTGGGCAGTGATCACCTCGCCACTGGCGAGAGTTAAGACACCTTGATCAACGTCCACATTCACGACCTCCGCTCCATATCGGATTATGGCCGGGGCGCCCCCTATTTTAAGATCGTCGGATGACGCAGTGGCAAGCCGAAGAAATTCGTCGCGGAGGTCCGCACGGTGATTGAACAGCCAGTCAGCCCCGTACTCCTCAACGCACTTCATCTCGGACTCCAACTTGAGTTCCCCTTGTTTGTTCCAGGTCAGAGTTCTGCCGACGGGCAACGATCCGACGCGAGTCCGATCAAACCCTAACTGCTCCAGGATCTTTACACCATTTGGGCCGATATTAATGGCAGCGCCAACCTCGATGGCTGTCTTACACCGCTCGTAGATGGTAACATCATGATGCTCTCGAAGGACTCGCGCTGCCAAAGTTCCTGCCAAGCCCCCACCTACAATGGCAACCTGGATTCTGGGAGGGAGTTCATAGTGGCGTTGTTGAGTTGATCGCAGTGCCTCGTGGACATGACAGAATGGAGGAGTTGTACACTGGCTGGAAATTGATTCACAGGAATTTAAGCAAGTTATTTGGTACCTGGCATAATCCAAATGAAAATTCACTAACACCTAACGAATGCCCCATCACCGCAACTGATGCGTCGGCCCCGCGCCCTTTCGAACTAACTAGCCTGGATTCCCCCACCGCCACCCGCCGCTCTTCGGCCCGACGTCCATACAGACTGCTCCCGATGCCGAGTCGACTGGGCCCCCACCGCCTTCTACGCTCTTCGGCCCTTCCCTTGATGACTTGGCCCCTTGGATTGAGACTATGGGTCAGGTATCATGCGATAGGGAAGCTATATATATAGGAACAAGCGACCTGGATAGTCCGTGATTCTTTTCCACCTAGCCTTCAACTTGAGGAGAAATGTCACCTTCGAGACTCGTATTGAGCGCTGCTCATTCCACCCTATCGGTAGAGGACTATGAACCGGCTGCGCCGCATGGCAATCAGCTGCAAGTGAGAATCCGGGCAACCTCCCTCAATCACTTAGATTGGAAACGCATCAAAAAGAATCTTTTCATCCCGACTTTCCCACATGGTAGCCCACCCTGCTCTTACCCATTTGGATCCCGCTAAAGATACAGCGATGGCAAGTGAAACTAAGAGGCTAATCTGAGCATGCATCTAGTTCTGGGCATGGACATTGCGGGGGAAATTGTCAATGCTGGATCATCAACGCTGTACCATAAAGGAGACCGTGTGCTCGCGCCTGGTGTAGTCGGATGGAGTGACAGCTGCTCATTTCAAACACATGCGCTCATATCCGAACCAAATCTCGCAAAGGTACGTCGCTGCATTTTTTCAATTTGACTGCGCTGTGTTGGTTCGTATGAGACTCATACAATTCATGCTACAGATCCCAGAAAACATCAATTTTGAGGGGGCAGCGACCATTCCCTTTTCGCTTGCAACAGCAGCCTGTAGCCTGTTTGTGTCACTCGGAATAAATTATGAGAAGCCGGTCACAGAGGCAATTCCTATATTAATTTGGGTAAGCGTCTGCCGAGAACTGTGGGAAGGCACCCACAATGGGAAAAGGATGAATTACTAAAAGGAACAAAACCACAACAGGGTGCTACAGGCAATGTTGGCTCTTTTGCTGTACAGCTCGCCAAACTCTCGGGCTTCCAGCCTATCGTGGCAGTGGTTTCTTCTCCCACGAAGATCTCCCAAGCAGCAGCATTGGGCGCAGATGTGGTCGCTGATAGCCAGGACCCAGATCTGGTCAGTAAAATCCAGGCAGCAGCACCTGGCCTGCATTATATTCTGGACACTGTAGTCACTTCGGAAACAGTGCAAACTGCGATCCAATGCTTAGCGCAACAAAGTGGTATAATTGCCACCGCTATCGCCTACGCGGGACTAGTCCCGCAAGCTGTGACCGTGGCTCCAATTTTCTCAGGCAGTATCTTTGGTAAGACCCTGAAGGGCGAAGAAGACAAAGTTGGGGCTCAAGTCGGGCAGTGGCTGTGGCAGCAGCTACCTATATGGTTACAGTCGGGGGCCATTCGTCCCTTGGATTATGAAGTGATCGGAGACCTCGCAAGTATACCAGTAGGGCTGAAACGGCTGGAGGAGCACAATGCTCCGCGGAAACTGGTGGTAGTGCCATAGTGGATGTGACTTAGCTTCAAGCCACGTGAGGCCTTATTCATGTTTCAACGTTTTTTTGAGATACAGTTGTCCAGCTCGGTAGGGAAAACACAAATTCAAGCCATCATATGATGGAAGATAGTCATGAGCCCAGAGATATCACCCGCAATGAGGAAGGAGCGTGGATTTATATAAGGATGACCCAATGGCTGAATACTGCATGCTATAGTTGAGGCCATTAGGCCTTAGAATGAATTATTTTACCATACAACCACTCCTTTAAAAGTGTGTGTGAAACACAATAGGATCAATATGAACTACAGGCGACTTAAGTGACGGATGGTAACACCGCAGAATTTGTTGAGCGGTAAATGTCAATGTTCCGGCCAGTTGATGAAAGCTAAACCTACGGGTTAAATGGGTCATGCCGAGGGCTCTGTACTCCATTCTGAAGCAGCACCTGAGAAGCAGCACCTGCCCGCTTCTGATTTCGCCTTCTAGATCCCGCTTCAAGGAAGTGCAGATTTCTCAACGCAATCTGAGACCAAATTTCTCTCGAACACCCGTGGAATACCACACGAATTAAGAAAATCTGAACTTCAAATACTCTTGACTACTCGAGTTTGCCCTTTCTCAAGTCCTTTGGAGAATGATTCAGATCAAATCGCAACCGTTCCAGGAAACCAGTTATTCATAATTGAGCACGAGAAGAGTTGAGGTGACGAAGATACCCGCTGGGCCTTGTTAAATTTATTAGTCAGGTATGGACGGTGTTGAACCACGTATCATCTGATCTAGAGGTTGGGATAGCCGATGGCTTAAATGTGCCCATGGTGCATCACGCCGCATAACCTTTATAGCCACTTGTAGCGTACGGGTCGCGCTATCCGGCTCTGTGAGCATTCCAATGCCAGTAATATGAGCAGTCATGGTGGGCGCCTCCTCTAGCCACGTTCGTGCAGTTGTAGGGTCAAGTGGCTGATCGAGTCTAACAATTCGTCGTGAAAAAGAGGCCGCGGGCATAGCAGAACGCACGCGATGCCCAGCCAGGGTGCTGTAGGTCCAAATATAGAGGGAGGCAATCAACAGACACCACGGATCGAAAGGTGTAGGAGTCTTTTGATTTCGAATGGACTGAAAGAGCACTGCCGCATGTACGAGGGCCTTACGAGCTTCTCGACTTTGGTTTACCCAGCCTTCAAGCTGCTTTCTCGCCGCCGAGCGCTCCTGGTGCGTTGTCATCCACCCTGAGAAAACATATAACAGTCGCAAGGGCACATGGCGGAGAATGGAAAGTAAGTGATACTTCTTCCGCGTCATCGACTCTAGAGGCTGTGATCTTGATGGAATCTCTGTTCTGAAGTGACTGAAAACTTGATCAAGTGGCGTCTCTCGTTGCGCTGCGTACCCCCATCGACTTCCCATGTGGTCCTGGTGAGATACGTTCTTCGGGTAGTCGACGGCATGAATCCCTTGGGTATATACCCACGAAGTGCATAGCTCCAACGCACGGCATTCTTCCACGTACAAGGTTACCAGCACAATCAGTCGTCCGGTGTCGGTCAGAGATGACAGGATTTCTTCAGTCAAGATATTTTTGCCAAATAATTCTGCCACACTCGGCTCTCCTGCATAATAATTTAGCTTGTTGGCTTGGTCAAGGGAGGAGAGTTCGTCGGCAACCTTTCACGTGATGTGCCATCGCCTCCCACTGAGTCGAATCTGAACATTCCCACAGGCATTCTTTCGAAGGTAGACTCTGGCGAAGCTCCCCGAGAGCCAAAATTGGAGTAAGTTCCAGCAGTATCTGTTGAAGGCACTCCAAAACTACCAAAATATTAACAAAGCAAGCGTACCTGAAGATCGCATTCAAAGAACTTACACCATGTGAAATATAAAAGGCGAATCCAAGATTCCCTTTTGATCCAGCGATGCCACTGAGCGTTACCCCTATCAGAAATAGGCTCACAGCGCCAAAATATGGAACCATGATGCGAGGTAATCGGACGAAGAAGAGTAATAAGGAGGTTACGTTGGTATTGTAGATTAAGCACTCCTTGCTTCGTGCCACTGAACAGCATACAGAACTGAAGAAGCAGGATCGCTTGTAAAAAGCTAATGTCGGCACAGATCGAAAGACCATCGTTGAGCTTTCTCATAATCTTGAATCAGCTTTATGGAACAAGATACTCAGAGGTTCTTGGGCACTGGCTTACCTCGCGGGAGATTGCACACTGCAAGAGTTTCTGTAATGTTCCCGCAAACCGCTCTCGACTAGGTATAGCTGAGTACTGGCTTCCAATAGCTGCCATAGCAAGAAGCAATATCCAGCGTTCGGTTGTGGGTTCAAAAGTCGCCTGGTGAACTATCGGTATAATAGGATTAAAATACTCGAAGAACAGGTCAACAAAAGAATCTAACAACCCAGGAGGAGGAAAAGCCGTGCCGACCATAGCAGTTTGAAAACCATGCAATTGGCTCATGTAAATGTGGTTTATGTTGTTGTAAGCGCCCTCTGATAAGTGGCTAAAATTGCCAAACCTATCGGAAACTATGCATTCCAGATCATCGCGTTCCAGGATTGGAAATGGGACAAAGTGTATAATCGGATCAATAATTTTTAGAGCTTGTGAGTTCACGATCCTTTCATCTGCACCTGCAAAGGTTGTGTCCCCTGGTAAGCCCAAAAAGTCAGGAGCCTCTCGCATTCTCTGCGACACATTTTGTGCGCTCAAGTGAAACGGTGATAGACCACCTCGCTCATTTCGAAGCTGCGAACTATCCGCGGACTCTCTCCAGACTGCAGGAGTGATATGAGGAGGGGTGAATCCAGATAGTATATCATCTGTCAACAGATTGAATGTTTGGAGGCCTGGGAGTATTGGCCAGTCCATGTCATATCTCAATTGAGTCAGCCCTACCTCGGCAGCATCATATGAGTTAGGGTTTCCGTCAGGTATGCTCATTGAGATGTCCCCTATGCCGGCAGTCTGGGTGCCAAAGTTTCCGTCCAGGGCCGTTGCTCCACCGACATTGTCACTTATTGCGCTTTGTCTAGCAGCCTGTTCCATGCTTTTAAGAGCCGGTGTCATCGTCTGCTCTTCAAGCAGCGTTTGTAAAGCGGTATCCGGTGTGTTGCTGGAGCTTGTTGATGTTGGATACGCACAGTCGACGCCCTTACGAGCACAATGGTTGCATGGGAAGCTGCCTTCGCAACGTTTTTTAGAATGCACACAGCCTACACAAGCCTGCGCACTCCTTTTAGCCTGCCTTGGGTCGGCCTCACCGCAAACGCCTTCCGTACCATGCGTTCTGAAGTGCCGTCTCAACGAGTCTCTACAATACTATGTTAGAACGTGGGACATGCTTCGCGCGTGACTTTCATATACAGGACACAACCTTCTGTTAAAAGACTTGGAACACTGCGGGCAAATAAACGGCCGCATGTGTTGATGTCTAGTCATATGTCTTTCAAGGTGTTCTTTCCGTTTGAAAGACCTTCGGCACCACTCGCAGCTAAATGACCGGGTATTTTCATGTCGATCTGAGCCGCTGGGGGTGGGCTGGCGAGGAAACCTGTATTGCCCTCCTATTTCGAAAGGTCTCGGTGTGTTCTCCATTAAGAATGACGAAAGGCGGCGCGATGTTTTGTATGTGGATGGTTAAGAAAATCAAGAAACACTACTGGCGGGAACATTGAATCCCCTGACTAGTAAAATAACCATGTGGGCCCGCTCAGTTTCCGATTACGTTATCTCCTTTCCTGAAACTCTGTTGGTTCCTGATCTGCACGCCCACATCCCGAGGGCTGTTCCGATCTGCATACCCGTGCGTCGTCTTAGCAAATATTGTATGGTCAATTTGATACCTATAAGAACAACATTGAGGAAACGCTTGACCCAAAATTGCAAGCAGTTCTTCCCCGTTGGATTGACAGATACCTTTTCCTACTGCCATAGTAGCCACGACCAACAAGTCCATCCCATCTCTAGTCTAGTGAGAAGACGCAGCATCGGCATCCAACTCTTCTAATGGCTTGCCCGTAATAAATTGATTTATCACCGCCCACGGTTCTACCGGATCGGTGGTCTTTACAACCCAATTTCTCGAGTAGACTTCCCGCACCTCGGTTGCCGGCGCCCTCTTCACCCTCGCCTACGCAATCAATCTCTTCTCTGCGCGACTGCAACGGCAACGAGGATCCGGCAGCCTATGAGTGCTACCTCCAAGTTCCTCCCGGACTAGTTATCTCTAGCGGCTCTGTGTGCCACATGGTCGATATCGAACCCAGTTTCACTGGTGCTATGCATCGGACGGTCTCTCGGGATTGCGAGGTGGTACTGGATGGAGAGGTTGAACTAATTCTGGATGGTGGGGAGACACGGCGTTTAAAAAGAGGAGATGTAGCCATCCAGCGGAGTACAAATCACGCCTAGAAGAACATTACGAGAAAGGGCAATTGCTACAAGGAAGCCGGGTGGGCACGGATGCTGTATGTCTTGTTACCTGCCGAACAGGTGGAAGTGACAGGGAATTGAACGCTGGGAGATTAAATTTTCGGGCATGGGAGTTCGAGCAAGTGATTGACTGACTTAGATCAAACACACGAAGTGCCGAAAGCCAAGGATGCCTGGTCATTGCCTGGGTAACAAGAAAATTGTGCACACTTATATCGGCGAGTTTTTCCAGAGGCCGTTTGATGTTGATTAGTAGTTCGGCGTACTAGGAAGCAAAGTCATCGGAGTGCGCTACAGCGACGGCGATATTGAACTCATCTGCGTGGTTTGTACCAAGCGCATGCTATTGCAGATATAGGTGAGAATAAATAGGATGAATGCGTTTATTGACCCAACATATCCGATTATAGCCAGGATAATCCGTGAACTTATACCTATTACAAAGCGTCTGTTCAAGACCATAATGCTGTAAAGTCTTCTCACAAAACCTGTAGTGGGCTCACGCTGCAGAGGCTTATCGTCTATCTACCTCTTGGCGGATTCCGGGACCGGTCGAAACCCGATCCGCGCTTTGGAGAGGCGTATTGACAAGAGGCTGCGCTAGGCGATGACCCGTGTGATAACACAACTGGCCCCAAAGGTTGTCTCATTCTCAGTCATTCATTCCCGGCTTGCGAAGAACATCCAAGTTCTGGCTTCCAGAGACTCATCTGTGCTAGATTCTTGAGAAAATAATGGGTAACCCAGGGTTTGAGTACTCCATCGTAAATAAATCTTTCCTCTCTGGAGGGACAAAGTCAGGCGGAAGACTGAGCTTGAAATTGCGGAACAGGTATGCCATCACAATTGTTATTTCAGCGTATGCGACACTAAGTACATTGGAAGTGTTAGTATCAATTTAGATGGTATGACGTCCTAAAAAAGGGAAGCATGGCGTTTCAAACGTACTTCTGTCCAATACACATTCGAGCCCCCTTGGAGAATGTGCAGAGGTATTGTTCGAGGCCTTTCGATTCAGGCTTCAGCCAGCGGTTAGGGTTAAACGCTCGTACATCAGACCCCCAAACTTCTTCGCTCATATGCATTGTATAAGCTGACATGGAAACAATGGTCTAAGACAAGTATTAGCATATCCCACCCGGTCGCAATGTGTTCTTGAAATAATCGTCAACGGATAAATGAATACGATTAATCAAGTAGGCTTACCCCTGGTGGGACAATCTTGTCGTCAACTACTAACGGATGCGGAAGATTGTGTGGCACAACGCGTGGAAGGCGCCCAGGGACTGCCATGCCAAGCCTCAAGGATTCTTTCACGCAGGCAGTCTGGCAATGAAAAATATTAAAATATTGAATCAGATATAGTAATTATATGAATGACGGGGTAACTTGCCAAGTAATCTATCTTTTCCAACTCTAACAGCTGGCCCGTGGCAACAGCGTCAAGCCCTATGGATGTCTCATTTAGGGCTTTGCGTAATGTGGAATGAATCTTGTCATTCGAAAGAATATACAGCAACCCTGCTGTCAGCGTGGAGGCGGTCGTATCTGCGCCCGCGACCAATATGTCCATCGCCTCTGTGACTTTCATCTCATATGACAAAGAAGAAAGATTGTCAAAGACGACTGGATGGGCCGTCTGGTTGCCGTGAATCTGATAATGTTGAAGACACTCCTCGGAAAACTGCACATACAAACGTTTTAGCAGTGCTACTACCAATTTTTGGACGGAAACCATCCATATGGCAATATGATATAGTAAGTTAAGGGGAAATAAAGGAGAAGAGGGGCAGGTATGGGGTATCTGTGAAGTGGCAGGAGTAAGCCCTACCTTGAGCATTTTTACAATATTTGCAACCTTGGGGTCGAGCAATGTAATCAGTCTGGCTGGCAAGAAGCCCATCGATCTCCTGATGATCGGCCACTCCTGCAGCTTCCAAAGGCTTCCAGCAACGGCGTCGAAGGCAGTGAGAAACCAGGACTTGAATGTAGTTTCACTCTCTTCTAGCATATTCGCTGATCTGGCGAAGGCAAACTCCATTATCACCTCGGTAGTGAGGCACCTATCATAGGTTAGAATCTCCGAGGCATCTTATGCCAAATTGGAATGCCAAGCGGGTGGACCAGCATACTGACCTGAAAGCGTCGTACACGTTGATAAGGTGAGATTCTTGTAATCGTATTATTTTATTCGCCATGGTACAGAGCTTTTCATGGATAATGGGTTCAAGTTTGAACACACCAGCTCTCGAGAAGAGTGGATTCAAAAGCCGGCGACGCTCCTTATGTCTTTTTGCATCGGTCTCGGTGAAGACTGTGTGGGGCGTGTTGAAAGCTTCATAGAATGGCCCGTATTTGGGAAACGGGTTGCTCTGGCTGTATATGGTCCTATATTTCTCGACATCACTGATATGTAGTTCGTTGGGACCGATTCGTAACGCATGAGTACCTGTCACAAAGCATTTTGTTAATCGTAATTAGAATAATCGATCGTCCGCTTCAATTTTGGAAGAACGTAAATAAGAGAAGGAAGGTGACAGGCACTCACTGTATTTTTGATGAAGCCTCTCCAATTCGGCTTCCGGAAACCCACGCTCAGTCACTCGGTATATCCATCGCTTTGAAGTCGCAGCCGCTGAAGGCCCTGGAAACTGGGACAACGGGTGCCAAATACAACAAGTCATGAGGGTGAACAGTTGATAACAAGCGAACAAGATTACAACTCCTAGCAGGTATAGAGCTAGTTCTCTTTTTGCGAGGCTACGAAGCAGCCAATCCTTCGCAGTATCGTGAACTTCAATCATGTTGGGCTGAGAGCGATATTCTGACTCGTGAGTCAAATCCTAAGCAAAATCTTGGGAAGTTCACAAGGAGCAGAATCTTGCGGATTTTATACTGCAAGCAGAATCTAGGTAGAAACAGGTGTGTACACACACGAGCTTTCCGTCTGTGGCGGTTAAAACTAGTATGGTGGGCCATGTGGACTTTCCCCCACCAAACCAAAGCTGGATGGACCGCAAATGCTTCGTGCTCAGTCAGTGACGGTGACAGAGTATCAGAGACAACCCAAAATGGTAACCGTCGGCCTTTAGCTCGGAGTAAAGAATACGCCGAGTTTTCCATTATAGTTGATTAATTCCATACCACGGTGAAGCATTGCCGGAGAAGATCGGCATCAGTGGATCGAGCAGCTTCCAATACATCCGCCGAGTCATCATACCACAAATATACCCTCGTTATCGAGTCGGAGTTACCAATTAATAACTAAATTGACGCCGCTAAATTTTTCCGGAAGTATCGAGGAAAATGAGGATTTCCCAAGTCTGCATCTAACTTGCATCTCCGGCTCAATAATCGACCTTTCTTACGCTGAGGAAGACATACACAAACTTGGCCGCAACGACCATCATGTGGTCGGCGTACCAAATCTCGGAAGTGGTTAACCTGACCTTGCGGCGGGGCCGATCGGCCCCACCGCGTATGCAGGGTAAGAACCTATCTCTTCATCCGGGCGGCACCCCACTGTAAACATAGGGACAGACATGACGGTTGAAAATTCACTTGTGGCGGGGCCGCCCCGCCATCCGAGCCATGATTTGTTCACATTTGAGGTGCCCAGGCTGCATCAACCCCTTCGGTTATTGGTGTGCCACCACTCAAGTACAATTGCCGCTCAATTTCAAAAACCCAACTACTCAGTGGGTGGTATTCTTCAATACTGCTAATATTTCAGCAACCGTCGGTTTGTAGAGGAAGCTCGAATTGGATGCTTTCTCGCGATAGGAATAAGAGATCTGTAGCTACAATTGAGCCTATAGATTTCTCAACCGTCTCTCACCCCGTACAAAATATATCTTTTAAAAAAAGCGATGGAAGCAAAGCCTGTTAAATTACATAGGCGAAGCTACAGAAACACAACATGAAATAATCTGTCAGAAATAGTATGAACGGGGATGTAAAAAGCCAAATTGTCTATCTCTTCAAACATGCGAAATCAGACACTTATAGATCCAGTTCCTCGCCCAGTCTTACTATGAGATTTCGTAGGATTCTGGCACAAACCCAACATGCGTTCACTCCGTCTTCTACAGCGTCTCGGCGGCTGTCGTCCGTAGACATCAAGATCTCAGGCTTGCTGAGCTGCTCCCCTCCATACAACTCACCCTCCTCTTTGCCGGCATTTAATGGGCAGAGAGTCAGACTGTCACTGGAAGTAAGAAAGCTAAAACAAGTGCTGGTTGGTGTGTAATTTATCCCGCATTGACATATATCAAACAGGAACGTCATTTCTCTAGGTATAGGATCCACTCGCACGGACTCAGGTATGTCGGCTATTGAACCCATGGCACAATGAATCCGGGGTACGCTTTACCCCCTAATAATTGCGTTGTGATTGGGGCAGATCCGCTTCATCCCATCCCCAGACCCCAGTATCGGCTCTAATGTGTCTGTGCGGTATTTTCAGGGCCCTATAAATCCAATCCTTCTTATCCCGAAGTATTTCTCCCTAACTTCGTACTCCCTAAGACAGGCGCAACTTTGGGGGGAAGAACTGAGCACAGTCTGGAATGCAAAATGAGTATATTCAAGAATAGTCGCGTCTACGTGCTTGCCACCGTGGCGTACACGGGTTCATTCCTATTCGGTAAGCCGGACAAATCTCTCCCTCCCACCATCGGCCATCAAATACAGTATGCTAATAAATCATCCGACAAAAAGGATATGACACGGGTGTGATGGGTAGCGTGCTGGAACTTCCAAGTTTCAAGGCCGATTTTGGACTTCTGAGTGGCAGTTCTGGTTTTTCAGATTCCAAAAATGCTGAAGTTTCATCGAACGTCGTTTCACTTCTCACTGCCGGATGTTTCTTTGGCGCTATCCTCGGCTCCTTTGTCAACGAGAAGTTTGGCCGTCGCTATTCTATCATGGCATTCCTGTTGATCTTCCTTGTCGGTTCTGCTGTCCAAACTGCCGCTCACAGCGAGCTATCTTATATGTACGGTGGACGGGTGATTGCAGGCTTCGGAATTGGAGGCATGTCAGCTATCACTCCAGTCTTCGTGTCCGAGAACTGCCCACCGGCGATTCGGGGTCGCATTGCTGGCCTGTTCCAAGAGTTTCTCGTCATTGGTGTTACTGTTGCATACTGGCTTTGCTATGGTGTGGCAGAAACCGTCGCCCCCACAACCAAACAGTGGCGCATCCCCATTGGGTTCCAGCTTGTGCCAGGCGGCCTTATGATGATTGGCATGTTCTTTTTGACCGAATCCCCACGGTGGTTAGCCAAAGAAAATCGCCTTGATGAAGCCCTCGAAGCCCTTGCATACATGCGCGCAGAATCAACTACGAGCCCTGCGGTCCAGGCTGAGATGGCGGAAATCAAAGCCGCTGTTGAACATGAAGTCGAATCAACCCAGGGACTTACTTGGCGAGAACCATTCCAATCTGGAAATCGTATTCGCTTTCTCAACTGTTTCTTGATGATGTTCTGGCAGCAGTGGACGGGCACCAACAGCATCGGATACTATGCTCCCCAGCTGTTCCAGACCGTTGGAGTGTCCGGAGGCAACACAAGTTTATTCACAACGGGTATCTATGGTATTGTCAAGGTAGTGGCCACCGGAGTCTTCCTCCTCATTGGTATCGACAAGGTTGGTCGTCGGTGGTCTCTCATTGTTGGAGCTATTTGGATGTGCACAATGATGTTCATCCTGGGTGGTGTCTTGGTGTCCTATCCTCCCGACCCTGACAGTGCCGGTGGTATTTCGTCCGCATCCCTCGCTATGATTGTCATGATTTATCTATACGTCATTGGCTACTCCGCCTCGTGGGGACCTATTCCATGGGTTTATATTTCTGAGATCTTTCCAACTCGCCTTCGTGCGTACGGTGTTGGTTGCGGATCTGCGACCCAATGGCTCTTCAACTTTGTGGTGACTTATGTGACTCCCGCGGCCATAAGTAACCTTGGCTGGCAAACCTTCATCATGTTTGGTGTCTTTTGCGTAGCCATGGCTATGTGGGTGTTCCTCATCGTCAGGGAAACGAAGGGTCGCTCTCTCGAGGAGATGGACGTCCTCTTTGAGAAGTTTCATTCCTTTGGCAGTTTGCGTGATATTGAAACCCCATACGAAACGAAGCTTTCATTTGATGGCGCTGCTACCTCGGATCATAATGAAGTACAGACTGATGAAACTAAAGATCGTGCGACGAAATAAAGTGATTTTGGAGCATTTCGGTGGTATGCTTCCGGATACCCATCTTATGTCCAATTCTTTCCTGAGTTTCAATTCCAATTCTACGTTATGGCTTTTGTTCGGTGTCACCGGAGAGGCGGTCGCGTAGAGATGAACGCGGTATATCAAAAAGGTGGGCCACTTCGCGAATTGAAGAGATTTCTTGGTTCTTGATAGCCCGAATAGCTAATAAGGTCCTACCTTTTTGCTCTATGAGATGTCAAGACGTTTGAGAGCGGCTTGGTGGAAATGCAGGTGGTTAAAGAGAGAGGGTGGTATAGAAATGACGCGTTTTGTTTTGGGTGAGGTGGGAGACTCGCTTGGGTGGGCGGCTTGCATGGGAAATACATTAAGCTAAGATTAAAATTAGGCACTCGGAATGTAAGGGTATGAAAGTATGAACAACCATATCAATGGGAAAGTAACCTAAACAAGAGATATTAAGACAAGTGACTGTCAACACAGCTACACAATAATTGCGGGTGCACCATAGTAGGTTGTGCTGGTTCTTTCATTCCCAGTTCAGCTCCCGGCCTGCATTCCGTCCCACCTCAGCCATCTCACAAAGATTAAGCCCTTAACCTTTCCTTTTTTCCGGCACATGATTCTTTGATTCTTTTTACCTATGTCCACAACCTTTAATATCGCCAGAATCCCCCCACCCTCTGATCTCGCCGCTCGGTCAGCCGTCAGTATCGCGCATCTCATCGATCTCAATTTCCCTCCATGAGACCACTCCTTTGCGCTTGGCATCAATATTGCTTCTGCGTGCTATCAGCTTCTGATACTGCCATACGTTCATCGCTATCATCGGCGCTGTTGAATGCTAATCACACAAGGCTGTTCTGCGGTTCCACATTGTCCTCCTTCCTATCTCAACATCTACATTCACGATTATCTTCGCTAGTATTTTCATTTCCCGGTTTCCCGGACTGCAAGCTCGGCGTTCTTCGACAATTCATATCTCAACAGACCCTACTTTCTTTTCCTCCAGATACTTCTCGCCACCCTTTCTAGTTTCCATGGAATGAGAAGCACCCTGACTTCTCCGTTGTCAGAACTGGTTGATAGCATCTTAGATATCCAGGATTCGAAGTCAGAACACTTCCATTATGTCATGAGTGCGACATGAAAAGAACTGCAGGCTCACATTATACGCTACACTCCTGCGCCACCGTACCCGGAACTGTTTTATGCAACCGTCAAACCAGAGAAAGTTGCTGCTGGATGGGTGACAAGAGACTTTACGGTGCGCTCCGCCATGTTTGGAGTTCCTACATTAGCTGGAAAGGTTGAAGAGGACCTTTTGAACCAAAGCAAGCAACAGGTTGACGATCAAAAATACTACTAACTTCGAAACAGGCCTCAAGAAGTTTGCTGCTGCGGTCGACAAGATGGCCGGAGATCCCCCTCCATGCGAACAATACGAGGTCTTTCAAGGTACTTCTGTGTCCTTCCAGACGAGATGGGCACCACAGATTGAAGTGCGTTGAACATGCAATGACCCCCTCAACGTCCCGGCAGGGTCAGTTTCAGTATTTTCTGAGGCTGTAACAAAACCGAAAGCATCTCCCCTCATCTCATTCCGCAAGCTTTTTGCTGTGCGTACTATTTGACATCTTCCGTCATGCTCCAAGACTTTTTTTTCTTGTCTTCTGCTTTCAGTTGTTTTTCATTTCGCTTTCAGTCCTAGGTTCTCACCCGTAGCATCGAAGATCACCAGTGTACGATTGTTCTTCATATCGCCTTTCCAACCTTCTACATTCTATTGCTACCTTTGCAATTCTATGACTGGTTATGCAGTAGTCAGTTCTCGGTCAACATTCTATCTAATAGGGGTCACAAATATGTACATAGTGCCATGAAGTATTGGACAGTTTCTACACCAAAGCCTCGAAGCGAGTTTAACGCTTTATATATTGTTTTCGCCTTGCCTTGGCGTCTCTTTTTCAATTCCTTTTGGTCCACTTTCGAATACCTCGGGTTGATCGTACGGATTGTACGTAGTGGGGACATGAAAGGTGAGGCCTGTATATCGTAATAACTACCAATCACATCAAGATCAAGACCAATCAACGTTTTTTCACGCTAGTCTTTTCTTGACACCTTCACATCACAAAACTACGCTCACTCTGACATCCCTTGGTCGCAATTATCACGCATCTCATCAACCTCAAGGCTTTTTGCATGAGAAGAGTCTTGTGGTTGAAACCAATGTTTCTTCTACCCGCTTCCCCTTCTGATATTACTGCTCATTTACCGTCAACACCGACCTTTCTGAATGATCATTGCATAGAGCCGCTTCGTGGTTCCATTTCATCATTCTTCCGGGCATCACAATCTTTGCTAATGGGACTACCCTTCGCTATCCTCCAACTCATTACTTTCATCACGACTTGATCCAGGTTCAAGAGCTTTCCTCAACCAATCCTACTTTGTGTCTCAAATTCATTTCCTCTCAACCCCGTCTCTCAATTTTCATTAAGTTGAAGAAACCATGTCGACTCCGCCGCCTGCGTTTCGGGTCTCAGATATCCCGGACTCACATCCAGGAAGTTGCGGCACTGCAATGAGTGAAACATTCATACATCTCTGGGCTGCGCTCGGATGGCGCGAGGATACGCCAGAGTACCCCAAACTGTCTCACGCCTTTCTGCAGATGGAGAAACTGCGCGCTGGATGGACCAACAGCGAGATAGCAGCTTCTTTGGTCAGGTCCGGACTTGATATGTCCAATTTACTCTTCAAAGATCTCCTTAGAGACATGGATGAGGAAGATATTGGTCCTATCAAGGATGCATTCAACTTCGTGGAAGGAGTTCCAAAACTCAAACTGTGGACCGATGAGGTGGCCCAATGGGAACCTTCTGATTCAGTGTACATGGCTCTTCTCGAATATTTCACTGAGGTTCGAGAGAGGGAGAGCCCCCAGTTTGGGAGGAATTTAACAGTCGCAAGGAGTACAGGCGTTTTCAATAGTCGGTACGTTCTAGGCTGCAACAAGGCCGAGGACAGTCTCCCGTATGTCATTGCACATCCCTATTATCGCGCCTGCTATTTGAAGTTCCGTCGCATTTTCTACATTTGATGTTTTCTTGTTTTCAGTCGTACCACGTCTGCTATTGCCTTTGCTTTTGCCCGTGCTCAATGCCACCGGCATTATTTGTCTCCTTAGCTCGGGATCGGGGACTTGCTATGCAGCGAATGAAATTGATCCTATGAAATTCTTTATACACATGTAAACTTAATATTCCCTTCCCTTAAAATATCCGGCCAACTACAAATCTCCCCATGAAGGCCCGCCTTAGACCTTTTAGTCCATATTGTCTCGAATATTTGCTTTGCCGTTGATGCATACACTAATGCAGTAGCCGCAAAGCAGTAGTCAAACCAGGAAGAAAAGAAAAGCTGCAAGTCTGGCTCCACTGCTTCACATGCAGCAATAAATGCAGGCCATATGAGTGCAGCGCTGCTACCATCCGTCGAGTGGATTTCATCTTGTTGGATCTTTATCAAGTAGGTGCGCATGGAAGCTACTTTGCATTGAAGCATTGCAGGGTCGACTTCATATATTCGGCGATAGAAGAAGATGAGGAGAGACATGGACATTGCTTGGGCTGTTGTAGACTTGTCATTCTGCGGGAAGTGGTTGTCGTGGGACTGGGTGTCTCTGGTTGGTGAAGATATCAACATGTTGATAGCTTTCTCAATAGCTTTTGCTCGTATCCAAAACTCCTTCAAGCTTAGTCGCTCTTCTTGTTTCCCATTGCACGCTGTTGACAGGTCGCGCTCGTTGGCAAGCCGAATTACTTGGGATAGAAGCATGAGGAATAGCTCGTCGACTCCGTACACAGTTGGAAACAGCGTGGAGCTCCAGTGGCCTGGGATTGCAAGGTGGAGATCCCGTTGTCCCATCTCCGGATCCTTTTCCTCGGTCATTGCGTCTGCGGAAAACGCTAGGTTGGGAGATATTCGGAAGTCTCCTTCATATATTGTATCGTCAATTGTTCCTCCGCTAGTTTCAAGTGGTTGGTTGTCCAAGCTGTCGGCGACGCAGGTTGTTTCGGCCATGATTCTCATGAACGCATAGCAGTGGTGTAATGCTCGTTTCTTTGAAGATAGCTTTGGCCGGCTCAATCCTCTGATACGAATAAATTTTTCGGTTTGAATGAGATAGGCACGTCGCTTGTCTGAGTCTCCTTTGAACATCTACACCAGCGAGACTGTGTTAGCCCATTCAAGTACAGCGTTTATGGGTGCCATACAAATGCGTTCGAAAGACTCAGAATGGCCATCAAAATCTCCTTGTACTTGCTCATCTTAGTAGTCGACAGGCATGTTTCCTCCATGCATTTTTGGAAGTGACATTGAGCACGTCTCAGGTACATCTCGCCAGAGGCCTTCCAATTGCCCTGACAAGCAGTGTTGTTACCGAGATGAAAGGCACTTGTGCTCAACACTGCATTCAGCAAGGCGAGTCTCACATGCTTTATTGGCCCTTTAATTGTTAGTTCTCCCATCGTTGTGACTGCGCATGGGATCACTAAGCCCATCCATGGTGTCTCCTGGCCACGTCGCAGGGGAGATATCAGTGGGACGATTCGGTCTTTGTAATGTGATAGGAGAGTCCAGCCTTCGATATTTTCCCCGTAGACGTCGATTTGTGGTTGGAGTTGTGACTCGAACAGACAGATATCTGTGTTTTCTAGCTGCAATAGATCGGGTTCTTGCGCCATCCAATTGTCATTTGGACTCGGTTCCTGCACCAAAAGATCGTCAAAGTCGAGTCCATCCCCTCTTAGTATCTCCGTGAGGTTCTTGTCCCATTCCTGGGAAGGCAAAGGTATATTGTCGACTTCAAAAGGACTTGACTCGTTCAGTTCTGTTTGTGGCAATCTGAGTGCCCCGAATGGTCCTCGGAAAAGTGAAGACGGCGAGTGGGTATCTCCGTGAAGGCCGAATCTTTCCAACTCAGATAGTGCTTTATTGATATTTTCATTCGGTACGGAGCGAGCGACTTTTTCACTCATGGCATGGCGCTCGGTATCTTGTAAATGGGCATCAGAGGGGTTTGCATTCAAGAACCTTTGGGTGCAAACCTGTGAAAATTGACTGCCGATGCCTCGCTGCATTCTCCGCACTAAAACCTCGAACATCTTCTTGATCGTTAATGAATTTTAGTTGGATATGGTGTTTTGTTTCAGAACAGTTTGTGTCTGTGGGTATCGTCAATTCCGACCAAAAGGAGCTGCGATCAGTGTCGAGCCCCACTTGTGGTAGCCATGCTAGTAAATCTGGGGAACCGTCCATATTGGACTCGGGGAGTTAGATTCAGCGAGTAGATTAAAATAGAAAGTGGCATGTTCATTCTCTGAGCTCTTGGTGTTGACAGTGGTTCCTTCACCCCGCCTCGGTGCCTCAGCAGTGATAGCCGAAATAGGCATGCGACTCCGAAAAAAAGTCAATAACAACTACTGTACCAAGTCTGATATTTTATTGAGTTGAACTTCAATGAATTGAGCTTTTGTGTCCAATCGCCTTCTCTTATCCCGATAAGCAATGAAGTTATGGTCAAGATGATAAGTGTCGCAGATTGATCGCTCGGAACCACTTTCCCCCTGTACTTATCACACAACCCTTCGCCGTCAGCCACTAATATGTTAAGTAAAATCCGAAGCATTACTATTCCGAAATCTCTTGTAGGTCGATGGCAATACCAGAAACTGCCATTGCTAAAACTACTCCCTGGAAACACAGTAACTTAATCATCGAAAGACACTGTTCAATCATTCTAAGATAATCTCATCCGCAAAATATACAAAAAAAAAAAAAAAAAAAAAAAAAAAGTGATAGCAACCGAGGCACCGTAAGAATAATATCAAATAGATGCGTGCCACGCCTCAGGAGAAGAGCTTAGCGATTCGAAGGTTGTTATAGTCCCAGGCTGTAATGTCTTCATATTTGCAGGGAGTGGCAGATGTGATAAATTCCCTCAACGGGAGCAACGATGAGAGGCGGTTTGGCTTGGCGAAGTAGGCAATGGAATAGCGCTCCGGGATCATCTCGTCAGAGCCCACTTTCACTGTGGGGGGATAAGTCACACGATGGCATGCAGCTCGGAATGTATCATTGGTGAGACGTTGCAGCGAATCACCGATATTGAGAATAATCTCCGACTTTCCACCCGACTCAACGCCGTGGAAGGTTCCCAGATTTGTCTGATCCTCGACTTGGAGACCTCCTGTTGAATCTTGGAATAACATGGTGATTGTACCAAAGTCTGTGTGCTCCGCGATTCGTGTGGCCGATCCGTCGGCGAGCTCAGAGGTGGGGATGGCTGGATAGTGAAGGAGACGGAACTCGTTCTCAGCCTTGTTGTGCAATGCTCTGAGATTGGGGGCTGAGATCTTGAGAGCATTGGCTAGCGCGTCGAGAATTTCGAGTTCGACCTTGAAACAGCTTGTGTAGAATTCTTCCATGAATGCACGGAATCCAGGTAGCTTTTCATCGGCTATCCAAATGTTGTCTACCAGGTCATCGTCGGCGGAGCCGATATCCAACGTTTCCTGGTCATGTCAACAGGATTCTTACCGGTTCTTACGCAGCCACACTTACTTTAATATCCCGGACCGATTTTCCCTGAGCAAGCCCTTTCTCATAACCACTAATGCTCCCGACTGATTCCTGTCCGACAAAGCTGTATCCGCGGTTGGGGTTGGCTTGTGGTGGGTGTTTGGCAGTCATCTTGTCCTCCAATGAAAGATCGAAGAATCGTCGGGTCTATGATGAAAGTCAGTAACGGCAATATCATTCTCACGAACTAACATACGTACGTAGTCAAAGAGCTGAGAAATGAGATCTTCTGGAAGACCGTGGTTCTTCAGCTTGGCCACTCCTCGAGTCTTCAATGTCTTTAGTAGGGTGGCTGAAACGGCCTCGCTTTCCTCGGAAGTTCCCTTAAGCAAGGACAGATCAATAGCTTCAGACATGATGTTAGTGGTGGTGTCGAGAATGCGCTGTTATGGGTTTATTGTCTTTCTGGGATATTGTCCTTGATTGGGATGTGACTTTGGCTGGATACTACAGGATATATATATTGAAGGGCTCATCTGAACTGGGCTGAAGCAGTAATTCATTTTGGAAAGTAATACATATCCTACCTTATCGCCTATTAGTTACCTACGCCTTTTGAACACGAAGTCTAAGAACTGCCATAGTCAACAAGATGTATAAGTTCCAAGGGGAGCACAGCGCACGGACCTTAAGATCACCTTCCTAAACAATTCGTTGTCCAATGAGACGCGCGCCACAGTGGATCACCTTCCTCTTACATTCTTCTCAGTCCTCTCAATTCTAAATTCAATGAAGAAGGTGATACCGCTCCATGCAAAAAGAGGCACATGACTGATTATCGCCCAGTAAATAGAAACATACGTTATCTACTGATGTGTTCATTGAAGGTTTGCCTCCCCAACTTCTAAATCCGCCGTAAGTTTCAGTGCTGTAATGACTCTGATAATGTAGTAATTTTTACTTTCAGGATAGATCAAACTTTTCCATTCAATGCCACGGTGCACTATCAATCCTTTGCACGAGGCCTAGATCCAGACAGTCATTCTTTTGAACGAATGGGAACCTGGAATGCGTTCCGAGCCTTGAGATATGGAATGTGCATGTTTGCTGCAAGGCGATTTACCGTGGCTCGAGTCGATGGAAAACCCTCGGTGAATCTGGTCCTTGCAGGTACGAAATTTACTCAAAATGCCCCGACTTTCCCAATGAAAACCTGCCAAGGCCCATATTTAACAGCATCTTGTCAGGGCCGACACAGCCATTGAAGGGCCATTCCAGCGATACGAGCCTTAGCATTGCGTGATCTCTTCCAGGACTCTATTAAGAGATTAGATTAGCCATTTCGGGTGTGGCCCAACACGCCCAATAATGTTATCATCCTTGATACTGAATCAAACTTGGATTTCCAAGGGCTTATCTCGACGATACGGTTAGCATCCGGAGAATAACGAAGTTTTTTATTGGAGCATATAGACAATGGCGTCGTCTGAGACATCACGTGAAACTCTATCGCCTGCACAACCCCTTTGGTCCATTCAGCCACACGGAGGCGTAAGGAGGCATAAACGAGAGCCCAGTGCTAGGAATGCGGGAAGTGGATCCAACGGCTGAGACTCGAAGGTGGCTATTGGCGACACTCCTATTTCAGTGGGGAGACCTTCCTCCCTAGATACCCGTCTATCTAGAGTATCCTTTTACCTCTCAGTGTTAGTCCCGGGAGACACTATAAAAGGACAAGTTCCCCGGCAGATATTTGGCTTGTCATCACCTTTCTCAAATATTTTATATACGGAATACAAGCTACTTACAGTTATGTCTGACTTCGAGTCGTCCCTGACTTCGTACAAACGAAAAGAAACTGTCAAAAATGAAGTCGATTCCCTGCAACCGACGGCTAGCTGCGGCGAAGCCGGTATAGGAGAAGTAGAGGAGAGCAGGAATGGACAATTCCACCGTTCCTTCTCGCCCCGTCAGGTTCATGTGAGAATTCTGTGGAGGGTCTCGGACAGTCCTTCTGTTTGAAAGCGTCTCACTATCTAGGAAGATCATCTCTTTAGGATCCAATATCGGCAGTGGACTTTTCATTGCCACTGGAAAAGCCCTTGCCACGGGAGGCCCTGGTAACATGGTCATCGCCTATACTATGGTCTGCACCTGTGTTTGGGCTGTTCTGCAGTCTTTGTCTGAAATGACCATCGCATTTCCGGTGTCCGGGAACTACATCGACTATGCTGATCGTTGGGTTGACCCCGCTTTGGCTTTTGGTGCTGGATTTGCAGAGTGGCTAGGTATATGATTACTCCTTTCGAAGATCTATCTCAAAGGGATGTTGTACTGACGAGACCAGGATGGACGGCAATCGTTGCCTCAGAAGCAGGCTTCTTTAATATTTTAGTTCAATACTGGTCGGAAGGATCTATGCCACTGGCTGCTACGAGTAAGAAACCCTCCGCCCTAGTTGTGAACATTTACTTACACTTTTATCTCCAAGTCTCCATCTTTCTCTTCGTCTGCTTGGTCATATTCACTCTCCCAAATAAAGTCTTTGCTTGGTTCGAATACGCGACGTCGCTTATTAAGATCGTGATTTTCCTCATCATCATCGTCCTTTCCCTGGCACTGGTTCTGGGCGCTGGCCCCAACGGCTATTTGCATCACGGAGACACTTGGAAAACACTCCCCGCATTCCTTAACGGCTTCTCGGTACGTTGTGCTAGCCAAAGCTTGAGATCTTCCTTACTAATAAATCTAGGGCTTTGCAAACTGTGCCCTCCTCGCTGTATGGGCCGTCGGTGACCAAGTTTTCATCGGTATCATGGGAGGCGAAGCCGAAAGCCCCCGTTTCTCAATGGGACACGCAACGAAGCTCGTTCCATTCCGAGTCAACTTCATCTACGTGATCAGTGTGGTATTCATTACACTTCTCGTCCCATCGGATGATGATCGCCTCCTAGGTGGTAGTGGAGTTGCAGCATCGCCTTTCATCATCGCAGTACAAGATTCCGGGATTCCTGGAATTCCTTCTCTCTTGAACGCCGGAATGATATGCGGTGTTATTGCGATTGCGGCAGAGTCCGTGTATCTCTCGTCCAGAATATTGAGAACTATGGCTCATCAAAAGCTTATCTGGGAAGGCCTTGCCCGTGTGGACGACAGAGGACGCCCAAGACTCGCCTTAATTACCACTTCACTCGTGGCGGTTGTACTAGCATATATTCAGATTGCAGGTAAGACGTTACCGTCTCGTCACCACAAAGGGATGATATGCTTATACATAGTAGCTGGTGGCCTGACCGTTTTGAACTGGCTCATTGCGATAACGAGTGCCTCATTTTTCGCTAATTGGATAATTATCTCATTCGTCAACTGGAAGTTCCACCGTGCGCTTAAGGCACAGAATGACGCGCTATTTACAGAGGTCTATGCTTGGAAGTCATCACTGTGGCCACTTGCACCGGCATGGCTTATGCTAATCTCGTTATTCCTATTGGTCTGCTGTGTATTCTTGGGAGTTAAGCCTCCAGTGAGTTTCCTAAATTCATTTAGCAGAATTGACAGGAGTTGATCACTAACATGTGACAGGGTGGCAACGGGTTCTCCGTATCGAACTTCTTCCAGTACATCCTTGGTCTTCTGTTAATTTTCGGCTTCACTATCGGGTACAAGATCATTTTCAGAACACCTTGGCGGAATCCAAAAACTGCGGATCTAAGTACTGGTCGACGACCCTTGAGCGCTGATGAGATTTCTATGCTGGATAACTACTACAGACAACCTGCATGGAGGAGGTTCCTTACCTACGTGCAGCTATGGTAGTGAATCTGAAGCTCTCAAGCTTGCGATGAGTTATGGTGCCTTCTATTAGTTTATATGAGTAGACTAAAATACTCATACCAGCTAGATAATCTATATCTCCTCTGTCTCTTCCTCTCACTCGCTTCCCTCTCCCCACAGGATTCATGTGATCAAGTCGGCTTTGTCATTCATTAAGCCCAGTACAGTACTCTCTCCTTTGGAATTCCCATCGATTATGTTGTCCGGGTGCGGATGAGCAACTTTACTACTCTATAGAATTGAAGCCCTTTGCTACGAATATGAAGTTTATAAGCCCTGCAACGCTACTATAGCAGGGGGTGTAAATGTGTACAGGATGTCATGGCGTACTGGACAGTTTCTACACGAAAGCCTCGAAGCGAGGTTACCGTTTCATTGATCATTTTCGCCCTACTTTAGCCTCTCATTTTTCATCTCATTCGTATCTAGAGTGCCTCGGGGCGGTTACTTAGATCATATAAAGAAGGGGGCCTGAAAGCTCATCTGGTCTATGACTGTACGGACTGCAACAAAAGCACTGAAAATAGTACTTGAACTGCTCAACAACAAAAATGGACGAACCAGAAGATTTAAGGGTCTAAATGATATACATGGCTGGCTGCTCCATACTCCGACGTTTGGCAGTCGTCAGCCTCCGTAGGCATAGCAACTAAGTGCCTTATTTCAGGACGATGCCCACCAAAGTGGGAGAGTGTATCCAACGGCTGATAAGCCATGAAACTGATATGAATTTCTTTTTGTCCTTCTGTTTAAATACCACTGGCTAAATTTGTATCTTCAAGCCCTCCTGCGTAAACTCCTCCCACCCCACTTCCAAGACACCACTTCTCCTCACCATGTCGAACGACGACCGAGGATATATCCCACAATGGGGCGAGTTGCCCGTCGAGCAATACATGATCGCACGTTTCCCTTACAGGCTATACTGCACAAGGAGATCGCTAACGCTCCGCAGAGATACTGGGACTTCGTAGCGGCAGAGTCCCCCGACCAACAGCGCCTCCTGCTTATCCGGCAATTTATCGATCTGGACGAGATACCCCGCGAATGAGATCCCGTCAACTACGGCGCACCACCGCCACGCATGCCCACTGTGGAGGAGATCGACACGGTCCTCCGTCCCTGGCGGTCGGACGAACTGCGCCAGAAAGCATGGCAAATATTGGAATCCGGCAACGCCGTACCGATTTTTCTCCGGTCGTACTATAACCCGGAGGACGACGAAAAGATGGAGGAATGGGTCGATGCATCGGAAGAGTTTAGAAACCAAGCCTGGTGGGCGTGTCTGAACGATGCAACTCTCTTCAACTTTGGCTTTGACTGGCAGCGCGTATACGACATCATGCCCGAAGTTGCGGGTCCAGTGAGCGATGCCGGGTACACGCGATATCCGTCACCAGAAATTGTGGAGATGTCACGAACACAATTTAGGACCTCCCTCAGGAAGACAAAGCAGAGTGAGCCCCATCGGTGGAGGGAGGATCCGGATCGCTTTATCGAATTCGAGGCGGCCGACCTCCTCCGCACAGTGGCAGCAGCGTACATTCTCGTGGCAGATCAGAAGGCCTTCGAGACTGGCGGCCAAGTACGTCTGATTTATGTGGATGGTAAGCGGAATGTTATTCAGGAGACCCGCGTCGAGGCGGATGCGCAGACGATCACGGATGTCATCATGGACTGGGACCAGTTGAATCTGCCCCCGGACTTGTGGGAGGAAGGGACCATCGGGGATAGGTACCGCGTTAACCGGGATTTGGGGAGGGAGTTATATCAGTTGAGCGAGGTTGATATGGCGGATCTTTGATCTGCGTATAACTAGGTAGATCTGTTCATGCTTTCGGACTAAATCAGAACGAAAATCATTGCTTGTCGTCATACCCGAGGGAGGATTTTCCATTGACTAGACTAGCATGTTTCAATGGATTCGTCATACCTGACCTGGAGGGCTTGATCGGCTGGGTCTATCCAACGAGACCTCCATCTCGTCTGTCTCCAAGATTAGGCTCGAGCTAACCTTGCATTTCTACCTGGTACTGTATCCCTCTACATGAATGCCACCTAAAATCCTTCGTCCCTGGAATCATTAGATATTGTAACTTGCACCATTTGCCAGTCTTAAAGTCATAGTTGTCGTTCAGTCTTCCTGAAGGGGATTACGGAAAGATACGAGGGAAAGATTCAATAGTTAAGTATCCCTCGGACCCATTTAGTCTCCGCTAAGCTTTTCGTCCACTATTAAGAGAAATAATGCAGAATTAGCCCTAGAAGTCTAAAGCGATTCATTTTCTCCCGATATCCTGAATTGTTCCACCACATTTTCCCATAACGTCTATTGGCTTTTTCTACTTGTGGCTACTCTGGCTCTATAAGGCGCTAAAGGCTTGTCTGACTATCAAAATTCCATTCAAAATAAGATAAACGCTTGTGTTAATAGCGTTCCTATGACCTTTAGCTATGAGCTTGCTACCGCCTTAGATTGCTAGAACTAATGTGAAACGTGCTAGTATGTTAATACCAATTTGTTCAGGCCAGTGGTATCATTCCTTTGATTCAACTTTGTGCCCAGCGTTCGACACCGGACGCCTCCGAGAAATGATCTTCGGACTTTCAGAATCCAGCTCTCTGCGCAGCTGTTTATCAACTTCTTTCTGACCGATGCGTTCCTCCTCCACTTCAGCCTGACAAGATTGTCCGCGAGAATCTGCTTCTTGGCTGACACGAGCTCCTTCTTGTTGGAAGGACCGCAGGAGCTGCAGGCGGACCTCGTTGATTCCGAAAGGCGGGCGGGGAGTCTCATATCGGGTGATATCAGTTGTATCTGCCTTTGGAGTACCGAAGGACTCGAAATGAGAGTAAAGATTTGCATAAGCTTCCTTGACAGGGCCATTTTCCATAGCGTTGATTTTGGGTTCAATCTCGCCGAGCCCTTCCACGTAGCTTATCGCGCCACGCACCGCGCTGGAATCCTCTTCCGACTTGATATTCCGAAGAATAGCCTGGACCTTTGGTGAGAGTTTCTTCAGCGCATCCTTGAGTGAATTGATCTCCGCGGATGACAGACTGTTTTCGATGACACCAGTTGCGACCTCGTTCTGTGACCAGTCAAGACGAAGTTTTTCCATATTTCCCATAGAAACATGCATATCCCAGTCATAAGGTGGGTGCTCGGCATCTGCCAGGTTTACCCAGAGCTCCCTGAAGGTGCTCACCTCGTTGGATTGTGTAGTAGATGGTCTGGTGTACATAGTTTCAACTGTTTGGATGTGCTCCGTCCCCGTGGCATTCATATTCGGAGAGAGTGATCCGTCAGAAGACAGATATTCAGACCCATCGTTGGAATCCTGTCGCTTGCGCTTGTTTGGGTTCGTTGAGATAGTTTGTCGTGTTGCTTGGTTGTCGGACACGTCCTGGGCAACGCCAAGCGAGGATTGGCTGTTACTGCGGCTCCTTGTTTTGGGATGGTCTATCGTGGCATCTCCAGCCAAGAGACAGAGAAAGTCAGCATGGACAACTTCAGACATTGAGTGTTTATAAGGTTTGACTCACAAAGGCTGCATACTCGGCGATTTCCATTCCTCTGGCAATTGGCGCAAGCCCCATTGAGGAAACCGGGAAGCACTTTACATCCAGGCCAAGGACCTTGTCTTCGTCGACAGCAAGTGCATTTAGACTTTGCCTCAAATCCAACGACCTGGACGAGCGCAGATACCACAAATCTCAAATCTCCAAGCCTGTGATGAGTCTCTTCCACGGTCTTGAGCCGCGTTTGTAGTTCTCGCTGGGGGGACTTGGTCTGCAGCTCCTGAATTAGACCAACTCCTTTTGTCCATTCCGTTGAAAGTAAATAATGGGCCCACACGTCGGGTGGTATGTCTTCGTCGTTATGTCCAATCAATGTGGGAGCACCTGGCGGGATGCGTCGCGACCGATTTGGGTTCCACATTCTGAAGGAGATCAGGGCGTTAGCTTGGTTTGTAAAATCTGGGGAACAGCCATCTCACGTGAAGCAATAGCCGACGTGGCTTGGATCATATGGCCAGAGCTTGGATGCCCATCAAGTTAGCAAAGCAGGACTTGACAGGCTGGTGGGCCCTGTTGATTCTCTTGCGTGGGTGAAAGCTGGGCTGAGGATGAAAAGAGAGTGTATGGTGAGAGAATGAGAAGGCTTGACTGGAGAGGTTTGAAAGACAGAATGAGCAAGACAGGCCTAATCTGTTGTTCTTCCATGGAATAATTCTCGCACCTACCAGATAGAATACTACGATATTGGCCACATAATAGAAACACTTATTTAAGACAAGGTAAATTGTCCATAGTTATTCACGGGTAGGTTCTTGCCCATTATACTTGCTCGCCCTTCTTGATTTCACAGAGATGCTCCGTCTGTCTCTCTCCACAATTGATCTTTTGACATAGAGGTAGAAGTGAATATCCCCATCCTATCTCGCACCCATGCTGCAGGGGCTCTGTCCATGAGCTTTTCATTCATACCGCTGGGCGGGTCATATTTGCAGACACCTGGCATTTCACAAAGGCTTACAGGACTTCCACACATATTTTTGTGAAGTTTATTCCGGATATCTGAGTGGGAAAGTACGTCTGTATGAACGAGGACCTAACTCCCGCACTTTCCCCCGGAAGATGTATCCTTAGCAGCAGAAGTATGATTGTTTCCGTTCCAAGCAGCAATACGACGTTTTCCGACTCATTGACAACGTCATAATACGCTTGCATTCACGAGTTCCTTTGCTTGAACCCATATCTGCGGGCGATGCCAAACGAAAGGAGCTGTAAGGTCGAGAGTACTCTCTCGACCGTTTCAATCAATGATATTTATGCGCCAGCACTCACTGAGTGTTTCAAAAGTCGTTTAACTTTGCGTTCAACGTCACTCGGCTTCGTATAAAAGACACCAGTACTCGAGTGTAGCATCATCACCCTGCTGGCTTCATGAGCATAAATGCAATCAATTCAGTATAACTTATAGAGCATGAGCTGAGAGCAAATAAAGCGGAATCGTGGAATGGTAAGTATTTTCAATGTATGAAGTAGTCTAGGACAACCGGAATACCTAGACACCTGATGACCATGTCCTTTCTGGTCGGGGCGGTTTTAGCTTAACTCCGGTGTCAGCGTCCAAGAAAGACCACCCGCACTTCGCCAGATTGAACATGGCTTCGCGTTAATTTATGTGGAGATTGGCCAACTGTGAAATACTAAAGGTGTAAAACGGGTGGGGAAGCAGTTCAAGTTGTCCCTTTCTCCAAAATTTGGAGTCATTTTCTGAAACTTGGAGCAAGTTTCGGAGAGTAGCGCGTCAGGTACGCTGTGCATGTGCCGATCTACGGGGTCCGCCCCACAAATGCCATGAAAGATGAAGTACGCTGATAAGAGCAGAATCGGTCCTCATGGGGACATGATGGATCAGCCTGCGGGTATATTCGTCCTTCAAAAGTCGTTGGCAATTGCTGTAATGTGCTGCAATAAAATAGGACTGCTAGATGTGTGCAGGCTATGGTGTCCTGCCAACTACGAAGGAATGTTTCATAATTTATATTCCATGAAATGAGGGAAGGCTCTTGATCACGGGGAAGTCTCGGCCTCGTATGGTCCGCCGACTTGGAGTCTGGATCTTAAGTTGTCAAAAAAACAAATTTGGAGCTATGCTGGAGCACCTTATCACACAGGCAACCGCCAAGAAGCTCTATTTTCCGAAGGCATACCCACTTATCTTAGAGCAGATAGGGATTGAGATATGACAAACTGGTGGCAGGCAATATGGTCAACATCACACGGCGAAGCTATGACTGGGTTTATCTGATTGGGGTCAATTCTGCACGGATTGATAAGGTCGGACATGTTCTTGTAAATACAGGGACATAGGGATATATTAAGGAGCTTTGGACCCTACAAGCAACACTGTATGTCGGTGAAAACCAATCCCTTCGCCAATAATGGACAAGTTTATTAAACAGTCGGGGTTGTTCCTAACGTTCTCCATCGCGGCATTCATTGGCTTGTTTGCAGCGCCAGTAACGTCACGATCAGCGCATGGTAGAGTCACGGAGCTTAATGGCATACCGTATTATGTTGGTGATGTTGCGGTGTCTCAGATGCTGGATCTGCCAGCCTCCATCTTGAACGAGGTAGACCAAGGTGATGTCGACGTGTTCCCATTGACAATCATCTCGAGCAAGGCGCCTATCTTCAATGGCATCGAGCTGAACAAAACGATCTCCGAATTTGTGCGCGGAGATGACGTTTTTAGTCCTGCATTTCTCAAAGGTCAGTCTCCACGGTTCCAGCAAAGAATCGGTACTGATACCCCGCCAGTGACCTACATCTCCTACGAGGGGAAGAAACACAACCCTTCAGTTGAAAAACACTCAATTTATCTAGAATTGGAAGGGAAGAAGGATGCAAACATTGTTGTCTCGCCAGAGTACTCTCACGGCGGAGGAGCAGCGACAGCGCGCCTCACAAAGAACCTCCCAAAGGGTCCCTACTTTGTGTCCACAAAGACTGGTAAAATTTTCAAGGCTTATCGACTGTACGAAGATAGCAATTTGGCCTTCCTGGAACCAGCTATCAGCGACGAAGACGGTGGGTTTTTGCGCCTAATGGCTACATCGGAGGTAAGACGAATGGACCCCCTTTTGCAAATAACAACTTTTTAATACAAAGCAGAATGTGCTTGGACGCAGCGTAGCTGTGCCCTCGAGATTATACTTTACGCCAACTCCTGAGAAGCCTCTAGCTGGCGTACGTCGCTCAACATATCCCAATATCAACATCTACTAACAACTGGTGATAGCTGCGCCTTGGTGTCAAAGATATTTACCACGTCAAAGGTATTGCTACTAGTGGTGGGAACCGAGCGTACTACTCGCTTTACGGCACCCAAAATGCAACTGGGAGTGCTGTTCAAAGACTCATCGACCAAGGTGCTATCTTTGTCGGAAAGATGGGTACTGTCCAATTTGCCAACGGAGACGAACCAACGGCTGATTGGGTTGACTTTCACTGTCCATTCAATGCCCGAGTGAGTAGTGTGGTGATAACTCCTTTCTCGGTCAGTATTCTAATATCTGAGTCCTCAGGGAGACGGCTATCTCGACCCCAGTGGCTCATCAACCGGTCCGGGCGCCGGAATGGGTGCATATGAGTGGCTGGATATTGCCGTCGGAAGCGACACAGGTGGCTCGATGCGCGGACCAGCGGGCGCCAACGGTCTCTTCGGAAATCGCCCGACTGTCGGAGCTGTCGATCTGGATCACGTTATTCCTCTCTGCTCCGGACTTGACACTGCGGGCGTTTTTGCTCGCAGTGCAGAGCTATGGTCTCGGGTCGCTCATGCGTGGTATAAGGATTTCGACGCCTACCATTCCTATCCCAAGACTCTTTGGTACCCAGAGGCATCTTTTACACCGGAGACAATCAACAATAGCCATGCATCAGCCCTTATCGAGAAATTCGTGACCGACATTGAGGATTTCTTGGGAGCCACCCGCACCCGAGTGAACTTGGATGCTGCTTGGAACGCGACTCGACCTGCAAATGCCACCTCAACTTTGGAAGATATGCTTCACTATGTGGGTCTCAAGATCTCCGTTGAATTCCATTGGGTGACGGGACTAATGATTGCGATTCAATAGACATATGGAACCCTCGTCACCGTCTACCAATGGCTTAATCTAGGCAAATCCTTCTTTAACGATTACTCCGAAGTGCACGACGGCCGAACGCCTTATATTAACCCAAATCCCCTGCTGCGGTGGCACTTGGGTCAACAGTCCGGATCATCTGGATTTGACTCGGCCTGGCACAATAAGACCCTTTTCCATGATTGGTGGAACGCGGCTGAGGGATTCGGAGCTCCCGATAATGAGACTTGCTCCAAGGCAATCTACGTCTATCCTAATAGCTATGGATCGATCAGATACCGTGATCAATATACTAGGTTTGTCAAACAAATTGATAGGTGGAATCTGCTTTAAGATACTAACAATGAACCTTAGCGGCCCACTGGCCCCGTATTGGGGGATGAGCGATAGCAATATCGCCGTATTTGCAGGAGTTCCGGATCTGGTTGTTCCAAGTATGTGACTGTTTCTTGAATTTTAAGATTTCAAATGATGGAGCAATGTGATGATGATGCTGACGCTTGCTCACTCAATTCAGTTGGCGAGGTCCCATACAACAGCACGAAGAGCGGAAGAATCGAGTATACGCCAGTCACAGTGAGTTTGGTCGCGGCTCGCGGCTGCGATCTTATGGTTGCAAATATGGTCAAAGACATGGAGACTCGTGGAATCTTAAAGCCTGTTGCAACCGGGCCTAGACTGTATCCTTGAATTTAAACCTGCGAGGTATGTAACAGGGAAAGAGAAGAACAGGAGCTTCCAGGGTGTTGTTTGGCAATCTGAGTATTTTCTAGCATGACGTCATTCCTAAGAAAATAGAACCCAAAAATATGACTGACCACTATTGATGGTTAACAGCAACGGCAAAAGCTCATAAAGATATTTGGACAGCACAAGTGGTGTAATTAGTCCCTAGATTTGCAGCGGCAAGATGTTCCTTTTAGTCTGCGCGAAAAGCTCTCTCCGCGATGGGAGCCCGTGAGGAAAATTCCCTGAATTTTGCACCTCATCGCTGAATCGCAAGTATCTTGCACGGTCTGCCAAAGTACCTCAATATTCCTAATGATATGCAGCATCTGACTCCACCAACGAGCCCAAATGTCCCTCTTGTACAAAGTTGGCTCGCAAGATGCAATGAAGCCAGGCCACATGATTGAGGTAATTTATTGATCAGACAATACAGAGCGCTCACGCTTTACCTCAGTCTCGAGTAAGTTGACTGCTACTTGATTGACTTGCGATAGAACATCTTCAGCAGCCAAGGTTTCCTATCATCTAATTGTGATGGTGAGTGAGTGAGGAAGTAGATCTGGATGGCGTGGTGAAAGGCAGAAAAATGCAGGTTCATAAGTCGCTTCGTTAATTGCGCATCCACCGATCTTTTGCAAGCTGACATAAAACCAGGGCCACGAGGTGGGATCCACGGAACCACCTTGAAGCTTTGACGGAACCGTGGTCCAGCCTGATTGGCGTGGAAGATACTTCAAACCAAAATACAAATGACATCAACATTTTTCGACACGAATCTACAGTTTGAACGCCACTTCTTGCTTCGAAATAAAAAACCAACTGCCTTCTGTCAAAGGAATTTCACGAAATCAAGTTATGAGCTATCCCCGACGATATCAACGTCTACGGATCTGATATATCACTCAGGATGTATCGATGAACTGGGGACAAAAGAGACATGTCCGATCGATCAGATCACTGGAAAATTGTTTTGATTGTCGTGCCAATCGTTGCGACAGGTACAGCGACTGCATTTTATCTGTTGCGAATTTACTCCCGCATCAAGGTCCTCCATGGATTGCGGGCTGAAGACATATTGATGGGAGCGGGTCTCATTTGCACCTATGGTGTAGCGAGCTGCATAGTATATTGTGAGTATGTGCCCGGAGGCCGGGAGGCTTAAGTTTCACGTTTCACCATACAACCAGGTTTTCTAACAGCTTTATTGTAGCCGCCTTCCATGTAACCTGGATTGGAGGCAGTATTTGGAGTTTACCAGCAGAGGAGCGCCTGGACATCACACTAGTAAGTTCCTCGTATCCCACCGCATGATATAGCAAAATCTAACATTTGTTCGTTTAGAGCAACTGGATCTTGACCAAATTCTGGCCACCCGCCCAGGTTTTCGTCAAGGTGTCCATTGTTATCTTGCTTCGCAGGCTCCTCGGCGCCGTCACTTGGTTCCGACGAGCTGCTACTGGCGTTATTGTATTTGTAGTTGCATGGGGAATTACCGGACTTATTGGAAACATCTTTCAATGCTGGCCTGTTCAGTATTTCTGGATCAAGAACATTGAGGGCCATTGTATGGCAGGGCAAACAACGTTCTTCATCATCATCGGCAGTTTATCGACCGTGGAAAACGTCGTCATTGTTCTATTACCCCTTCCAGTGGTCTGGAGGCTTCAAATGCCTCTCCAAGAGAAGATCGAACTGACATTTCTGTTTACAGTGGGTTTCATGTGAGTCGATGCTACCTCTTGATCGGATATTGTCGCTAATAGTGAGCCTCACAGAGTTTGTGTCTTTAGTGTATTGCGTATAATCCAGCTTAAGAACTATCACACTGATGATCTCACCTGTGAGTACCATGAAGCAAACAGACTTGAACTTGAACTAATTTATCTGCTGATACAGATGGCAGCGCACTGTCTCTTGTCTTCGCAATTCTTGAATTGAACACGGCTATAATTTGCGGTTCGCTCATAGTAATGAAACCCGTCTTCCGCTCATGTGTTGAAACACTTCGACGGGGTATCACCAAGTTAAGCCGCCGGTCAACTTCTGACAGCTCTGGAAGCGCAGGACATGAATTATGAATATAGTCCCAGTTTTACGATTTTCTAAATGCTTGTGATAACTAAGAGACCGCCATGAGGCTCATTCTTGTGCCGCTCGACGCTGATTGGTCTAACGCCGTAGCAGCTAGCGGCCGCGCTAGCGCCCCCACCAAACAACTCTCGCATCTTCTTCTCGTCTGCGCCATCTTCTTGTTTTGCGACCATATTTCGGCCTTTCGTCACAAGGGTGACTTTTTAACCATGGCCTTGACAGGCGCGGGGGGTGGCGCTGCCTACCGGCCGCGCGAATACCAGCTGGAGATGCTTGACGCTAGCCGCAAAGAGAACATCATTATCGCGGTATGCTCGTTTACTCGAGTTTTGATCAGAATGAAGTGCTAACTTAGACAGATGGATACCGGCAGTGGCAAAACTCATATGTATGCCCATTTGTCGCTAGGTTCTTGAAGAAACGCCCATCTAACTTGGTTAGTGCCGTTCTGCGCATGCTCATCGAGCTTGAAACCTGCCCTCCAGACAAGGTGATTAGTCCGAATTATTTATTACTATAGTTCTTCCATACTGATATAATTCACAGATGATTTGGTTTCTTGTGCCGACAGTGGCTTTGGCTTTGCAACAGCATGACGTTATCAGTCGGCAAATTCCATCTGTCAAGACCAAAGTTTTGACTGGCTTGGACAATGTTGAGTTGTGGACAGAGCAGTCTATTTGGAATGAGGTACTCCAGGATGTTCGAGTGGCTGTCGCAACCCATGCCATTCTTTCAGATGCTCTTACCCATGGCTTTGTTAAAATGTCTCAGATTGCCCTCCTTGTCTTCGACGAAGGTATGTTCAAGCTTGCAACCATTGGCCTAGTGCCTACTTAATATCTACCATAGCGCACCATTGCATGAGACGTCATCCAGCAAACAAGATCATGCAGAATCACTATCATCCAATGTTGAAGAACTCGGGACCTGCTGCTGTACCTCAAATCTTGGGACTAACTGCCAGTCCAATCGTTCGGTCGGATCCAAAAGAGCTTGAGTAAATATACCTTTCGTGTGAATGATGCATGGGGTTGGAGTTGCTGACCTTTAACTGTAGAACGATCGAAGCCAACTTGAACGCAGTTTGCAAGACTCCAAAAGTCCATCGTTCCGAATTGTTGGAAAATACCCACCATCCTCAGCTAGAGCGTATTGATTACTATCCGTGCATTGAAGATAACTACGGCCACGGTAGCCGATTTATTCGACCTCTGCTCGAATGCTATCTGTCCTACAACATACAAGAAGACCCTTACATCGAGGCGCTCCGCGAAGAAGGAAAAACATTGGAATTACAAAAGGTTCTAGAGTCAGGCAAGACATACTGCAATGAGCAGCTGAGGAAGTTCGTGGAAGCCAGCCGCCACATCTACGAAGAGTTGGGTGGCGCGGCAGTGGATTACTACATAGGTGCTTCCATTGACCACTTCCGAAATGCAATCAACGACTCTAGCACACTGGTAGATTGCAGCCAGTTGGAGAAGGTACACCTTTTGGAATTGCTGGATGGAATGCCTCTCAGAGACACGAGCATTCATGAAGCCAACCAATCGTCCCATAAACTGGAGAAAGTGATTGAGTTTTTGGTAAAAGTGGACCAACCTGAATTCTCCGGTTTGATTTTTGTCAAACGGAGAGCAACTGTTAGTGTGTTGGCCCGTATGCTGTCCATACTTCCAGCAACGCAGAATCGCTTTCAGTGTGCTGCGTATGTCGGGTGGTCTACAAACAGACACCGCAAAGAATCTCTCGGCGACTTACTCCATCGAGATATGCAACGAGACACTCTTGATGAGTTCAAGGCAGGACGAAAGAACCTGATTGTCACGACCGATGTTCTCGAAGAAGGGATAGACATGAGTTCCTGCAGCTTGGTCATTTGTTTTGACAAGCCCGGCAACGTGAAGTCGTTTGTGCAGCGGAGGGGTCGTGCTCGGCATCAGAAATCAACATACGCTATGATGATCTCGATGGACGACATGGCATTGGATTTACCAAAGTGGGTTGAGTTGGAGCAAGCAATGATTCAGGCATACCAGGATGATCAGAGGTTGCGCAGAGAAGCTTTGCAACTGGAAAATATCGACGAAACAGTCTCTGAAAGACTTTTCATCGAGAAAACACAGCAAGTACTTGATCCTGTTTTTTAAGGTCTTCGCTAACCCTTGTTGTAGTGCCGTATTGACGGCCAACGAAGCAATCCAGCATTTGCACCATTTCTGCTCCGTCCTGCCAGTCGATGAGTACGTCGATAATCGTCCGCTATTCTCATTTGAAGAGAATGTTTCAGGTCTGAAGCGAGCTACGGTCACTCTCCCAAGCTCTGTTCACCCCGCCGTGAGGCGAGCCCAGGAAGGAAGTGGTGGCTTACAGAGCGCGCAGCCCGAAAAGAGACTGCATTCCACGCTTATCGAGCTCTATATGAGTATGGATTGGTCAACGACAACCTTCTGCCACTGACCAGAAAGGCAGTACTCAGGTTCGCCGATAAAGAGACTCTGCCCTCCATGGTGGACGCTTTGGAACAATATGACCCGCTCGTCGACATTGCACACGGGTGGACTTCAGGTCAGCTTTACGAGACACGCCTGCGTGTGGACCGTGATGGCTCTGTAGATCCAAATCTAGCAATCTCCATGATTTTGCCGTTCCCGATGCCGATGCCAAGTCCCATCACTCTTTACTTGGAGGTTGATACTACTTTATTCCTATCGTTTGATCAACCGGTGTCAGTGGTCGATGCCTCAGCACAAACGCTGAATGAAATGAGAAAGACAACCGCGCTCTACCTTCAAGCGCCTAGCTCGCGGGAGCGGGGACCAGAGCGAGACTTTGTCGTCCTCTTCGCTCCTAGCGTCCCATGCCAACAATTGCAGGAATGGCTAAATCGCCATGATGGAAGAGAGTCATCCTTGGACCTCTATCACCAAGGCAATGTACCTTCAGGCATCATTCGCGATCACGGAAAATTCACCGAGCCACGCACATTTGTCAGATGGATAGTCCCCGGTCAGATAACCAAATCAACCCCGGTCGAGGTGGAATGTCGGCCACTTCCCAGGCGTCGTAATTTACTCCAGATGCGCGCCGTCAATATGGACGATGGAGATGCAGATTCAGTGAAAAGGCTGTACACCATGCCTGCATCCGCTGTTACCGTTGACAAGCTGCCTCTCAGCCAGGCAATCTTCGGCCTTTTTATCTCTGCCATCCTCGACCGTTTCCAGGCATCATTAGTAGCCCATCGACTGAACGACACCATTCTTAAGGGTGTAGGAATCAGAGACATCAGCCATGTCATCACGGCAATCAGCACGCCCATCGCACAAGCCACAACCAATTACCAGCGTTACGAGTTCTTCGGTGATTCAGTCCTCAAGTTCACAGTCAGCTGCCAGCTCTTTTTCCGAAACACCAACTGGCACGAAGGGTATCTCTCCGAGAGCCGAGACAAGCTCATCCAAAACAGCCGCCTCGCCCGTGCAGCCCTAGACACCGGAATCGACATGTTCATCCTAACAGACCGATTCACACCACGCAGATGGACCGCCCCATTAATCTCAAACAAAAAAGCCCAACCAACAACCAAACGACGCATGTCAACAAAAGTCCTAGCAGACGTAATCGAATCCCTAATCGGCGCAGCATACATGGACGGCGGAATACACAAAGCCCAAGCCTGCCTCCACAGATTCCTCCCAGAAATAACCCTCTTCACAAGCGAAATCTCCCCAGCAATCGTGCCCGCCGGCAAAGGCGTCAGCAATATCATAAACCAGCACCGTCTCGCGAACCTAATCGGCTACACATTCAATGACCCAGCACTCCTAACCGAAGCCCTCACCCACCCATCCTGCGAATACGACCTCTCAACCCAATCCTACCAACGCCTGGAATTCCTCGGCGACGCCGTCCTCGACATGCTCGTCATGGCAGTCTTCCCAAACCACCCGGTAGAAATGGACCAAGGCGCCATGACCATCCTCAAACACTCCGTGGTCAACGCGAACCTGCTCGCATTCCTGTGTATGGATTTGGCTGTATACGAGGAATCTCCCAGCGTGACCCAGTTCGCAACAGATGGGAGGTTCAGCCATGCGCCCCGGTGCGACCAGATCCATCTCTACCTCTTCCTCCGTTCGCACGGTCCGAATATCAGAGATGCGCGCGAGGCTTGTGTGCAGCGGTATCACGCGCTCCGGGACCAGATCCGTCATGCGCTGAACCATGCCGCCGAGTACCCGTGGGAATTATTCGCGCGTCTAGCGGCTGACAAGTTCTTCTCTGATATCATTGAGAGTGTACTCGGCGCGATGTTTGTTGACTCAGGTGGGAACCTAGACGTGTGCAATTCATTCATTGAACGACTCGGTCTGTTGTCCTATGTTCGGCGGGTTATCGCCGATGGAGTCAATGTCGTGCATCCGCGGAACATTGCGCAAAGTATCGTGAAGGGTGCGGGCACGTTGGTGTTCAAGAAGAAGAGGATCGAGGTCAAGGGGCAGCCGGCTACCTATCGATGTTCGGCTATTGTGAATAAGGATGAGATTGCGCTTGTGGAGGGTTGTGCTTCGGCTGAGGAGGCTGAGGTTAAGGTTGCTCTTGATGTGATTGAGCGTTTGAAGGTGAATCCTTTAGTTAAAGCGTCATGATGTTACGTATGGATGATCGGTCTATGCATTGTGGTTCCTTGATATGATTGATGATTTTGACTTGCACTGCGAGGGCCAGGGAGTATTTTGGATAGCATTCGTTTTAGGTAGAGAATTGATTTGCCTGGTGCGACATACGAGAATACACGGGTTGTTTCGAAGCTAGAAAGCTGGCTATACTAAAGCTAAGTCGCTGAGTATTTTACTACTTCGCTTTGTTCCCCTTTCCACCACGCTTAGAACGTCGCACAGGCTCGGCCGTAGGTTCATCGTCCAGTTCACGCGCATCCGCGTCTGATCCACCAGATTCCCCCTGCTCACCCTCACTCGAAGGGACCATGAGCGCCTCATCCACACTCTCAGACGACTGAGGATCCGCATCGGCCTTCGACACGGGCTCCCAAGTTCCCTCGGCTGGCGCCGTCTCCTGACGCAAGCTAGTGAGCATCTGGCTGGTTTCGCTCTCACTTCCATTCCAGGCGCCACAGCTTCCACAACGCCAGCGGCCCAGCTCTTCCGGTGTCTTGATCCCGGGGGGTGCTTGGCCGTTTACAAGCCGGCAGCTGGTGCAAATCATCACCATCCGGTTGCGAGGTTGGGTTTCATCTTCGCCGAGGAGGACATCCAGGAGACGGTCGTACCAGTGCGGTTGCTCGATACCTTGGCCGTTGTTGTTCGAGTACGCGTTGGGTGCGAATTCGGCCTGTTCGGCTGGGGGTTGGGGGTAAGGGGAAGGGGCGAACGATGGTTGCTGGGGTTGCGGGGTGCCGTGAGCTAGCTCCTGCGGAGGGGATGGAGGTTGAGGTGGCGCATTGTTCGGGGTTTGAGGGGAGGAAGGGGAACGTCGGATGTTGGCGGTGGGTGGTGGTGGGAGACCAGTGCGGGCGAAGGGTTGGTTTGGCTGCTGGGCAGGCTTGCCTTTCTCGCCGGCTCCCTTCGGATTGGGTGACGGCTTGGGAGACTCGCCGCCGTACTTCTCCAGCAGTTGTTGGGTGGAGTTGTACTTGGTGGCAACCTTCAGCTTCTCGATTGTCGCCTCGCGCTGCTTGTGGAGATCGTCAAGGTGGCGTTGGAGACGGTTGATGCGGTAGTTGAAAGCCTTGGAGCTTATGGTCCGAACTGCATAGATCCTATATAAAAAGTAGATGTCAGCATCGTCCGTAGGTGCGGAATGACGGAGCACGTACAGGACAGGCCCACCCCCAATAGCTGCGTATTCCTTGACTCCCCAGCTTTCCCATCCCAATATCAAAGCAAGGACGATGGTATAGAATAAATAGGCGAACGTCGAATAAAGCGTCCAGAGGGCTTTGAAGCGCCGCGAGGATTGCCGTTGTTGGTCCAGTCGCGTGGTCGCCTGGGCGATCTTTGTCGACAGCGAGGATAGGGTCTTCTCGAAAGAAGCCGCTGAGTTGTCATCGCCCTAGACCATGTCAGTGATGGCTGCTAATTTAAACTGATATCTAAGGCCAAATCTCACCTTCCAGGGCCAAAAGGACACCATGTTCACATACTTGACTCCAGAGAAAGAAGCTCAGCTTCGTGCGGAAGGCAATAGCGCGCACGGGCCACCTTAGCTTTCGAGAAGCGATCTATGCAAGTTCAATGTCCAGCTTAATTGAGATGGGATTGGAATTGATGGTCATTGATTTGATCTTCATGAAGCGTTGAGAATAGCGTTACAAAAAGTCTAGCTGTGTAATTTCAAAACATCGATTTTATTGTTTTCCCAGCTCAGCAGACCGCGCAGTCGCCGCTTGAACAGACTTGTCGACAATCTCCTTGAAGTTGAGAGACTCGAAGCTCATGAGGGCAGCATGTGTAGTGCCATTGGGGCTAGTGACGTTCTTGCGCAGCTGGCTAGGGCTGTCGGCACTCTCAACCAGCATCTTACCAGCACCAAGACAGGTCTGCGTGGCAAGGCGAGTGGCCTGTTCTTCGGGCAAACCTAGAGCAGTAGCACTTGCAACAAGGTGCTCAACCATAGCAAAGAAGTAGGCGGGGCCGGATCCTAACGGGGTCAGTTGGATTTGAATTTGGAAATTGCGGGGCGGACGTAGGAAACTCACCGGACAAGCCAGTAACAACATCGAGCAGGTCTTCACGTTCAACCCACTCAGTTGCCTTGCTGACACTTCCGAGCATAGCATTGACAAGCTCCTTCTCAGCCGGGGTGACATCCTCGCTGGCGTAAACACCAGAAGCACCCTCGCTAACCAGCGCGGGGGTGTTGGGCATGACGCGAACAGTGTGGGCGGTACGTCCATCGCTTGTCTTGAGCCAGGCCTTCAAGCTATCAAGGGTGATACCGGCGGCAATGCTGGCCACCACGGGCAATGACTCGCGCGGCGACCAAGCGGCACCGAGCTCCTCGCACACGCCCTTGGTGACCTGCGGCTTGACGGCAATGATAACAAGGTCGGCATCACCACCGGCCTCGACGTTGGAGGTGGTGGTGCGCACACCCAGGGCGGCCATCTTCTCGCGGTTGACATCCCACGGCTCGGAGACGCAGATGTTCTGCTTGTTGACGCCCTTGCTCACCAGGCCGCCAATGATGGCGGAGGCCATGTTGCCACCGCCGATGAAGGCCAATTTGCTCTCTTGAAGGGACGGCATTGTGATTGTGAGTAACAGTGAGTGTCTTGGAAGAGTTGAATGTCCAGGAAGCTCCCGCACTTATGTAAAGTGTGTAAAGTGGTGGGGCAACGTCTTATCGCTCACCGGCCCGGGAACTCTGACTCTTCCCTCCTCATTATAGTAGCACTTCTCATGTACTCTGTAGTTCTTGTTCAATTGATTCTTGTTGGCATTTTCCAATCTGACGGTGGATCTTTCTTTGGACCCAGCAGGTAATGACCCCTCTATGCCCCTAAGTTGCTAGGGTATCATCACTACATGTACCGCAATCGCGCGATCATAGATAATCAATAGGTGAAAGACTCTTATTCCACTATCTAATATATTCTCAATATAATAGTTGCCAGCATATGGTACTATAACAACGCAAATATCCCCCGCGGCGAAGACTGCGGGGAAGTACTCCCCCAGATTTACCCAGGCCCGGCCCGGGGAGCTATCATGCCGGCCCATAATATAGATGCAAGACTATCACTTGTGTTCCGCGTAACAATATAGCGCCATAAAGACAGATAGCCCATTATTGGCAGCACCTGGTTCTAGAGGCCATCGTAGGGCCGTGCTTTGCACCGCTGCGAATGTTTCACAACCTACTACCCATACCACACTTGCTGCATTGGTCCGCAATTGCCATATATAGGATCAAGCATTGGGACTGGGACGTTCTCAATTTCTCTCTGCATAGCTTCGGTATCTTCAACAGGTCGTCGTCCATGATGCATATCATAAGGCTGCTCGGGGGAATTCCGCTCGCTCTGTAATCTATATCAGCTTTAACCTCTGGTTGAATGAACAAATTATAGAATCCAAGAACCTCACTCCACCCTCCATATCAGTAACGAAATGTGACACGCCAGCCGAGTCGCGTCAGCATATAATAGGCTCGTTGTGTCCGCCTTGGCACACTCACTAGGAAAAATGAGCATTCATTCCCTTCAGAAGCTTTGAAGATTATACCCACCGGATTACCATTTTGATCGGTGATCTTCCAAGTAAATAGGTTGCATTCCCACGCAGCACAGTGTATGCCTCGTGGGTAACACTGTGATAATGCGGAGTGCCAGCCAATGATTCTTTTTTGACTTTCCAGTGGCCACCGTTGGTCCATTCGCTTATCTTCACGGCTTCAAGGGCTCCCTTGGGCGTCTTGTTAATTAAGGCATTGCAATATACGATGACGGGTAGCTTCGAGATTGGGGAATAATGTGTGGCAAAATATATTTGGTGAACTTGACTGCGGTGGGAATGAATTCCTTAAGAATGAAACTGGGACTGATATAACCAAGCAAGTTTCCAGTGCCAGGTTCCCTTGACCCGGCTTATTTATATCCTTCTGTACTTATTTCCAGGTACATTGCCGGATCTGCTGGATAAACTACGGGGATCCGTATCTATAGTACCGCAGGGAATTGGAATCCTGGGGATTTTGCTCGGCTATGCTTCCGACTGTTGAGTGAGACACTTTCAATGAACTGAGGCATCTTGCTCTACGAGTCAAGGTTATATACTAAGCTCATTCAATACTTCTGCACGCCACACGCAAGCCTTTGGGGGGGCCCCCACAAGCCGCTGGGGCCGCCCCATCAGTTGCGACAACAGGTCATTTCTCTCGAATCCGCCTCCTTCTATCTTCACTCCACCGATATAAGCCAATTATCCCCTTTAAACAACACTGCATCAAACCTACGAACCTACAATCCATTAATGGCCTCTCGAAGCATCAACGCAAGTTATTTCGAGCCGAGCGAAGATCAGATGATCAACCTACTCGAACAAATAAAAGACTGGCAAATAAACCATGGGTTTCTCCTGAAACTGATGCCATCAGAAGAGGAGCACAGCGTACTGTCATACCCAGTAGGCGTCAGTGTATTTCCAACACCGTTTCCACGAACACAGTTCAACCGTGCAATCGATCTGCAAAAAATATACAACGAGCTCTACTGTGCCATCGCCGAAAACGAGAATTGGCTCTACAGCGTCACGAAAGACCTCATCCCCGTTGAGCCACTTGCGTGTGCATTGTGGGGGATTTACGAAGAGACCAAAAAGGCAGGGATCGTCCAGAACATCTCAGCTGGGATCTTTCGCTCTGATTATATGCTTCATCTCAATGATAATGATGAAAGTGTATCAGTATATCCCCGGTCTATCTTTGAAACTAGTCTGAAGCAAGTCGAGTTCAATGCCTTTTCATGTGCGGGTGGTAGTCATGCGAACAGAGTCGCTGATATGCATCGCTACCTGACTCGCATTGGGGAATATGATCTTGGTCAAGAGCAGCGTGGAAAAGAGAAGATTAACATTAAGTCTTTGCCACCGAACAATAACATTGAAGGCATTGCGTCTTGTCTGGCATCAGCTCATGCTGTCTATGGTTCACCCAAGTCCCGATCAGTACAACAAACCGCCGTTCTGTTCATCGTGCAACCTAAGAATTTCAACATTGCAGACGAAAGGCCGATAGAATATGCCCTATGGGATCGAGACGAGCCGGTACCTGCATATAGACTCAACTGGGGAGACATCCTCCGAGACACGTCGCTTACGGATAGTCGTCAGTTATTGTTTCATCCTCCATGGATGAAATCAAAGTCACCTGTGGAAATTTCGGTTGTTTATATGAGGGCCGGCTACGAGACGCACGAGTACGATGTTAGAGGCTTCCAAGCACGTCTACAACTTGAAAAGTCGACTGCTATCAAGTGTCCCTCTATTCTCTCGCATATATCTACATTCAAGAAGGTGCAACAAGCACTAACTGCACCTGGTGCTCTTGAGCGCTTTTTGTCTGCTGAAAAGGCAGCTGCGGTTAGGGCGACCTTCGTTCCTGTCTATCCTCTCGATGAATCTCCTGCTGGATTGCATGCTCGGAAATTGGCTACTGACCCAAAGGAATCGGCACGTTTCATTCTGAAGCCATCCTTGGAGGGCGGCGGACATAATATCTACGGTGATGAAATTCCCGACTTTTTATCATCTGTTTCTCACTCTCGATGGTCGTCATATATTCTGATGGAACGCATCATGCCGCCAGTTTTGCAGAATGTGCTCATGGGACCAGCTGGTGTTTACGAAGGAGAGGTGGTGTCAGAGCTCGGTATCTTCGGTTCTGCTCTATGGCAAAAATGCACTGGTTCCGAGCGTCGTTGCGAGGTCCTCGAGAATTCGACAGCCGGGTGGTCCTTCAAGACCAAGTACTCCGAAATTGATGAAATGAGCGTAGTAAAAGGATACGGGTGCTTTGACACGCCTCGATTAATGGAGCATTAATCTGACTTTGAGTGCAATATATTCAACTACTGAAATAAAAAACTATCGATTAATCGATCTACGTAGACACAAGGTAACGAAAGCAATAAATCAAACCAGCTACCCCCCACCTACCTTTACCTGTATCCGAAACATGGGCATTCCCTAATCGAGAACTTGCTTCACTCGACAGGCCAGATAGGCTGAACCCGGCCATCCAAACCAGCCCGCTTCACAACTTCCTTACTCCTCTTCTGCGCTTCACGCACAATCTCATGCTCATCCATAGTAATAAGCTCTCCATTGTTCACAACAACCTTTCCATCAACAACAACAAGCTCAACATCCCGCCCAGTAGCAGTATACACAACCGCACTGACAGGGTTGAACCAAGGCTGCAAGTGAATTTTCCGCATATCAATAGCGACAAAGTCAGCCTTCTTGCCGATGTTGAGACTGCCGATTTTGTCGTCAAGACCTAAAGCCTTGGCGCCGTTGATAGTCGCCATTTCCAGGACGGATTCGGCAGGAACGACGGTTGGGTCTTGAGTTGCGCCTTTGTGGATAATTGCTGCGAGCTTCATCTCTTGGAGGAGATCGCATGTGTTGTTGCACGGGGCTCCGTCGGTTCCTAGGCCGATGTTTACCTTTGCACGCTGGAGATCGGGGACTCTGCATAATCCGGATGCGAGCCTTGAAGTTGATATCATTAGAACCAGAACGGTATAGGGCATTCTGGATACTGCAGTACTTACTTTGCATTTGAAGTCGGGCAATGGGCGACGTGGGTTCCCGAGGCAGCGAGTAGTCTTCGTGTTCTTAGCAACCAACTTGTCACTCTTTTCATTCGGGATAACCTACTTGATATCGGAATCGTCCAGATGAACCATGTGAGCGAGAACGGTCGACTCGCCCAGTAGACCAACCGAGTCGCAGTAGGACATCGGGGTATGCGAGACCGAGGCGAAGAAGTCGCGATCGGCCTTCACCTCGGCACAATGCATGGTGATAGGGATGCCCTTCTCCTTGGAGATAGAAGTCATCTCCTTGTACAGAGCATCGGAAACTCTGCGCAAATTAGTAACTGGCACATAAAGAATCACACAGCATTGGATTCATCATACCCGCCAGGCGTCCTAGCTCCAAACCAAACACGAATCCGATCATTGGCAGCCCCATTCCACTTCTCCCACATATCAACCGTCCCCAAAAGCGACATCTCACGATCTTCAACAAGACCAGGATGCATAGCCCAAGCATCATCCTTAGCATACCTAGGGATATCCATAACAATCTTGCCCAGACATCCCCGAATCCCACTCTCCTCAACAGCCCGAGCAAGCCCATCAAACCCATACCGATCAGCGAACTGCGCGAAATCAGTCGAACAACAGGGATTTCTAAAGGGGTGATAATTACCATGCTCTCCAAGAAACAAGTCGTACCAGACTTGAGCATCTCCCCAATACTCAATCGCGCCGCGGCATACCCATCCTCCGCCGTGAAGTTGCCCTGCAGAACCCAGATCCGCTCGCAGAGCCAGGAAACGAGTTCCAGGTCATCGGCTGTACCTCGTAGCAGGGTTTGCGCCGTGTGCATGTGCGTCGAGATCAATCCCGGCACGATGATCCGACCGGTTAGGTCTGTTTCTTCTTCGTTGGGGTATTTTGCCTTTAGATCTTTTGTTTTGCCAATATCGGCTATTTTGTCGGCGACTACGTAGATTGCGCCGTCTTCGAATATGGTACGGTTTGAGTCCATTGTCACGATTGTTGCGTGTGTGTATAGCATGCTGGGTGGTGTTGGGTGGGTCTTGATGAAGGGGGTTGCTGGGTTAGTGTTTCAGAGTTTTTTTGATCACAGACTTGATTGTTTGAATGTCGATGTGGATTCACGGTGGAATTTATCAATTGCATTGACTGTCACGTTCTTTGGGGGAATTGCAAGTTGAGGCGGAGACCGCCGACAGGCGATCCGCAATTGAGGGGATTTGATAAGGTATCTCCCGAGCTTCCGTATTGTATTATTGTTCTATAATGCTAATTGCTTCTGACGTCTGCATTTCCTTGAGGGGTAGCTAGAAGTTATGTAAAATTTTTAGTCTGTCTTAATTCTTGTGGAGAATTGCAGGGTCCAGTGTGAAATCTCGTTATGCGAAGTGTGGGGTACAGGAGAGGGTACTGAATGAGAAGAGAAGATAAAATAAAGGACAAGGAGTACCTGTTAGACTCATAGCATCGATCTAAGGGACACAGGCATAGAGAAGACCAGGAAATTAGATTGGTACGACGTATCATAAAGTCTACGATGCTTTACGAAGTATAATAGGGGCCACAAATGTGTACACAGCGGCATGAAGTATTGGACAGTTTCTACACGAAAGCCTCGAAGCGAGTATAGCATTTTTTACATTGTTTTAGCTCTACTGTGGCCTCTCACGTTTCACCTCTTTTTCGCCCATTTTCGAGTGCCTCGGGTTACTCGTTAGATTATCTTAAGGCGGGGCCGAAAGGACTTATGGCCTATGATAGTACCCCCGAAGACGACCAGACCGATATCGGCAAGCCTATACATCATAGCATTTGAGCTTAAAAAAACAATGAAAATCATCCATATAACCCCAAACTGCCACATATATCCATCCCAAACAAATTACCAAAGGTATCTAATACACATATCGGAAGTTCATGTTCTCCTGATCTGTCTTATCCTCGAAAGCGTGAATCAGGTTAGGATCAGCAGCACTGAGTCCAGACTCAGCCAAGAGCTTATCCTTCTTCGCGTTCTGGCGCTTGAGATAGAACCGGAGGTAGATGACAGCGGAGACCATGCAGGAGTAGCAGGCGAGGTGGACACTCCAGGCGATGTGGTATCGCGGGGCATCAGTGTCAAGGAATACTTGGGGGCCTGCGTATCGTTAGTATAATTCAGATCATCTGTAATTCGAGGCACTCGAATATGGACAAAAAAATAAATAGGCGACAAAAGAGAGGCCAAAATAGGGAACCTTGGAAGGGAATGGTAGCTTACCAATTGCATTTCCAGCGGCCCACGAGATGAAGGTTGCTGCAACGACGGTGGCCTTCTTGGTTTGTCCGCCGATGTTTCGGGAGACCATTGACAAGGTGAGGGTCTGGGCTGACCAGAAAGACATGGTGATGTAGTAACTGATGAGAAGGCCGACCTTGGTGGATAGGGTGGTGTTCTTAACGGTCATCAAGACTATTGTTCCAATGAACGATCTGTAACACGTTAGTATGTATTTAGCGGAAGCAAAGAGGGAGGAACATACGGAATGATGAAACCCAGCATCACTAGCAAGTTCTGGTTGTACTTCTTGACCAACCAAGCAGACGACAACAGAATGATAATAATATAGGCACCCAGCACCATAGCAAGCAACTGAGTCTGCAGGGTAGTAAACTTGAAACTCTTGATGATAATAGTGAAGAATGCACCGAGTCCACTAGTAGGAAGCGTAGTGAACATCTGCACGGCACAGTAGCACCACATCTGAGGATCACGTAGGGCCTCCCACATCTGATACGCACGGAACTGTCTGTTCTGGATACCGGTCTGATTGGAACGAAGGCGCTCGACCATGAGGCGCTTGTCCTCCTCAGTGAAGCACTTCGCACGCATGGGCGAGTCGGGCATGTACCAGATGACGAAGACTCCCCAGATTACGGAGATGCATCCGTAGGTAAGAAAAAGTGCTTGCCAGGACTTGATGACTTTGTCTGCGCCAATTAGGGTGAAGCAGTAGGCCAGGAGGCCGCCGACGATCTGTTGGGCGCCGTTCATCATGTACCTAATCCAGTTAGATGATAATCAATCATTTACTTGTGCTTTTAACGAACCAGTATGTCACGGTAGCTGCTTGCTCCTCTCTTTTATACCACATGGACGACAGTGTAACGAAGATAGGCTGGCAACAGGCCTCAAAGATACCCAGCAAGGTACGGACTGTGACCAATCCGGCGAAGTTGTGGCACGCAGCGTGAAGGGCCAGAATCGTACCCCAGAGGCAAATGTTGATACCAAGGTACTTGCCAATTGGGACTCGTTGGATGATCCAGTTGGTCGGGTATTCGACCGTGAGGACAGCGATGTAAATACAGGTAGTCAACCAGGAGTACTAATCCAATGAGCAAGGTTAGGATAGTTAGCCGAATGCATGCTCAAATTCACATACCTTTTGACCATCCTCCAAGTGTGCATCCGTCTTGATACCCATGATAGCAGAGAAAGACATGGTTCCCTTATCCAAAGCCTGCAGGAAATACGTGCAGATCATAATGACCAGAACACGACGATCAATCAAACGCTTGAGACGCTTGTCGGTCTCTGCATCAATTTCCACCGCCACATCAGCAGCATATGCTTGGATTTCCTTGTCAACACGGCTAACATCCATGTTATCCTTCCGCAAGTCATCGCCAGAGAGAACCTGCTCGACATGGGAAATGTCCTGCTTGCTCTGGTACTCGCCCATCTCGACCTGATGTTGAACGGGAGCAGCCTCAATCCCCTGCTGGGGCTGATCCTTGCCTTCAGCCATAGTGAAAGAATGTTCAGTGTACGAAGGCAGTACACGGGGTATAGGACACTGGGATTTCACAGAAGGAGTCAGTCCTCCTTATAATGGCGGCACCGTTTTGCCCGGACCGTGCATACTTCTATCCTAACCACATTCAACACATTAGCCGAAAAGGTTAAACAGTCATGTGGCTTAAATTCGCTTGCACCATACTTTCAACCGTGATTCAAGCACAGTGGCTGTCGGTGTCTTTCCCCGGAATTGCTTGGCAAGGGGTAGATTAAGGCTCCCCGCTGGAGAGTCCGGGGAAGCACTATCCCGAGCTGAGAACCTTGCGACTCGCTTAAGCGGGTGGAGACTGGGGCAATCCCCATTGACGAGTCTCCAGTGGCCGTTTGATAGTCTCCGAGACACGTGGGGGGTTAACGACTCGGTCATCTCTCACCCGAAAGGAGCTTGGCTCGCGCGGGGAAGGGATGTGGCGCGCAACTCCACAGCTCATTAGTGGAAGAACTCTTTAACACCAGCAGTTATTAGGACTCCCTGCCTGGCGTTCAGCTTTTTTTATTTCGCGCCCGGTCAATAAAAAACAACTTGGCAGTCTGATTCGTCAGTCAATAAACACATTCACCAACAACCCAACATCTCACCATGGCGTCTCCCAAACCCTCGGGCCCTGAAATCCACAAGGCCGTCAACCTACTAATCGACAACTTGGTCAACATCAAAGACGAAACGGGCAAATTCCTCCTCCCGCTCCCAGACGGACGCATCATCGACACCAAGTCATGGCACGGCTGGGAATGGACTCACGGCATCGGCCTGTACGGCGTATGGAAGTACTACGAGCTGACAGGTGACGAAAGATTACTGAAGATAATCGAAGACTGGTTCGCCGCCCGATTCGCAGAAGGCGGAACAACAAAGAACATCAACACCATGGCCGTTTTCCTCACACTGGCATACGTCTACGAGAAAACCGGCAATGCCACATATCTCCCCTGGCTCGACGCCTGGGCTGAATGGGCCATGCACGAACTGCCTCGCACGCGCTACGGGGGTATGCAGCATATCACATATATCACGGAGAACTACCAGCAACTCTGGGATGATACTTTGATGATGACCGTCATGCCGCTGGCGAAGATCGGCAAGCTCCTCAACAGACCGGAGTACATTGAAGAGGCCAAGAAGCAGTTCCTTACTCATATCAAGTATCTCTTTGATACCAAGACCGGTCTGTGGTTCCACGGATGGACTTTTGAAGATGGTGGCCACAATTTCGCCGATGCGCGCTGGGCTCGTGGAAACAGCTGGGTGACAATTGTCATCCCAGAGATTATTGAGTTGCTCGACTTGCAGCCCAATGACCCTATTCGTCTCCACTTGATTGATACCCTCGAAGCCCAGTGCGAGGCTCTCCAGCGTCTGCAGTCTCCGTCTGGCGCGTGGCACACTCTCCTCGACCACCCCGATTCATACGTCGAGGCATCTGCAACTGCTGGATTCGCCTATGGCATCCTCAAAGCTGTTCGAAAACGGTACATTGGTCCCCAGTACCGCGCCGTGGCAGAGAAGGCCATCATTGCTGTGATGGGCCATATAGATGAGCAGGGTGAATTACAGAATACTAGCTTCGGTACTGGGATGGGTGACTGCCTTGACTTTTACAAGCAGATTCCGTTGACGTCTATGCCTTATGGTCAGGCTATGGCTATTATGGCTTTGGGTGAGGCGTTGCGTGGTCTGCTGTGAGTGGTGCTTGATTGGTTGAGTTACCTTTTGTATCATGACTTGCATCATAGAAGTGTATATAGTTGTTACTTGGATAGATGACGGTTCATAGATAATGAAATCAAGATTGATGAAATATGTACAGTTTGCATAGGAAAAGAACTTCAAACCAGATGGGGATTCAAATCATATTATACATTTAAGCAAAAAGGGATATCCATACTCTGCTTCATAGCTCGTGACATTGTACAGCGTAACTTAGTAGACACGATGAGCGCGACTTCCACGTCCATCCGTGCCATGCATGCGACGGGTTCCGGCAGCCTGGATCCGATACATGTTAGCTTTGTTCACAAGTTACTAAGTGGAATGGCTCTCACCTTGACAGCTGGACGGTGTGTCAACGACCCCTTCAACTTCAACATGGCACCCGAGAACTTGTCACCGAGACTTGCCTTGCGGCGGTGGTGATGGGCAGGTGCGGTACGGGTGGTCGTTGCTCCATAGCCATGTCCATGGTGACCGTGGTGACCGTGGTGGCCATGTGTGGCATGCGTGGCATGTGTGTTCGGGTGGGTGGTGGTTGTAGTCTTGATAGTGCGCGATCTCGCATTGCGTCCCTTGAGACGGGTCATCAGCGTTGGTTTGCTGGTGCGAGTGACAGTAGCATTGCGACGGCGGTGAAACATTTTGAAATATTGGAGATGGATCTCAGGATTTTAAAATGATAAGGTTGGTAGAAGGATATATAGTTTTTGTTGACTGTGTTGGTGGAATGTATATTTGATCCCCCCACTGGCCAACAAGCTCTTTAAATAAACAAACCTCACCCATCATACAGCGTGGAACCTGATATCTGCTCAACGTAGGCCAAGTACCAAGTTGCCTTCCAACAAGAGAGATAAGAATTGTTGACAGAAGAGGCGCTCAACCGGGACGTCATCCGAAGGACGATCATCGTGAAGATGCCCACTCAGCACACTGTCGCCACCATGCAAGGATCTTGCTGGAAATAGCTACACAAGCTATTGGTAGACTGCTGGTCGTGATCGACATGGATTGCAGGGATATAAATTAACACTACGTGTGGATGATGGCAGTTGGAAAGTATGGGATGATGTCATATGTCATGATGGTCTGTGCTTACAAAGAATGCTTGTTCTTTCTTCCCTTCTACACACATATCTACCTAAGCAGGTCGGGGTGGCCGAGACAGCTGCTCGGGAGTAACACCGTGAAACGGAACACTTGTGCTCAGTGGAAGCTCGATGGTGCCTTCGGTGTGATAGCGTCCCACAACCGCGGTGCGACCTCAGCTTGGCGGCGACCATGTTTTGATAACACCCAGATATGATTGTGATCACTCGACTAGGGGGTCTTCTTTCACGATCTGATAAAGACGATATATCAGTGAACGGAAAGCACAGTCCAGCTTGGACCCATTCTCGAAGAGCTTACCTGCAGTAAGCAGCCACATGCCTGCGTGGCATGGCTAAACAAGTACCGCTTTGACATGCCGCAGTGTCTGGAAGCCGAAATAGCACACTGATTCACTTGATATTGGGATTATGCAGCAGCCGAGGCTTACAAATGGACTCACTCCTGAGAATCCCCGCACCCCGCCCTTTGCCAAGGTCCCATGTAAGCTCGATGGGCTGATCATCGTGAGTGGTGCTGCAATGAAGACAGCCATGCACTTATAAAGTCAGCCTAATCCGTGAGAATCGACTTCTCCACTAGTCTCCCGTTTTCAATATCAAAATATTAAAGATACACAATCTGGAACTTAAGCTGCCAACATGACGGTATCCGAGCCATTGGACTTTACAGTAAGCCTCTCACACGCGCTTACTCAAGAGCTGTCCATTAACCTATATCGCAACAGACCTTTTTCAATGTCATTGACAACCAACTGAGTTCGACTTCACAAACCCGACACGGAGTCAACCCCGCCAACACTCACCCCAACCCACCCGTCCCAGTCTCAACCCAAAATGATCTCGACAAGGCTGTGAAAGCCGCAAGAGCAGCCTTCAAGACCTGGTCCAAGACCTCCTTCGATGACCGTCGAAAAGCCCTGCTCGCCTGGGCCGATGCTATCGACGCCAATGCAGACGGCTTCGCAAAGACCCTAACAATGGAGCAGGGCAAGCCTTTGACACAAGCAACCGCCGAAGTCGGATTGGCGGGCATCTGGACCCGCGGCCTGAGCTCAATCGAAATCAAGGAGAACGTCATCGAGGAAACCGATGATCGCAAGGTCATTCAGCGCTATACACCCATGGGCGTGGTGGGCGCCATTGTCCCCTGGAACTACCCCGTTTTGCTGGCCGCGGGCAAGATCGTCTCTGCTGTGTATACCGGAAACACCGTTATCGTGAAACCATCTCCATTCACCCCATACTGTGACTTGAAACTTGTGGAGTTGGCAACCCGATTCTTCCCCCTGGAGTTGTGCAGTGTCTCAGCGGTGACGACTCCCTCGGTCCCATGGTCACCGAACACCCGGGCATCGACAAGATCAGTTTCACAGGCTCGATCATAACAGGAAAGCGGGTGATGGCATCCTGCGCCAGGACACTCAAGCGAGTAACCCTCGAACTAGGCGGAAACGACCCAGCAATTATCTGCGAAGACGTTGACATCGACACCATTATCCCAAAGATCGGTAACCTCTCCTACCTCTGCAGTTCCCAAATCTGCATGATGATCAAGCGACTCTACGTCCACGAAAAAATCTACGACGAATTCCTTAACAAGCTAGTCGCATTCGTGAAAACATTGAAGGTAGGCGAAGGCACCGAATCAGACGTCTTCTTCGGACCCGTCCAGAATGAAATGCAATTCAAGAAAGCCAAAGATCTCTTCAGCTCGATCACAACGGAGAATCTCAAGGCTGCCCTGGGTGGATCCATCGAATCATCCACTGGATATTTCATCCACCCCACTATCATCGATAATCCCCCCGAATCATCGCGAGTCGTGCAAGAGGAGGCTTTCGCGCCTATTCTGCCTATTATGAAATGGTCCGATGAAGATGATGTGGTTGAACGTGCGAATGCGTTGGAGACTGGCTTGGGGTCGTCGGTTTGGTCGAAGGATTTCGAGAGGGCTACTCGTATTGCGGATCAGCTTCAGTCTGGCTCTGTTTGGGTTAATAACCACTTTGATCTGTCGCCTACTGCGCCCTTTGGTGGGCATAAGCAGAGTGGTATGGGTGTTGAGTGGGGTTTGACTGGGTTGCTTGGGTATTGTAATTCGCAGACTCAGTGGCTTAAGAAGAGCTTTTAGGTTGAGGTTTGTGGTATATAGCTTGTTGTCAATTCGACGGTTCATTGTGTGTTTCCATGGCTTTCGTGTTTAGACGGAGTATGTACACCTGGTTAATTCATGGGGTCTTTGTGGTCCCTTCTTCACACTTTCAAATCCCCTGTGGGTCTGTGTAGCTACCCGCACTTTTGCACGTAGCAGATGGGCGAAGGTGTTGGCCAAGTCAAGCTTATGCCGCGGACTGTGGCGGGGATGGGTAACTGTGTGTATCCATCGACTGATGAGTTCGCTGGAGATTGATGAGTTAGCACGTGGTGAGAGATATTATTTGCGGGAATATTGTTGATAATATACCTTATGCCTGGATTGGGTATCGATTGTATTGGAGAGTGAGTGCGTTAAGCCATCAGCCGCGGAAGTTGGAAACAACATTGAAGTACTCATGCTGCTGCGGTTGAATACATGACATAATAATTTGACGATGATGGGCTATGAGCTTAAATGGAAAGTAACCAGCCTGGGTATACTCTTCGAAATAGAAAAGAATGTTTACATTACATCGCACTCGGCAGCAATTGAGAAGGGAGCTCACTAGTTCCATTTTGCTTTGATAAAAAGGTACATTTTCATAAATGGAACAAATAAAAATGGAAAAGCAAAGAGGCTCGCGCTGCGGTGCTGCGATTCGGCCCTTGGGAGCCGAAGCTCAACGCGCTCTCGAAAGATGTAACAAAGTTGTCAACAACGCAAAGGTGGTGTCTCACAGCGTATCCCCATACCTGAGTACGCGAGAGTCTTGAGACACACTATGGGTGCGACCAACCAGGGTATCAGGCGCGTAAACAGGTTGAAAGGTAACAAGAAACGAGGGCTGGGGACCTCAAGTGAAACCAGCAGTGTAGCAAGTGCACATTAAATTGAGAGTCGAGCTTCAACAGTGATGGATCTCCATGATAGCTTTGAACGAAGGGTCCTGCAGGAGCTGCGTTGCGGTCAGACGTTCCTCGGGGCAAAAAGTAAACATTCGAGTCATGAGAGAGCGTGCATGTTCCCGCTCGATTGGATCAGCATCGGGTAGATCCGTTTCAATTGTTGATGCGAGCGAAAACTCTGGATCAGGAAGTCGATCTTGATCGTACCAGGAGTCCTCGGCGTCGATGCAGAGGCCCTTCCAATGGCTGGGAAGTGGGCCTAAAGAATTGACCAGACCAAATAAGGCGCCACGTCCAAGGTGAGGGAAAGGGTGAAAACCGGTGTAAAGCTCTGCAAAGAGAATCATGTAACTCCACATGTCGCAAGCGAAGCTTGGATCCTGGTTATGGAGCCGCTCTGGGGAGCAATGCAGATCAGGCGGAAAACCCTTCTGAGGCTCATCACCAATTTTCATTGCTAGACCAAAGTCCGCGAGATAGAAATCTTCTGTGCGTAGATTACTCGGGACTTCAAGCTCATTAACAAGCTCTCCTTCCTTCCAGAGGTCCCTACATGCTATCATTTTCTTGAATGGCCGACCGAGTGCTTTATATTTGGCGCCTCGTGTGAGGCCACGAAGAGAAGCCATCCCCCACATACAGTTCCTGTCCGTCAAATCTGCAAAGTAGTTAGTCTAATGCCAGCCAGTAATAGCGTACTTCATGTTATGGGTCACTCGCCTCTGTGAACAATTCCAGCCTTGTGCAGGCTTTCCACGGCCATCAGTAGTTGCTTGGCAGCTGATATTCGAGAGGCGAAAGGGATGCGATCTCGATAATAAAAGTCCATAGATGGGCCTCTCAAGGGTAACACGAGAACTCTGTGATCACATTCATTTCCGGGTAGTAGGAAGGTTGCCAGGCATGTCACTAGGTGGGACGGATCCTGGACATTTCGAGTGATTTCACCGTGGATGCTGATTTCGCTTTCTCCTGATTCACCTGAACACATGATTTTGAGGGCGACATCTGTCTCATCCTGGAGGTCGTAGGCCATCCAAACAGTGGAGGATCCCCCATGTCCAAGTTTATTTTCGACACGGTATCTCTCATTCAGAACTTCCCCAACACAGATGGGATAAAAGACATGTGGATTGTCCTTCGGATCGTAGTTGTCCTCGGGCTCAGCGTTGATACGACATCGTTCCCGCGAATTGCGTGCAAAGTCACCGAAGTCTTCTGGATCATCGTACGTATAGGTGCTTGTATCCACATCTGCATCTGTATTGGATGAGGTAGCCGTTGGAAAGTCGTTGGTCTCATATGTCTTCCAGGGCACGTCAAGCCATTTAGTTTGGACATCGTCGTCCGAGTTCGCAATGCCACTGTAGTCTACCCCATCATCGTGCGCGGAGCTCCGTGGGATTGTTGTCGTTTCTGTCTCAGCTGGGATATCATTAACGTCATTTCCACTCCGCTCCATCGGAGGGGAGTCTGCATCCATGACGGATGGGGTGGTCGTGGGATAGTCCATGGAGCAAACCGTGCTGTCGTGAGATGGTTGGCCACGAAAAGTGCCTGAAAGGGGAGGAGGATGGATGAGAAACAAAGGCTGGCCCAAGAATCAAGTTGTTTGGCGAATCACATGTGACCGTACATGCCCTCTGAAGCTACCAGCCTGATCAGGCAATTGACAAACATCGTCTTGATCCTCAGCTGTCGCTTTCTTTTTCTACCCTCTGCTTTAGCCATTGTTGGGCGTTGAATATTAGGGTTATATTGGATATAATGTATTCATTATAGTTAATGAATAGACTGTTGAGAACAATACCGAATACAATATACGATTGAAGTTGAGCTCTATTGTCGATTTGCGAGTGCTCACTCTCAAATTTGGACTTTATGTATGACCTTGAGTCCCTTTATCTCACTTTCTCTCTTTCCTTCTTCAACCTTTCCCATTACCGTTGACATTAATCGGCATTTCTTCTATCATTCTCAAGATTTCATTGAACGTTTTACCATTCCTTCTATCATGGATGATCCGTATTGGGATCCGTACTGGGCCACCCAACTCCGCGGCGACCAGATCAACTACCCCAACAGTCTCCCTGCCAATATGACTTCTGGATTTGTCCGAGCCATCGAGCTGGAATGGGACCCCAAGGCCGAAAGCAGCCTGAATCGAGCAGTCAGAACATATCGCATTCGTTATGAGAAGCTCAAGGCCATGACCGAACATTACGCGTACCAAGTTGCCGACGAACGCAACAAGAGCTATGTTCTCATTATGTAAGGTATTTCTCCATCGATGGTGAATTGGGATCAGTATCCTAACATTCGGCCGGTTTCCCAGTGGCTCGTTTCACGAAAGCACGACCACCACCCACCGAGGCCAAAAGACAACCAAGCCTGACGGCTGTCACTTCACTGTCAATTTGGAGCCTGGTGAGGAATCAGTTCATGTATACTACAATCTCCGCGTTCCGGACAACCGCCAATACGAGTGGGTTGGCCAAAGCGTCGTTCCTGCACTGAAGCAGGGCGAAACGCACCGGCGCATTGACCCCTTGCAATGCAAAGGTCGCTGGGTGTTTGACGGACAGCACATGGTGGACCCTTATGCTCTTGCCTCGGGAAGTCGCCATTGAACTTTCGCGATTCGGGGTCTCCGGCCTCATCGTCAGAACGTCGAGCCATGTCCCAGGTTCGGTTCATGAGCCCATGTCTTCTCTTATTTGAAAGTCCTATGCGTTTCCATTCAATATTTTGTTGCTTTCCTATGCGTTTTCTAATATCTGTGTTTCACTCAAGGTAAGCAATTGTAACCCATGGTCAATAGATAGACTGGCCAGTATATAATTCTGGTCCCACTTAGATAAATCTGACACGCCAAGGATCTGACCTGCTTGCCTCTTTGGCCGTTTACAGTATCACTGGTGAAATATTGGAAAGTCTCTACATGACTGGTAAAGGGTTACCGGCTTCGGTTTTGATTTCCTCGCCAAGCCCGTTTCTATACCTGGGCACTTATCATGTTTTGGCATGGTGTAGTATTTCCAATGACTATACTAACATTTGTAGGACTTGCAGATCTATTATTTCAATATCATGCCAAGTGACTCTGGCGCACTCTCCACAAAACCATTCTTCACATACAAAGGTCGACCCGGCCCATCAGCCAACAACGAAACATAAGGCTCGCCATCTGCCGGAGCTTCCTGTTTGATCTTCGCGAGCAAAGCCTTGAGAACAGTATCTCCGAGTCCCCTCTTCTGGTGGTCCGGGTGAACGGCCATGTCCGCGATATGGAAATACCTTGATGATATTTAGTTCAAATTCAAAACAGTGTCAACATGTCAAGGACAGTACCAGCCGCCATCTCCTATGATTCTCCCCATACCAACTGGCTTTGGATCCGAGCCATTTTCTTCAAAGGTGATGTAGCATCCGTACCAGCTCCCTGTTGGGATTGCTGTAGCCTGGGATGGAGTCTTTGGCGATAATCCTGCAGCGGAGCGGAGATGGACGTATTCAGGGACTGAAGGGTACCCGTCGTGAAGAATATATCCCGGGGGGAGACTTTTATTATCTGATGAAGCCATTTCGACACTTTGCTTACGGATCTCAAATGGGCAATGTTGAGTTGAGGTTCTGCGGGGGACAACCCCTGTTTTCTTGGCGTAACCAGTTGGCTCACTGGGCGGAGATTGCCGCCGTTTCATGTCTTAGCGCCTACTACTATACACCACACACGGGGTAGTCCCATTACACGTTCAATTCCATGATTTTGATGAAAATATACAATATGAAAACCATTCGCTTGCTTATTTCACGTTTCCACTATATGATCCAGCGACAACCCCCTCCATGCACGTTATACCCCACTCAAGCGGCTGTAGGAACACACTGCGAATAGTAGGGATTCATCGAGGAGCAGGTGGCTTGAGTGCTGCAGACCGTCGCTCCACTCCAGTCGCTTCCTCCGCACTGGCCGTATACAGACTGGGTCGCGCCGCTTCCTGCAGCTGCGGTGGATGTGGTGGTACTCGCCCGGGTGGTGGTCGAAGTGGTGGTTGCTAGCGTTGTAGGCACCTCAGTTGTGGGATTGACAGTAATGGTAGATGATGTTGTGGATGCGCTGACTGTCGCGGTGGTTTGGGCTGTGGTTGTAGTGCCTGCGCTGCCTGCACTGCCTGGTCCATTGATAGGCGTTCCGGAGGCTGTGATTGCGGATGTTGCTTGTGTGATTGAGACTGCGCCACTGTATAATGTCGGACCTGGGACGACCTATTGTTCAAGGGGAGGTTGAATTAGCTTTGCGTGGCATGGTGAAAGTGAGAAGAAACTCACGTATGTTGACAGAGAAGTATAGATGTTGACCAAGATGCCGGCATCAGTTGGACTGTACAGTGCGGTACCGAGGACACCAGCTGGAACATCGGTTCCAGATCCAGTAACCTGTAGATTAAAACACTGGGGATAGTTCTGAGCACCTCCCTGCTCACCAGCGCTGTGGAGGGCAATCCTGGATAGATGAGTCAGTATATCTCATTATCAAGAGCGAGGAAATACACGTACAGCTCATGTCGCAAAACATAGTATCCAGGCACGATAGTGGGAGGAATCTCAACCATCCACGAGGATCCTTGAGCAATAAGTTGGTCGTCACCCCAAATTCCAGGTACGGTGGTATCATCCACCAGTCCGACACCATCAATCTTGAAGAACTCGAGCGAGGTTTTGTCGACGGTCTCGCAGCCTGCTGAGCCACAGTTTGCCAGGTAATCGATCACCGGGCCGTGGTGTGTCTCAGGCCAGTCAGTCCATTGAAGGAAGACCTTGTCACCGGCAGCTACCACGGCGTGTCCCTTGGCGTTGGTTGCATTGACGTGGCAGATGATATCAGAGGTAGTATATTGACCTAGGTCGACTGGTCAGAGCATGGTCATACTGTGAGGTCCCGCGCAATACCGGGAAGGTGAGATGGTGCAATAGCATACTTACCTGGCGAGATGAAACCATTGGCGGTATTTGGAGTCCCCCATGCCACGACAGTCGGCGGCGAATCTGTGTAAGGATAACTGTTGATGTCCCAGCCTCCGAATGAGACACCGTTGATCACGATGTTGGTGATATGGCCATGGCCTGCGACCAGCGCGGAGAATAGGGTGGGTGCGAGGATTGTCTTGTACATTGCTGTGGTAGCGGAGTATGAAAGTGAAGGCTGTTGAGTTGCAATAGTTTGCTTGGTAGAGTAGACATAATTTTGACATGGCAGTAGACCATATATATAGTCAAACAAAGAAGTGGGTTCATTTTAGTGCATGTTCTACATCGGGACAGCTCCGGATTCCCAACCCGCCATAGAGTGAAACCTGAATGCCCAAAGAGCGCAACACATGTGAGCCACGGGGCTGTAAGCGTGACTCCGTGTCAAGATAACTTCGGATTCAAGTCCATAGACATTTAATTACAAGGAGTTTGTTCCGAAACAGCCATAAAAGAAGCAGACATGTCAGGCGCCCTTGGCATGTGGTATTTATCCGGTTGAATAATACGAAGTGGGGCTTCCGGAGCCTTTAACTACACGCCATTTTTCCATATTAAAGTATCTGTACTTCCTTCGGTTATCATGAATATGTGGGAAATGGGCAAAACAACGTCCAAAAAGTTCCAAAGAAACGCCCAAAGAAACAGAGTGGCAGGCACCCTTTACATATCCAATTTATCCAAGTAGGACCGCAGTTATATACTAGCGACTCTATCTATTAGTCATGACTTAACTATAGTTTCTTACAGACATGGGTAAATTTTAAGGACAAGCGCGTCCTGAGAAACTTCTGAGGCAAATGGGTTATGCAGATCAAAAATGAACACCGATAACTCTCGTCCTCGAGATTCTTGCCGGGGAACTGTTTTCCCTCCCATACCGAATCGTGATATCTTCCATGACCACTTTGCTAACAAGCCTGTGAGAGGGAAATAGGGAGCGTGAGAAATAAGAGTAATTATGTAAAGTCCAAGTTACAACTGACCAGTCACGAATAATAATTGACAATACAACCCATCTTTAATGATATGTTCAATATCCAGTGTTGGTCTTTGTAATCCATTCCGTACTTATAATAGGCAGGGAAGTATTAAATATATACAAAGCCTTTGACACACAATAATCGGCAAAAAGGAGGCGAGGGTGGTGTCCGTCGACTTTCTACAGTAGCGGAGAAGGAAGAATCGATGGATCGTGAATAGTATCGTAAATATATAGGATATGAGCGAAAAAAGCATGCAAAGAAACGTCCAAATAAACCCACTCACAATACTGCTGTGCGCTCGGGGCTCCCTCACCCCGCTCCTCCCCACATGTACGGTCTCTAGGCTGCAGACTATAAAAGAATCCCCGACGTCATAAGTTCAGACACCCAAGTTCCCAAATTACAACAAAAATGTCACCACCATTCCGTGCAGAGCAAATCGGCTCTCTCATGCGCCCACCTGATCTTCTAGCTGCACGTTCAGCCGCCGGCGCGACGACCTCATACTCCAAAATCTCAGATGAACTGCATCGCGCAACCGAGGTAGCCATTGGACGGGCTGTCAACAAGCAAGTCGAGCTAGGAATAAGGCCTATCACGTCAGGAGAATATGGGCGCGACAAGTTCTACTCCGGATTCTTTGAACATCTCGAAGGAATGCAGGTTGTCAAGGATATCCCTGTTGTAGATGGATTTCGAACAGGGTTTCCCACCGTCACGGTGCTGCAAAAGCTTGGTGTCTCAACGCGGGACTCTGTAGTTGCTACGGGTAAAATACGTCATGTGGAGAGTGCTTACTTGTCCGAATGGAAGGCTTTGAGTGCTCTTCTTCCGCCAGCCCGGTGGAGGGAGTGTAAGTTGACTATGCCACCTATCACTCATATTCATATGCAGGTATGTACATGTACATGTACTGAGCTCTTCCTTTTGTGAGGAGATCATGACTATAGTGTCTGTGCCTCACTGAATCATGAAATGCAGATGGCCGTCGGGACAGCCTACAGCGCAAGCGCATACTCCTGTGATGAGGAATACTTCCAAGATCTAGCAGCAGCCTATTCAGCCGAATGGCAGATCCTGTACGATGGAGGTCTGCGCTCGATTCAAATTGACGACCCATGTCTTCTATTCTTTGTCTCCGAAGAATTCAGATCCGGATGCTCGACCGACGGGGTCGACCCGGACGCCTTGCTGGACCAGTATATCTGGGCACATAACCTCTGCCTCGCTAGAAAGCCAAAAGGCCTTCATGTGGGCATTCATCTCTGTCGCGGTAACATGGCCGGATCTAAACATATCATAAGCGGTTCGTATGAACGCATCGCCGAGAGGATATTCAGCAGACTAAACTACGATACTTACTACCTTGAGTATGACACCGAGCGGGCAGGGGACTTTCAACCACTTCGGCATTTGCCTATTGGGAAGAATGTCGTGCTTGGCGTTGTGTCGACCAAGAAGCCTGATTTGGAGGATATCGAGGAAATGGTTGCTCGTGTTTATGCTGCTGCTGAGATTATCGCGCGCGGACAGAATCGCACTGTGGCTGACGTTGTTGATACTTCTCTTGGTGTTAGTCCGCAGTGCGGATTTGCTAGTATGAGCCAAGGAGGGGGCGAGGGGATGTCGATAGACTTGATGTGGAAGAAGTTGGTTCTCGTGAAGGAGTTGGCTCGTCGGATCTGGGGTGAGAATCAGCGTGCCTGAACGTCGGACGGTGATATAGTCGTATCTTCGTCATATGTTAACCAATAGTCCAAATTCTTTCTCTAAATTCGTGTGGTCGAGTGTAGGTGGTGTTCTACTGTGAAAGTTGAAACTATTCAGACATCTCCAGGGCTGGAAGGTGCGATCACATAAGCAAATAAGTCTCAACCTTGGAATCCTTGAATGTGAACCCAAATGATTGTTGACAGCATGTATCTCTCTCCCCTCACACTCAGGGGTTCGTTTTCACATTCGAACCGAGCAGTTTTGAGTGGAGACAACTCCACAGCAAGAAGCGTTTGATCACGGCAACGATCGGCGGGTCCGCGTATGAGCCGTGCCATCCGAGATATATAAGGCCCGGGTTGTCGCGATCTTCGCGCATCAACACTCACAGACTTAGCCATGCGGTTTGACATCCTTGCCCTTTTGCCCCTGGCAGCTCAGGCAGTCAACATCATCTCATCCAACGACGATGGCTGGGCCGAGGTCAATATCCGCGCAATGTTTGAGTCGTTAGGAGGAGCGGGACATTCAGTTGTGGTATCTGCCCCGGCTGAAAACCAGAGTGGCACGGGTATGTGATGCGCATCCCTAGATTCCGCTGTTATTGACAAATTCCAGGATCTCGACAGAAGACCCCGACAAACTTGACGGAGCCATGCGAGTTCAACAGCTGCCCATCTGGGAGTCCGGCTGTGGGATATAATGCCTCGGAGGTTGGTCTCTCGCCATTCAAACGACGTCCAATTCTGGACATACATACTAACTCGACCAAAGCCTCGCCTCGGCTATGTTAACAGCTACCCAGCAACCTCGATGAAATACGGCATCGAGTCGCGCGCCCCGGAGTTCTTCGATGGGCCCCCAGACCTGGCAGTCGCAGGCCCCAATGTCGGCAACAACATTGGCGTCGCAGTATATTTTTCCGGCACAGCAGGCGCCACCACCTATGCCGCCAGCGCCGGTATCCCCGCAATTGCATTCTCCGGAGCCACCGGATCGCAGACATCCTGGAACGCGTCACGGCCAAACTACAGCGATGTCTACGCCGATCTCGCAACTAACCTCACCAACCACGTTGTAGCCGCTGGAAAGCCGTACCTGCCAGACGGTATCTGGCTAAACGTCAACTTCGGGTCAGTCTCGGACTCCGAGTGCAGTAACCCACAAGACTTCTCCTTCGTCCTGTCCCGCATTCACGTCGCTGTCCCGCTCATTACACCCCATGATGTGACCACGTGCGGAGACACCAGACTGCCAAGTGAAATTGAGGTCTCTCTAGCCTCAGGGTGCTGGGCGAGTGTTTCAGTTGGCCTGGCAAGCTCGAAGAGCGACGCCAATGAGACGATGCAGGGGGTGGTTTTGCAGAAACTAGGCAATTTGCTTACCTGTCTGCCGTGATTGGCGCGAAAAATGCCACTAGAGCAGGAACATGCAGCCCAAGTTCCCTCACAATTCCCACGTGTTGTAAATAGCCCTCTTCGGCGTATTGCAGATAATCATAAGAGAGGCCGCTGTCCGTCCGGGTATATTAAACTCCACCACATAGTTCAAAAACAACCACAGCCTAACTCCATTTAAGTATATCCACGCGTCCGGAGAAAAAAACAAAAAAATAACGAATCACCACTCATGTCGATCGCACGCCCACCTAAGACATGACCGTCGATCACATCTAATTCCGCAGATGAAAGTGGGTCTAACCTCCGCGTCTATACTCCATCAGGGCTGAAGACCGTTTCAACCGCACTTCGCTTCTTTCAGCAACCGGACGCTACGGAGATACTATGGAACCATGGCCCGCTCGACGAACGGTGGATATATAAGATGATCGCAGAAGCTTCATGTTTGGGATATCTTGTCGTCGTCTTCTTCTGCCTTTCTTGCACACACCAACCAACCCTTACAGTATGATTTCCCATCTGCTTGCTGGGCTCGCAGCCTTCTCTGTGGCACGCGCCTCTCCCCATGACCTTTTCCGCCGTGGAACTGTCGCGTCTGATGCGATTGTTGGGTTGCCGCAGACTGTGCCCAGTGGGACGGTTGGGGAGGTTTATCTGGCTTACCAGCCGGATTTGTATGTTGTCAATGGATGTGTTCCGTTCCCTGGTGTTGATGCGGCGGGTAATACCAAGTTAGTTTCATTCATGCTCTTTCATTCATCATCTTGTGGCTCTAATAGGGTATAATCAGTGCTGGTCTTAAGCCTACAGGTGGTTCTTCTGATGGTTGTAGCAGCAGCACCGGTCAAATATATGGTGAGCCACTTTCTAAACACAGATTGTCTAACGTGAAATTATTCTAAATAACCCATTTTTGTGCTGGATAGTCAGAGCAAGCACCTCAGGCGACTACTACGCCCTAATGTACTCATGGTACTTCCCCAAAGACGAACCATCAACAGGAATCGGCCACCGGCACGACTGGGAAGGCGTAATTGTCTGGCTGAAAGATTCCACGACGATTTCAGCTTCTAACGTCGTCGCTGTTTGTCCTTCTGCTCACGGCGGCTGGGATTGCAGCACTGATGGCTTCACGCTTCATGGCACTGCTTCCCTGATCAAGTATGAGTCTATTTGGCCTGTTGATCATAGTTGTGGTCTTACGAGTACTGTTGGTGGGACTCAGCCGCTTGTTGCTTGGGAATCTATGTCTAGTAAGTCCTTTGTTTTGGAAAGGAGTTTTTGGGATGTAGTTGCGCTGACGCTTTTTTCCCCTTGTAGCTGTTGTTCAAGATGCGCTGGATACTACGGACTTTGGATCTGGGAATGTTCCGTTCAATGAGAATAACTTTGCTAATAATTTGGCGAATGCTACTTTCTAAGAACTGGTTCCGAGGTGAAGTCGCATGGGAATTTGGACTTTGTTTGGGCGGTCATATTACTTTGAACTGAGGAAATGTATATGCAGCAGGGGTTATAAATGTGTATATAGTGCCATGTAGTATTGAACAGTCTCCATACAAAAGCCTCAAAGCGAGTATACCGTTTCATATATTGTTTCTACCCTACTTTGGCCACACCTTTCTCCTCTTTTTTTTTTTTTTTTTTTTTTTTTTTTTTTTAGTTTTGTTTGCCTCAAGTGTCTGTCACTTTCCGAGACTTCCTTCTAAGCTGACCATTATAAATTGACCTTGATTTCTTTTCCTCTCTCTCCCCTTCTCTCGCCATCCACCACCAGATGACCGAAGTGGTCATCCTATATGTCTCTTTCGCAATGTTGATATCTATTGCCCTAACAGTTTCTTAGTGGTTCCCTCCTTCATTACACTATCAATCAACGCCACCAAAGTAAATGCTGGATATTTCCTCAGCCTTTCGATCCCGAGTCAACACGAGTCCCACATATACCTCGAAATCAACGATGCTCTTACCGGGAAGGTGGAGTGGTTGTGGAACACGTTCGGACTCGACGCATAGTTTTCTGCAAGCAAACCTGGGTGGAAAACCCGGAGTTATGCAATGGCCAATATATGTTTGGCGGAGTCAATATGGCTTCCCCGAATTATCCCGCGCTGCCCTTTCCACCAGTGAACCAGCCAATGGACCGGATCCTTCGCTTTGAAGCTTTTCCTGAAAAGTCACGCTTCTACTCTATCGGCTTTGATTTCTAATTTTTGCTCTTATTCCATGCGCTTGCCGTTTGCGTGTTTTCCATATGTGTGTAAGTCGTGTAGATTATATGAAGGCTGGGGTATGAAAGGGCTTTTGACCTATGACTGTCCGCGGCCCTGCAATCTACAGTATGGAGAAACGTGGCAGCTAAGGGCACTGTCTAGTGATAATGTTTTAGGAATATTGTAAGGCGAAGGATGAACCGACTGTATAGTATATGTTTAGATGATCTCTAGTCCCTATCGAAGCTACCTGGATCGACGCCTGCCATGTATCTTTCAGTGTGGTGCTTACGCATCAACTATCGAATTGGAAATCCAACCGTTTATTTCCTTGATCGGTAGTCGTTTGTAGATACGTCGCCTTCTCTTCAGCCGTCAAGCTTTCCCACTGTGTTTTCTTCCACCGGTTTCTGGCCACATAGTATGCCTTTGCCAAGATATACGCGACAATAGTAGCAATGTTGATAGCGATGAGTTGGGAGTTTCCTCGGCGATAGAGGGGCTTGTCGTCTTTGCGATATATATTCGAGGAGGCAATACCAGAGAGCTGGATAGTTATGTTGTAAAGGGCGGCCGAAACGGTTCTCCTACAAGTGTGGATCAGTATTCAAAGAAGTCCGGTAACGAATGATAAGGAGTAGGTACGTTCGCACGGCATTACTGAGCCGGGAGCACCATCCGACATGTGCTGCATGTGGGTTTGGCCATCCTAACAGTATGAATGTCACCGCATAGAGACCCCAGTTCGATAACGATCCGGATGAGGTATAAAGCACGATGAGAAGTGGGAGACTCCAGACCTGGGTAAGTAGACCAATGACTGAAATTTGGTGAAAACGTTCTGTCAACTCGGTTATCAGGACAAGGTTAATAGCCCCAAACACCGTAACGGGGATTGTTAATAATGTTGTTTGAAAAGTGCCGAATCCAATGGCTTTGAGCGATAGCGTGAGATAGGTCTTTGGTGGAGAAGTCGGGATCTCAAACAGCATCCCGATGACATAGATCGGCCATAAGTCATAATCCTTCAAGCTCTGCCAAAACATTCCAAGGGAAAGCGCTTCACGGTTATGCATGTCTCCCTTTGAAGGGTCATCACGCAGGACACGGCTGACGATAATCATCTCTTCTCTTTCAGTGAAGTAACCTTTCGGATTCCACCAGGTCTTTGTCTGTGTAGGACCCGGGACCAAGAACAAGAAACTCAAGAATCCAATCACAATACTGATCAGAGCCTCGATTAAGAACAGCCATCGCCAACCCTCGCGGCCATCCACTCCACGCATGTGCAGGACACCATAGGCGATGAAAGAGGCAATCACACCAGACATGGAGTCCACAAACCAGAACATCGCAAGACGGAAAGGCATCTCCGTTTTGGTGTAGAAATAAGACAAATATAGTATTGAATCAGGGATGAAACCACCCATGAAAAGACCGATGAAGAATCTGCAAGCAAAGAAGCCCGCCCGATTATGCATGAAGAATTGACCACCCGAGGCCAAAGACCACAAAATGATCTGGAAAGGAATCCAGCGATCTGGACCCAATCTTTTACCGAGCATCTGGGAAGGAATCTCGGCAATGAGGAATCCAACACGGTACATGTTCTGGGCGTTGTTGTAGTCATTCGTGGTAATGTTCAAGTCATCCAACAGGTTATCAGCAGCAGCATTGCCAAGGTTGCCTCGATCGAGGTTCAACCCAAAGAACATGACAAGAATCCAGACCAAGATCTTACAGTCGGTTTTGCGTCGCACGGACGTCTCCTCGCGGTGCGTCCACCTTTCTTTGATGTCGAATCTGTGCAGATTCTCGTAGTCGGGCTTGGGCAGGTAGAATCTACCAAGCAAGGGATCATCGAAGACACTTCGAACAGTGGCAATTGCATCAGGGTCGACTATGCGTTTTCGCGAAAAGAGAGCAGAAAATAGAGACTTGGACTCGCGGGGCTGCTCTGGATCTGCGAGTGTGGCCGGAGCTTCCTCCTTCGAATGGTAGTCTTCACTATCCTGAGGCTCAGAATATGAGACTGGCGGCTCCTTTGAGGATCTCGATTCCATGACTTTCTACACACTTCGGTGCAGTATATAATGAAAGCGATGCGAATGAGGGTGGAAGGACGAAGGCGATGTCATGATAAGAAGCATAGCGAGACCGACCGTTATATACGTAATTTTTCCCGAGAACATATTTTCCATTCCAAGACACCATGTCAAAAGGCCGTAAAGAATACGTGCTCAGTCAAAATCATGATGCGATTCGGGCCAAGTGACCGGAGGCAGGGACTCCGATGAAGGAGATAACGAATCCTCCTCTTAGGTAGACAAAAACGACTCCTCAATCTAAGTAGGCTGGATTGGTAACCTAGAGAAGAAAGACCAAGCAGTTGTAGTAGGAACGCTTTTCTTGGTCAATAGAAACAAGCCTTGTCATTTAGCCGATTCTTTCGCCATGTAAGCGCCGATGGCATCAACCGTTCTTTAATTAAAGCAATCAGCGGTGAGCGCATGCAACTTCGCAGTGCTAGATTGGTGGAAGATCTTTATTGTTCAATATATCTGGCTTTCAGGGTTTCTGGCATGATTGAGGGACCCGACGCCACCATAAATACCGACATGAACTTTTGCTCAAATCCATCGGCCTTGGCACACTACCTTCAATCAGCCGTAATGACTCCGAGTTTAAACTACACTCGTTCCGACTGTCTTCCGAGTGCCAAGGAATAATTGTCTTGGAAAAGCTTTGTGGAACGTCTGGGGTCGAGAATCAGCTGTCGAGGTAGGTATATTGACAGTTCTTCAACTAAGGGAGGAAATGGTTTTTGGAGAAGTATTGAACATTTCCTACATTTCAATCAAGAGGAAAATCTCCATTTAGAAGTTACATTGAGTTCTATGTAAATGGCTATATCTAGATTTCCCCCAACTACCTCATCCCCTCATACCAATCATCCCTTGCATCCACAACAAAGCAAGTCTTTCCGAACTTCTTTCAAACAGTCCCAAGGTAAGAATCTATTCTTTTCCTCTTCTCATTTAGAAACTTCCCCAGTAATGTAAATCATAGTCCACTCCACCAGGGCGCCAAAGGGGAGCAGGACTATACACGGGGATAGGAGATGCAGCTATCAAAGTGTATGTTAGTCACATCTTGTAAGTTCTGGGGGTTGCTCAGCTTACTGCCATAGCCGGTACTAGGTGCAGCCCATGTCGGAGTGCTTGGGGTTTTCCATCCAGTTGGGGATGCGGTAATTGTATATGTGCTAGTGTAAGTATAAGGAGACTGGCCAGAATTCAGGGGTGCAATGCCGTTATTGGGCCCGTAACTGTTGTCTCCAGTTCCAAATATGTTGCTAATCTTGTTGACAACCGAGGTACCTGCTTCTGTCCAAATGCTGAAATCCTCGACTGTGACATTCGTTGCATACGTGAGGTCGTTTGCAATAAGGTACAGTGGAGGGCGCTTTACACCATCAGCAACGGATCCTAGGTATTTTGTCAGTCTATCATTGTGCACAAAATGTTAGAAGCCAACCAACCAGTGAAGTTCCGGAAAACTAGATTACTCAATGCGACAGCACCAGTGTCGGGCTCGAAAGTGCTTTGCCAATACTGATTGATATCCAACCCATACAAACTTCCAAGAGAACGGAAATTGGAGAACGAAATGTTGGTGACGTATCCAGATCCCCCAGGATATGTCTTGATAAGAGCGATGTTGTTGCCTTGGATAATGCTGATATTACGTGCTTCCTGTAGTAAAGTCAGTCCCCGAGAGGTTTCTGTATTGATTGAAAGAGCACACACGATGTTGGAGATCTCAGCAGACACATTCAAGCTGCCGATGGATATTCCGGACCCAGCCTGGTTGCAGACCAAATTCTCGACCAAAGCATGATGAGACGGGCTTTTCACTGAAACGCATTCATCGCGATTTGTGACCTATGTTCAATGGTTAAGCTTCAGATTGAAGTTCAGCTCCATGATCTCCAGGTCATACCTCGTTGTCATGGATGTGATAGTTGGTTCCAATAGCATCAATGCCATCGTAACTGCCCAAGTTCCCTCCCCGAATCGTGAGATGATAAACTTCCACGTTGACAGCGAAATCGAGAATGATGTGAAACTTGGGACTGTCGACAAGGATCAAGTCATGTACCGAGGCATTTGTTGGAGAAATCAAACGTATGAGGCGAGGGCGATCAGTGCTAGGAATTCACACAATCCAGTTAGATGTAGCTTTATCTCGAAGAAATTCAAGTTTCCTTACTTGTTGAGGTTCCGGTAAATATATCCTTGTCCTTGGAAAGCGCCCTTGCCATTCGAAGAATAAAACTCGAAATCCACAGCTGTCTCTCCGTGTCAGAGTTTGCTATTCATATAACTGAAAATTTACACCAAGAGAGATTACACTCACCATTGACAATAATAAGAACATCTAACAAAAACTTTTGGTCACCCTCTCCATTGATGGTGGCATTGATGATGTCACTTCCTGCATATCCTTGGAGTACCAACTCACGCGCAATTGTCCAGTCTCCTCCATACGCAGCAGTAATCAATCCATCCAGTTGGAAAGCCCAGTTTGTACCATTACTGAGCGTAACACCTCGCTTGATCAAATATTCACCTTCTGGTACAATGAGACGGCTACCTGGATTTTTGAGGACGCATTCGGAAAACACAGTTTCTAGTGCGGTCGATATATCGGTGCTATTATCCGCAACTCCGCCATAATCGAGGATGTTGCACTCGATATTTTTGTTCTCGAGGGCTGTTGTAGGGCCTACGGGGCCAATCAATTGACCAGCGGCGATACCCGACAGCAGGGGAAGGAAGAGAAGGGATATCTTCATCTTGTGGCAATGAAAAAGTAAATTATGGTTATAACTCTGCGATAGTTGTGCATTTGGATCTATTTAAGCGGAATCATCAGAATCCGAAGTCTGAGGAATTACGCCATGGTCGTTTCTGGTAGTGCTGTTGAGCAGCATAATATGTTATACCGAAGGCGCCATAATTCAATCGCCCGAGATGCGATAAGGAAATTGTTTTATTCGAAATGCCCGTTTTTCATTATAAATCGTGTTGTATTCAGAATGAGTTCGTTCTACAGTACTAATTTCCGCTATCAAAAAGGTAGACGCTTGCCAATAGGCAATAGTTATGACAACAGTTTTAATTAATATTCGGTTAAACACCTTGGAGCCTAACGGGGGCTATTTGTTCTTGACTCATTTGCGATGAAGCACATCATCTCTCTAGCAGATCGCGCTGACACGGAAATTGAACAAAGAGGGTTAGGCTTGATCTGAAGTAAATGCACCAATAGCTGAAAGGATTTGATAGTAGGCCCCTTGTAAATTATCCTTATTTGCTCAAAACCCCCAAAGCTACTGATAAGAGAATTTCAAGTCATACTTTCAGTGACTCGGTCGAAAATGTCGGGCAAGAAGAACATCCTGTTGATGGTCGCCGATGACCTCGGCAAGCAGCTCGGTTGTTATGGAGCTTCAACTATTCAAACCCCGAACATCGATCAGCTAGCTGGACAAGGCACGCGGTTTGAGTACGCCTTCGCGAGTACTGCTTCTTGCAGTGGGAGTCGCTCTGTTATCTACACAGGTCTACATACTCATCAAAATGGCCAATATGGACTTGCCAGTCACCGCCATCACTTCGTTACATTTGATCACGTCGAGACGGCGCCCCAGCTGTTGAATCAATGTGGATATCGGACCGGGATCCTGGGCAAAATTCATGTCGGACCCTCCTCAGTCTATCCCTGGGAAGTGAAAAAAGAGAGTGAAACGAGGGATGTTGCCATTATTGCCGACCAAGCGAGGGACTTCTTCCAGGATTCGCAATTAGATGAGAGACCTTTCTTCCTGACGATTGGTTTCCATGATCCTCACCGCGATCGCACGAGAGGCGGCTTCGGAAATAACCAGGTGTATGACTCTCGAATCCAGACGGGGAACTATAATCTAGATGATGTCGAAATCCCACCATTCATCAACGACTCTCCCGGTACCCGATCTGAGCTGGCCGAGTACTACAACTCCATCCACCGGCTTGATCAAGGCGTTGGGTTTGTTTTGGATGCCCTGACAAAAGCCGGTCTTGCGGATTCGACATTGGTGATCTTCATCAGCGACAACGGACCGCCTTTTATCAATTCGAAAACTACCCTCTTCGACGCGGGTGTCCGGCTTCCTCTTATTATCAAGCATCCAAATATCAAGCCCGCTGTGAATGGTGACATGGTTTCATATATCGATATATTGCCTACCTTGCTCGATTATGTAGGTCATCCAGGTGCAATCGACCCGGCCAAGAAACGACTAGGTCGCTCATTGCTTCCTATTCTTGGCAGTAACATGAGACTCTCAGACTGGAATAAGGTCTTCGGCTCGCATACGTTCCACGAGGTGACAAATTACTGGCCAACGCGATTCGTTCGGGACCGACGCTACAAATACCATCGCAACCTCGCATGGCGTTTAGATTTCCCATTTGCTGCTGATCTCTACGGGTCTCTTTCCTGGGAAGATATTCGCAACTCACCAGACAACGAAATCACAATCGGCGCACGCAAGCTCAAGGATTATTTCTTCCGAGCGCCGGAAGAGCTATTTGATTTGGAGAACGATCCAAATGAAGCCAACAATATCGCGAAAGACCCAAAGTATTCTGCTGTATTGGATGATTTGAGAGGGAAGTTGGAAGAGTGGCAACGTCGGACGGAGGATCCTTGGTTGTACCGGGATGGCGTTTCAACCTGGTTTATTCGATACCATTTTCCAGCTGGGCTGAAGGTTCCGGATCGATTGGACTTTGATATTGACCGGCCAGGCAATCGAAATGAAAAGCCCTTTGAGGGGAATGGACCTTGGGGTGCTGAGGTGGATGATTCCAAGAATGTGGGTTAGAATGTTATAGACTGATCTTAGGAATTAAATAATATTCTTTCGGAAAGTGGAAGCAGTGACATTAATCGAGAGCTGTGGTTACTACAACAAAAGATATGTCAGATTCGAAAAGAAGGAGCCACAGCTTATTCTTTATACCGCCTATGTGTTTGGGTAGTTTGCAGCTTATTGGAAGGCTCTAATAAGAGAGGGACATGTCAACCGGTAGAAACTAGTACCAGAGAGTTGTGATCAAAACAACACGCCTGCGAGAAAGAACCAGTATGGGTGGGGAAGGAAAGGACATGTTAGCGGTTCAGGGGTGTGCAGGATATTCAGGTTTAAAATAGTGGTGTTCAGGGCATTCAGGTAAAGGGGCTGAAGAGTAGGGCGGCAAGAGGGACTCTCCGAACTTATAAAAAAAAGGTGAATGCGGACATACAACAGGGATGATTCGCTGGCGGTCACCCGCCCAACTACTTACTCACTGGCGTGTGGTTTAAGTATGGCTGAGCGGACTGGGAGCCCTGTTTTCTACACGCTATGGTCGTATGTGCTTGTGACAATATATTCAAAGACTATATATAGGGTAATTTCTAGCCCATGATAGAAATACTTTGTCTATAAATAGAGGACATCGAGTAGCATTACGCCCGCAGATGTGACCGGCACTAGATATTGCGACTAATTGAAGTGAGCCATTCTCACGAATATGTCTTGTTCTTGAAAGTACCCAAATGCAAAACGGATAATACAATATATTCGTGTTCAAAGATATCAAGTTGAGTATGGGAGATCAGTGTACTAGATGCGGGATCGGGTGCATGCCTGGTGGTCCCTCGTCACTTGTAGAAATTTTTGAAGTGGTCTTACGTTAAATGCTAAGGTCATAACTTTTACTCAACTCATAAATTGATATAGCAATTGACATGATCCAATCTCTGAAGATATTAGCACCTATAGATCATGGAATTCTTCGCCACGATTGAATATACGTAAACATAGAAAGGTTATCTTCTCGAATACAACGCTCGAAACTATCCGCAGTAGACCTTAAACAAATTATCAAAAACATCTGCCATTTACAGCCAATCCAACAGGCATTTAGCCCCAAAGTGCAACATTAGCGATGCTCTCTCAACATACCCGGCGCCTGACTCAAGAGAGGCAGGGCGCGCGCAGTCACCGATCTGTTGGTGGATCGCCTCGAATCGGTGCACTTGCTACGCGGTATCACAAGTTCTAGAAGCTCATCAGCATGGCCGTCTGCAAGTATCCTCAACACATCCTTAGGAACAACCAGTGAGAGGTCAAAATCAAGAATGGTCGCCAATTCCGAGCTTGTTGCCGATTCAGGACAACCTAGGTAAGATTTGGCGACATATACCTCGGCGGCCCAGATAAGGACTTCATTTGAGACACGAAAGCCTGGCAACGACTCCAAAAAGACACGCAATAAGCAGCTGTTTCCTCTCCCCAGCGCGGTCTCGAAGGGTCCCTTCGATGTCATTCCTTGCATATCCGAGGCGTTATCGTGTGACACCAATAACCTTGCTCGATCATCGCGGAGATGGAGGAGTCGAGGTTTGTAGGGATAAGCGCCTTCTTTCAACAATGTGGATACGATATCTGGGTAGTTTCCGTCAATGGCAGCGAAGAGCCCGTTTGGAGCTCTGGTGCCCAGTCTCCCACTTTTTGGATGGTCAATAGTTGAGATACAATCTCGGTATGGCCCGTGGAACAGGCTAGCTCAAGTGCTTCACACGCTTTAGGGTCGCCAATCATAAGTTGAGCTCCACCATTGACGAGGCAGCGGACTGTATCTTCTATGTCTGTAGTATCGGCATGTGTTGTTTCATGAATCCCTAAATCCATCGCCGAAGCAGCCATTGGCATCTCAGTCGAAGCGGTAGGCTGTATGAATGTGTCGGAATTTCCAACTTTCCGCTCCGCGGAGGTCTCCTCCAGTTATCAGAAAGTAACAGTCAACAGCCCACGTAGCCCTCAGCTAATTGGCCAGCCGCAAGCCATAGGCCCACGACTCTAGGTTTGCTTCCATAAACGTGATAACCCACATAGCAGCCTGCCAAACATGGTCTTGTGTGGCTGTTTCGGATTTCGGCAAAGTCGACCGGAGATATCGGAGGCGAAAGAGAACGGCAGATAGCGCCCCTCTTCCATGTGTGTACGAAGCTGCTTCAACCTCCAGACGAATATTCTCTTCTCTGTGGCCTGAGACGTTGTTTCAGCTACAGCAAGATTAGATGGCCCACAAGTTCTCGAACAACTTCATTACCACCAGGGTTGTGCACTATGGCGAGGCAGTCTCTGGTGAACACCGTCGGATTCGAGCAACAATCAGTTGCCTACCCTGCCGCCGTCGAAAGGTCAAATGCAATCGCCAATCACCTTGTCACCATTGCAACCGGCTTGGGAAAGCGGAGCGATGCGTTTACTCTGTAGAACGGGATCGCAATTTTGAACTCCCACATTGGCGCACTGCTACTCAGATCCTACCACCTCTAAACAAGTCAGCAGGTCAAGATACACTGGAAACCACGGAAACTCTCAATGTTGCCGCACTAAACCCATTTTGTGAATCCTCAAGTATTACTGGGGAAGATTCCCAGCGCCCTGTTGACTCAGAGACATGGCATACGCCCGGACATTTTTATAGTGGCATAAGTCATTGGTCTTTTCTTCTCCCTGAGGTAAGTATCCCTCTTTAATTAATTTATCCCTTTTCATCCTCATATTGGATAGCGTGTAGTTTTATGTTCATGATAGCTAATTCTGGTGCAGTTTACAGATCTGTTGCAGTATGTAGACCAAGGAGGCTACAATGATCTGCAGGGGCACCATATTAATTATAAGGAGACGAAAGGCCGCATGCAAAGCACCCAGATCCCAACACTGCTTGCTTCCGTCCAACCTAGTGCTATCTTTTCTGAGCTTCCTCCCCGAGAGTACATCAACATTTGTGTGACCAACTACTTTGAGATTTTCGAGTGTGTGTATGGTATTATTCACAGTCACTCATTTCTGGGCAAGCTCGAGCAATTCATGCAAGCCCCTGAGCAGATGTCACCTTACTTTGTCTTCCAGCTCCTGCTTGTTATTCTAGTTGGGAATAGTACTGTCTGCACTGCAAATGGACGACTCGAATACTCAGCAATTGCTCATCTGTGGTCCAGGGTGGTTTCATGGAGGTCAGCTGCCTTTCTTCTGCAAGAGATTGACTTGGAAATTGTCCAGCTTGACACGTTAATGTTGCTGGCAAAAAGAATATACCACTTTGAAACACCCCAATGCATGCTCATATCACCGTATGTGATCCATAGAGCAATGCTTCTCGGCCTTCATCGTGAACCGACGCTATTCAACCGATTCTCCACGCACGAAGCAGAAAGCCGTCGGCGCCTATGGTACGCTATTCTCGAGCTTGACCTTGTTTGCGCTATCGATACTGGTATGCCGCCTTCGTTAGAACCTGGTTCCTGGGACACCTTGCCGCCGCGTGCTGAAGTAGAAGAAAATTATGAATACGCCGAAGATCAATCATCTCGGTCTGCTCAACTTGGCATCGGAAGCCGCGGTCTTGCCTTGTTGACCAGATCACTTCCTCTCAGGCTCCGGATTGTGGGGGCCGTGAATAAACTTCGGTTCATAATGGGGTTCGAAGAGGCTATTCGCCTAGGAACGGAGCTAGTGAAGGAGAGGACATCGATAGAGGATTTCATAAATTCTCAACAATACGCGACAGATCAGCAATCAATCACTGATATCGTTCAAGAATTACTTCAACTAACTTACGATCGAGTTCTATTTTGTCTTCACAAACATTTTGCCGCCCGGACGAAACCCGAGTACGAATTCTCCGAGTATACCTGTCTGCGCCTATCTTCTAGAATGCTTGACGTGCTGCTCAGGCCGACTCGTCCAACAGAGACCAATAAACATGGCACTACTTCTAGAAAAGGCGTGTTGGGTACGCTCGCAAGCAGTGGAGGCTACTTCTTTGAAAGCGATGCTCTTAATGCCGCACTGCTTATTTCCTTTCTCCTTGTGCGGGATTCCTGCGCCATTTCTTCTCCGAGCACCCAAATATCGTGTATCGACAGATTACGGAACTTTATACATGTTGCTCGGGAGCGGACATGCTTGCCTTACCCATCTGGCAAGGCATTCATAGTGCCTTCTATGGCCCTAGAGTATGTTTCCTTTGTTAGATCAGGTGGGACCAAAGATAAGAGCCTCCACACACGGCTTCAGGAAGCTGGCCGCAAGATTTCCAAAGCTGCCTTACTGGCTTACTTGGCGAGGCCGGGAAGCTTGATGAATCATATGGATGATATGGAGGCCGTCGTTGATATGACTCCTGCGTTATTTTAAGCGCTCTTTGGGGTTCTGTGGCTGTGGTGTTCGCTCGCGGATGTGTATTCTAAGAGGTTTTACAGCCAAAAGGGAATCAAGAGAAACATGTGCATTCAACGAAGGTATTAAGTCTGGGAAAGAAAAAGGAAGAGTAATCCATCCGGTGGGATGGCGCTTGATATGTCCCATGGTAAGGATCGCCTTCTGTTATCATCCCGATTCAGCCATGTTTGTTTCCATCGTCATATCCTCAACCATTCGCGTCCAGACCGTCACAGGAGGGACGGAGTTTTTAGTCTATAACAGTAGGAATGCTTCGCTGTTTATTGATCAACAAGACAAACGAAACCAGTTGCTGCAAAGCCATTAGATATTCCACGGCCGAAAACCTCTAGTATACCTGACAAGGAAGCCGACAAGCAAGTCAGCTTCATGACTATAGGTGATTAAGAGTCGCAAGTTATTCATGGCTGGACGGTCATTCGCAGGACTAGTGCAGGGAAAGCTGCAAAATACAAAAACAGGAGGGTTATCTTAGTAGGGTCCGCTGTTTTCTTTCAGACATGTCAAGGTGTGCTGCACCAGCATTTTCTGTATTACTATGAAGGTCATACTAGAGATAACTTTTCGCCATCAAGGTATCTTAAATTTGCGTTTTTTGGTTGTTGTACATACATACTAATCATGGACGAGTGCAACAAGCGGCGAAAACACTTGCTTGTGAGCATCTTACCGAAATCAGACTCCAATCTTGCTCGAGAATTTCGTCACCTAACCCGAGATTGAGCTTATACGTCTTCCAAGTTAATTATACATAAAGTACACACTCCTGCGACTATTCTCTGACTTGCTGAACACAGTATAACCGGGGCCCCGTAATTGGCGGCACTGGTACTTCTACTCTGGATGCTCTTGTCAAATTGTTTCTGTTGGCTTCCCTCCTTTGTTGGGCACCTATAATCATATATATGTTACTGTTATCTGGAGAATTATCTTAGAGAAGTAATCCTATTTTGCTCCTCACTCTTCTTCACTTCATTTGAAAACCCTCTTCCTCTTTGGCCTAATCGAAAACGAGTCCTTTGAAGCAAGTTGGTACTGCACACTAGACGTGAGAACTGCGGGATCGGACTACCTGAATATCCTCAATCTCTACCACCTCCCTGTCACCGGCTTTAGCTGTTACCACATTATTGATAATCTCCTCGTGTATAGCACACTGATATTTAGAAAAGTCCCGGGCAGGAATTCTAGCGCTGAAAATTTCGTTGATCTCCTCCAAAGTGCGACCTTTCATTTCCGGTATGAAAAAGAAGTAGAAGACTAGCAATAGAAAGCTAGAACCGGCCCAGATGTAGTTATATTTTGCTCCCTGGCGCGAGTCAGCATGGAAATTTTAAGTCTTTGTATGTGTTTGAACTGTAAAAAGTGCTGGCATTTGGTGAAAGTAATGGTTAAGGAAACTTTGAACATACCCAATTCATCTCTGTAGGGTTGATAAAATAGGGCGTACAGAAGGTAGTCAACCATGCGAGTAAATTACCTAGCGATGTTGCAGAGCCCACTGACCACGCTCTTAGCCTTGAGCTAACAAGCTCAGTCGCAACAAGGTAACTGGCCACTTGTATGCATCCATTGACGAAGACCATATAAATGGCAGTGAATGCGACAACGAGATTCGGTGAGGATGGGCGGACTGTCGCGCTAATAGCGCTAGCTAGTTGGGTTAGGCAACAAGCTGAGGCGCCAAATATAAGGATTGAGCGGCGGCCAACAAGGCACGAGATGGAAAACATGCCAACCATGACACCAAGGAAGCCGATGCAGGTATTCATGATAGAGTATTGGAAAGATCTGGTTACTCCGATGACGGAGTAGTAATAAGTGTTGTATCCAATGATAACCCAAATTCCAGATGCGGCTTGGGAGGCCATCATGCAATAGCAGAGGATTGTGCGGCGACGATCAATTCCTACGGTTTCCAATTAGCAACATTCTAGAGGTGAGCTTCTTTAAGGACAATAATACGTGCCTCTGAACATATCCAAGAAACCAACACTCTTTGCTGCTTCCCTTTCTTCACCCACGCCTCTAACCATCTCAGCCCACTCAATCTCAAGGCTCGTCTGGTCTGCATCGTTTCCTCTTAGTCGTACCAGGGACCGTTGTGCCTGTTCTTCCCTTCCATGATGTAGTAGCCATCGAGGACTCTCGGGAACGAAGAAGAGCGCCACCGAAAGAAATGTGGGGACGATAAACAAACAGATCAACGGAATTTGATAAGATAACTTATCCATCCGCTCTTTGGTATAGTAGTCCACGACGGTCCCTATAATAGAACCAAGGTTGACCCAGAATGCGAATAGTGCAACTGTAATGCCACGTAAATGTGCTGGGGCCACCTCGGCGGTGTAAATATTCGAAAATGTAATAAAGAACCCATTTGCAAGCCCTATAAGAAGTCGTCCAACATATAGGACGTTGGGTGTGGTGCTGACAATTTGAACAGCACATGCAGCAGCATTGAGAATACAAGCAATCCACAGAGCAGAACGCCGGCCGAGAAAATGGGAAACAAACCCTGCTGAAAGTGACGAACTAAAGGAGCCCAAGGTGAGCAGGGAAGATATCAGTTGCTGGACAGTGCTCTTTGTCTTGTGTTAGTAGCCAGAACGAATCCTGAGTAGAGTGATAGAACAAATTTGAGCCTCACATCAATTCCATAGCCCATCGGGCTGCCAGGATCCTTGAATCCGAATACCTTCAAGAATCCGGGCATTGCTTGAAGGCCACCAATTCCTGAGCTGTCTAACCCATACTGCATATTAGCTATCGCCACCGTAACACAGATTATCAGGCATTTCCGATGCGCGTATAGAGACTGGGGAGAGGATCCCATCTTCTGAGTGGTGTAGACGAGGCAGTGCAATTTCTTGATTTGCTGGACACAACTTAGGTTTTATGGATGTGATGACGCGGCTCTGAAGAAGCTATAATACTAAGGGGAGGGTTTTCATCCTATATATTGAGTCCGTCGCACAGCTATGATCTCGAATGAAGTATCAATGTGTTTTATTTGGCATCAGCGAATCGAGACCCTGCCCCACATTTGGAAACCCTATAATATGCGGGTTTGTTAACTAGTACGACAACGCTAATGCATTGGATCCTCAGACGACACGACTCTCCAATGAAAGTCGGTCGGACAGGGGTTCCTGCCCTGGAAACACGATTTAACTATCAGCTGGGTCTGAGTGACATTTTGTGGGGCTCCGAGGCTTGAAAGGTGCGGGGTTTGGGGTCTCCCGCAATCAAGTGATCCAAAGATAAAATTCAGCACACGTCTGATGTTTGAACTATGCACTCGGAGAGCAAAGCCCTCTGATAGTAGACCCTAATAAGGAAACTTTGACTAAACTGCAAGCTGCATAACTACGCCTAACATGCTGGCAAGAAGGGGCAAGCGTCTTTAAGGTAATTATTTTCTACAAAGCATTTTTAAGCTCCTAGATTAAACAACTGGGGGACTTCGCTTATGCCACTGATTTCTTACATTTGTGACAACTCTTGCAGGGAAATTAGTATAATCCTTTATACTAAGACGAACAAATTCCATGTCCTCACTGAGACATCTCGCCGGTTGCTGACACCCGGCGCTCGAACGGCTCTTCGCTAGAACGTTGTTCCGAAGCGCCTTACACAGCCCTGTATGATGAATGGAGTGCAGGAGAATATAGAGTGTCATTATCCTTTTTGTAGGTCAACAAATTTTTTCTAGAGAAAAGATTATTGTGCGCAATGGACAGGACGTCTCTTGTTTACTACTGTAGCCTAACTGGAAAGTCCAGTACTTACATTTTGACTGTTTTTATATCTGACCTGACCTGAGCGCAGAGTGCTTTCGTTGAAACTAAAAATGTTGGAGGTAATGAATTAAGTTAAATACCAGTTGAGCAGGGGCTCGTTTCCAGTGGAACTTTATCTCTGCTATTATGAGCAGCGAGTGCCACAGTAGTTAGTGTAGTTGGAAACACACCATAATAATTGACAGAGCGCCATGCTGGTTGTTGGTAGTACCTAGTACCTGATATTTTTGCTGACCATCGAACCTTGGTTTAAACCTGAGGTGCTTATGGGGTATGTTGGCGGCGGATGCCTTTCCAGAAATGTCATCTTGATTTGTCACGAGATTTAGTCTACATAGTGTAAAGCACGCCCATCAATGACTCACCATAGCAGTATTAGTTGAATGATTAATATAAGATGTTATATACCATACCCGTTCCATACGAGCCAGATAGTAAATTATCCCGTCCACTGATTGATCCCCACCTACAACCGCTCTGAGGTTTAATAGTAACTATTCAAACAACACTTCAGCTAATGACTGCCTCAATTAACTACACCTCTTCTAACAAGCCAATCACAACTATTTGGCTAAAGAACAATTAAAGGTTATAAATACGAGAATAGAGGAGAAACATTTGCCTTATAACGTGATAGCTTATTGAACAGATTTAGAGTACATAGACCTTTTCCCCAACATGTGGTTTCTACTTTATTTGCCAGCTAGCAAGGTAAGCTTCCTTTTACAAACAAATTGATGAGACCTATCTACTCAGTCCATAGCTGGCGATAAAAGATGTAATGGCTAAGATATAATCTCGCCTTGCAATGTATCGAACGGCAATTCCCCAACCATCATATCCTCCTGCAGAACGACACACCGTATTTCTGCGATTCGGCTGGCTGACAGGATATTGTCACAGGGCCGCTATCTAAACCTCATCTAAGCCTAGATGCGGTAACAGCCTATCCCTAATGTAGTCCTCCGCTGTGTGCAACTTAATTCCCAGATTGATCACCTCGGGAGTGGGAATCTGCAGTCCAGGGTACATTCCAACGGCGTTGTATAAGTCAAGCATGATATCCCGTTCTTTCCACCCAGTAGTGGGAAGGGTGCTATATTTCACCTCTTTACCAGATACTGTTTCTAGGGTTAACCATCTGGACCCTTTCTTTTGTCATGACAGGGGATTACCCACATTTTGCAAGAACTTTGGCAATGTCGCCAGGTGTTTCACGAGCACCTCCAGCAAGAAGATGTTTATGGTTCAGCTCATCTTTTCTTGCGTCCCACAAATCCCAAACAGCCTTGCAGACACCTGCCAGATCCTTTTCCACATAGAGTGTTACGACTAAGTTGGAAGAGGTCTTTGTGTTAGTTCAATTTCCCAAATGACGCAATGGGAAGAGGGGGCATACGTTCAGCATCAGCTGTAATTACAGGACGCTTCATCAGAATCAAGTCCTGTTCCTTGTCATAGGAAACATATTTTCGAAGGATCATGTTCTCATAAAAGTTACCAGTAAGGATAAAAGCACCAGGCAGGTTGTGCTCCCGGATAATTGCATCAACGGAGTGTTTCCCTATCTCCAGTCAGTCATAAGCCAACAATATGCCTATCTTCGCATGCCTCCAATGCACTAGGCCGAGTGTAAAGAAGATGTGTTAAATAGTATGCCTCTTACCTTCATACAAGCGAGTCACAAATTTGCCCTTCGAGATTTCCGCTGAGCTTGGCAATGAACTCCACAAGAAACATTGCACACCGGCCTTGGCTGCGGCCTGGACAAGGTTGTTACCCTGCTGCTCTTCGCTCATCGGATCATCCGCGACATCCTACAAGAACCGTCAGCATAATCCCCCGCTCCCTTCTACGCAGCGTTGCGGGTAGTAGACACAAGAGTTGTCACGTACCGTATCGTAGAAGTCTGTCACCCCCCAGACACCCCACACTCCAGCCATTGCGGCTTCCAGAGTGGAAGGTACCGTCAAGTTCCCTTGGACCAGATGGGCGCCCAATTTTGCGAGAGCCTGTGCCTTTTCGGATGTAGGAGTTCGAGTCAGGCAACGCACTTCATACTCTTCCGGATATTGTAGGAGTAACTTGGCAATAGAACCGCCTAAGGTTCTGTCGGTCAATTTTGTCCAAAGTATAAGGGAAATAATTTCCAGTCTCACCTTGTGTGCCAGTGGCACCAGTAATTAGAACAAGCTTGACCATTGTCTCAGCTAGATAAAAAAAATGTAGGCACTTCTTGGTAAAATAGCGTTTGGTATTAACTGGAAAGGAAAGGATTCACCTGTCAATTAAATACTAAGTTTGCCTCTTCTGCTGTAACTCTATGCTTACATATCCGGCTTTTTCCACCTTTTTTTCTTCTTTGTGGGACAGCTACAAAGGAGCCCTGGGATTTTTCCAGTGTATGTGGGGGTTTTCCAGTACTTCCCAATAGAATTACAGAGACCGCTCCAGGGACCGTCCAGCGTTAGAGAATATGTTCTTATGTATTTATGTGGGGCATAGCTGTCTGCTCAATCTAATGTTATCTTCTTAATGTGAAGCCATCTTTCTAGTATTTAATTGAAATTTGAGAAGTAATTATTATTATGATGATGATGATGATGATGATGATGTATTTATTTGCCCGGTGTAGCTCGCTCTAAATATATGCTGCTATGCGGGAGTGCTCTCAGGCCTGCCGACAGTGGTTGCCAGCCCACCGACCGACGGTTTCGTGGGGCTCGCTGATTGGTCGTCTTCGGGGCCCCAGGACCTCTGATTGACGAAATATCTCAAGAAACCGTTTTTGCCAAGGAAGAGTTATCTCTCGAGTGGAACTTGAGAAGTTATTATGTGGACTTGTATTAGAGCGAGGTAGCGCCAGTGTAAGCTCCAGCATCCATTAACAGACGATTATTAAACACTGACCGGTTTGACAATGGATCCTCCTGTGGTTATCAATGTAGTTTGAAGGCTCCAAGTTCGAAAAATTCAGGGCCTATTTGAATAAATACAATCTCCAGATCCATGTAAGTTAGGAAATCTCCAAAATGCAGTAAGCATCATTAATCATCTTGCAATATATTAACCAATGAAGTTTACATGTATGTGAGCGTGGGAAATAGTACCCTGTCTGTGCCATCTCAATCAGCGTAGATCATGGTGTTGCGGCTGGGGGTGCTGGCCTTGCAACAGCGTTGATACTAAGCACAAGGCCTGTCTTGAGGTGGTGGCAAATGAAATCGTTCTCAGTTCTATGCGTTACCAGAAGAAGTATGGAATACTTCGTTTCTAAGTTAGGGCCAACTTTGCCACTTTACTTTTATCGATGAGGAGGCCCTAACGGTCTACCCTGTTATACTGTCTTTAGCAATATAGGAACTAATTGGAAGGAGGCAAAATATGGCCCGAAAAGAAATTGCTGTTTCGTGGAGAGTCCCGATATCTCCGCACCTCACGGCTAGCACGGATCGATTATGCCGATGCTGCAGGTTGTCAGGGCTGGAGGTTCAGGGCAGCTGTGGGATACGGGTCATACCCCACGAACTCCGCCCTCCCTGATTTTGTGGGAAGTGAAAACTTGCAGTGTACCTTCTTATTTTGTGTTCTTAATTTTTCTCCATAAGCTCAAAGTACATTCGCTTAAAGTGGACCGTGTCAGGGTAACTACGATTGATACCTCCGCTTGGTTGGTAGCGAGCCAACTCCATCAATCCAACAGTGCACCAGAATAAGTTGATGGCCCGGCCGTAAACCCGACCTTTTTCCTGTCTCTCTTGCTCAACCCAGCCATATCGAAAGACATGGCGTCTAGTGGACCTGATGTCTGTTGTCAGCAAGGCTTCAGATACGAAGGTCAGCCCCAGGGAGAAACCAAGCAGATCAATCTTTTGCCAGGCTCAACATCCACAATTCATCAGTTCAATGCTTATTTCAGCTATCCAGAGCCTGGTCACAAAGGTGATGATGATAAGGCTGTTCTCATCCTGACTGACATCTTTGGTCTGTACGAAAATACTCAGCTGCTGGCCGATGCATTTGCGGCCGAGGGATACTTGGCGGTAGTTCCAGACCTCTTCAGTGGTGATGCTGCTACCTTCGATGCTGTTCGCACCGGCACATTTGACCAGCAGAGCTGGATCTCACAGCATACCACTGCTCAGATCGACCCCGTTGTTGCATCAATTATTCACTATCTAAGGCAAGAACTTGCCCTAAAGAGAATCGCCGGCGCAGGATACTGCTTTGGCGCGAAGGTATGTTATTTGTCATCCCAGCTTACTTGTGCGTTGTACTATCCCTAGCTGACTAGTCTCATTCTTGATAGTATGTCTGTCGTTTCTTAAAGCCAAGTGGGTTGGATGTAGGTTACCACGCGCATCCTTCCTTTGTAACAAAAGAGGAGTTGGCTGGTATCTCTGGCCCGATTTCTATTGCCGCTGCTGGTAGGATCTATCATCTTTACAAAGTAGCCATCACCCTGGCTAACCCATTTTGACATTAGAACATGACCACATTTTCACCACCTCTCTCCGTCACGAATCCGAGGAGATTCTAGCCAACAGCCAAGGTGCCTGGCAATTGAATTTGTTTGGAGGTGTCAAACATGGATTCGCATTGCGGGCTGATCTGACAGATACTCATCAGAAATGGGCGAAAGAGCAGGCATTTTATCAAGCGGTATCCTGGTTCCGCAAGTATTTGTGATTAAGCTGGTTCGATTATGCGCCACGCCTTTGATCTAGGGAATCGCATTGGTACAGTCAACAATGTAATTGATATCTCGCCTCAGTTTCATTTGGGAATTGGGTATACTATCGTTGATAACGTGGAGCCTGCTGCCCTTTTTATACTCACCAATATCTTGAATGTAGGCGAGTATCTACTGAAATGGGCATACAAGAAGTCAACATAGTTTCGCCGGCGCACGAAACAGCACATCAACCCGTTAAGTGTAGCGCCTGGACCAAAAATCAAGAGAAGTGTAGCTCAACGGTGTGGTACGAAAGCAGTCTCATATGTGGGCTCTGTTGCCCACATACTGAACGCAGTAGAAGCTAGGACTCGTGGCGCGTAATCAATGTTTGACGAGTCTTAATTTTGTGGCTATTGAACAGATTTAAGTCACTTGTTGAACAAGTTTCTTGAATGTCATCTGGAGGAGGTCTTACAACGGAGTAGCCGAAGCGTTAGGGCGAATGTGGACGGGACGAGGCCAAGTCATACGCGGCGCTCAGATGGGTCGGGCCTGGTTGTGTTACTCTAAGTAAGCGTAAAATTTCGTAAATTCTTGATGCTTCCAAGAGAGTTACTTCAACATGCGAGCAATTTCCGACTTAATAGAACCACTCCCTTACTACCAGAGCTACTTGCTTGTGACTAAACCGAAGGGAATAGCTTCCTTGCTTGACATAAGAGTAATGGCTGCCCCCTTTCCCTTCCTAATCCACAAATGAAAACCACCGTGCTGACTTTAGCTATTCAGGCGCCGGGGCCCACCTTTGCCAAGATGAAAGGAACGGAGAAAGAACTGATTAATGAGTTTGATGTTGCTGAATGGGCCAAGGATAAGCGGGAAGCCTCGCAAAGTATTGTCAGAAAATGGGGAGGCAAGGAAGAAGTCTTTGACTGGGTGGCTTGGGGACATCTCCGCTGGGGTACGGGAAGAGCTTGGTCGACTCTACTTTCGGTTGGGAAAGCCAGGCGATACGTCTGGACACCGTATGATGATACTTATATTACCTGGATCAAAACTTACAAGGTGCTGGAAGGCAGCTGAATCTTGCCCAAGCCCCGTGATGTTAAGTGAGCTTTAATTCTGTGTATCTATGCGCGCAACAACTGAGTATGGTGCTCACTGCAATTGAAAACACTGCGTGTGTTTTTAACCCTACAATATTGCCAATACTAAATGATATTCTCTTCATAAAAGCAAGATGCAAATATGCAATGTGCAAGGAGGATATTTCCGTTAGTGAGATGGTAATAATGACCTGTAGAAGGAAAATCCGGGTATGCTCAATTGCTATATTTTCATAGTCTTTTCCTACTTTGTCGCCCATTAGGCGTTTATCACACCAAACTGATATAGGCCCGGGTTATGCTTCCCAAAATAGGGAGCTAGGTCAGCATGCTGTAGGTTGAAGTAGGCAGAGGTCGTAGACCTGCTTAACTTGTCGAGTCCTTAGAACAGAAAGAGTAAAAAACATGTTTTCAAAAATATACCATCCACGTGGGAGCTGCATGACAACGCTATATACTGGCTGGTTTGGTCCCCGCGCAACAACGAGGCTAAATCAGAAGCGGCACCCGAAGTCTACGACACGCTAACGCCTATTGCCTTGTCATGGGCTGAGAAGTTCCCATCTGTAATCATTCGACCTCTCTGTGCTCGGTGGCTCCCTTAATATCATCGAGCTCACCTTCTCCCGCGTCAACCGTTTTCTTAATTTGGACCTGTTCGAGATCGACTTCTGCGGCACGCAATGATTCGTGATATGCGGTAGCTTCAGCCTCAGCTGCTCTCTCTTCTTGCGACATTTCCGGTCCGAGCAGAGCTGTCAGAAAGATGCATGCCCAAGCAATTTCCAGAAAGATTAGAATCACAAGGCCATAGTCATAGCGGTGCGCATATGACTTCGTTGGAGGTAACGGGAATCGTTTGGCTATTGTTGCCTGGATTGTCGAAGAGCCAGCCGAAGCCAGGTTGCCAAGCTGAGCTGTTAGGCCGACACTTAAGGATTTAATTGCTGGTGGTGAAAGCTCGACCAGATGTACCGGGATTGGGCCCCAGGCGCCGCCAACGAGTAGTTGCTGAAAGAATGCACCCGCCATTATGTTCATGCCTCTTGGCAAAACGAAACCCGGTACTGCTGCTGCACCTAGTAAGGAGACGCAGATAATTGTTAGGCGGTTCCCGAAAAAGGTGCTAATGTAACCAACGGTTATACCACCGGTAAGAGCACCTAGCTGCCCGATGATCGTAACCAGGGAAGTGTTTGTCGCAGACATGTTGGCCTGAGTTTTGAGAAAGGTTGGGTAGAAGTCTTGGCTTCCATGAGAGCAGAAGCTGAAGAACGCCATCAGAAATGTCATGTAGACCAGGAGGACCCAGTTCTGATAACATGTCTTTCCGGTAACTTTCAAGGATTCTTTCAACGTGACCTTGTTAGACTCTCCCCCTGCAGCACGTCGCTGGGCTTTCATCACTTTAAAGCTGTTTGTCTCCGGCAATGCCCATCTGAATGCAATAATGAGAACAGGCGGCGCAGCGCCAAACCAAAACAAGCTTCTCCAGCCATGGGGAGTCGTTGGGACGAGGGCACGGTAGAAGGCAGCAGCAAGCATGTAGCCGATTCCGTACCCCTGCTCGAAGAGGCCGGAAAGCAGGCCTCGAGCATCATGAGGCAGATCCTCAAGTGCTGTAGCAGCTGCTGGTCCAAAGAGACCTGAATGCTGTTAGTTCATGTGCTAAACACGCTCAAAACCGAGATACAAATGTCAAGTTCATCTCACCTCCCATTGCGATGCCATATAGAGCGCGGACACCAATGAATTGACCAAGGGTATTGCAGAAACCCGTTGCAAGCTCCAGGATAATGAATAGGAACAAGTTGAATATCGTGACATATTTCCTTCCGTAATGGTCTGCCATAAAACCAAATAAAAGGGCGCCAACAGATCGAAGCATCAAGGTAACCGCGATACCCTAGCGCCCAAGCTTGTCAGTAAGAACAACATGAACAAGTATCTCAGTGCTCTTACCCAAGTAACAGCCGACGTTGAGACACCAAATGCAGTAGCAAGCTCTGTTACGGTCATAGTCACACTAAAGAAGTCGAAAGCATCCCAAATCCAGCCGAGAAATCCAGACAGGAACATGAGCCACTGGTGGCGTGACAAGTCACACAGGATGAGATACGGATTTCTGAGTTTTGTCTGTTTTGTGATCATCAGCAGGTCAGAAGTTGCTTGAGAAGAATACCCTTTCTTCGCTCGGGACAAGTCTAATTACCTTTGGGGGTCGCAGACTGGAGATTCGAGTTGCCAGATAACGGCGAATCTGGGCTCCAGAATAGAACCACCCTGCATCCATACGATTCTTCATGGTGGTCAAGTAGTTATGATTCCTGCTCTCTCGTATGTAGAGTAACTGGTGGAAAAGTGTCGTAGATACGGAATCTCGCCTCTGTCAAGGTTGCCAGGAATTGCCACGGTTGTGAGTCCGACTTTAAAGGCATCCATAGTGGTAACATCTGCAGTATATTTGACGGACGCTGTTTGCTGCCAAGAGATATCGGTAGGAAGTCAAAGAAAGATCAACCCACGAAATCGTTGTCGCTTGATGCCGCTTCGATGGATGAGCGGGATCGGTTATTGGTCTTTTCCTGGGCCAAGACCCTCGAGAATGCCAAACCTACCGAAACTCTGGTAAGTACCCCATGGGGAAGCCTTCAGGGTTCGGTTCTGGACCGGCCATTATGGGCTGAGTGGCGCACCCATCAAATTTCATTGGAAGCAAAACCGAGAAACGCGAGAATTGTCGACCCCACAAAGTAGTTAATTATTCGCTCAAAACTTTAGGAAGGAAATAAGCTTTGGCCATGCCCAAGACACGACCATCAGCTTGAAAAGACCCGAGGCTGGATCACGTCCCGGCCATTCTCTATGTGGGTTCAAAGGAGCACTAATCCCACACTCGCGGTAAGGATCAACTCTAATGGCTCCCCACCTTACCCCACAAAAATATATATTCTTGTAATCCACGACAGCGAACCATGCGCTTGAAGCTACTACAGCAAATTTTATCGATGCAGGAAGGATCCTTTTCGGTTTCGCTTTTTACTTTTCGTGGATATATTTAAGACTAATGGATTGGATATTGAGATTCATGACCCGCAGCCTTAAGTTGCTCTCTTATTAGGTTGGTCATTGGGCAGCTGAATGGAGCAATACAAATTCGACGTGACACAACACTGGAATCATGAACTTGAAAGGAAGAGTTAGAGGCTGGCCTTTGGCACCAGCAGCACTTTCTACTCCACTTGGATGAAGAACACAGATTCTTGGTTTTGACATGCACCAGACTCGATAAGACTGGGTGTTGGGTTCGTACAGAACTCAATCCAAGGGTGTTTGTAATCCCTCTTCACGAGGCACGTGCTCGCCTGCTGATTCTGTGAAACTGGCGTGGGCTTAAATCCAAGCATGTAAAAGGATTGTCTAAAGAAGAGGAAAATGGAATGATATAAGATTCATCACAGAGATTACAGGAAAAACGCTTGAAATAGATAAACACATCTAAATAAATTATGTTATCAGAATGTTTAATGTAAAAACAATACATCTGTTGATATCTTGATAAATAAAAGCAGAGATCTAGAGATGACTGACAACACTTCATGGATTCACTACACATAGTGAAATATACTTCCTCTTGACCTTCGTTCGTCCTTGGTAAATGCCAATAGTCTCATAGTTCGAATCAACGTAAGAGGACATGGATTACTGACTACTGGATCTCCTCAATCCACCATTGCACTTCAAATTTTTCAGTGTAGCGAATAATCTCAAGCTTCTTGTGGCTTTTGGTAAAGCAAGGAATGCTTGAACGAGGAGCTTGGCTGAGGTTTGTCAACATATCTCCTTCCCCGGTAGAATTTTCGCTCGTACTAAAAATGTTGACCTAGTTAAAATTATGCAAGGTTCGTAGCGATGTTGCGCATGCGGTTTTTTGTTCAAATTACCTGGAGTGCAATTGTTGTATAAGGGAAATAATGCATCTCATGCGCTGAAGAATTTCGTTATCACTACAAGCCATATCACCATTGCAAAAACCCGGAAATCCCTCAATACCTCCACATCTCGTGCATTTCATTCCAAAAGGACATTACTCCTAGTCATGTCGGCCAATGACGCATTTGATATGCTCTACGCTCAAAGTAGTAGCAGAAGCAGCTTTAGATGAGTTGATGGCTATGCTTGACCATCTATAGGTGATCCGCGACTTACCCCGCAGGAATCACATCCCTGGGTTACCCCCAGGCCATGGCTCTTTGTTGAATCCGCCGCAGGCGCACCCGCGATAAAAGTTTCCTTGCCGGGAAACAGCAGATTGCTCGTCAATAAATAGTCCAGGATGCCATCTCAATACCGATATCCAACTTCAGTATGAGGCCCTTGTAGTCTTGCCAGTGCGAAGATGTATTAAACGCCGACCATGGGAGCGTTTGGCTCGTTTCCCTCACAGTCCATGGGTTCTTCTTGCTCAAGGTGACGGTGAGCATGTTGGGGTGATCGGCCTTCTTGCTACTCTTCCATTTCCCCAACGCAGCACATTTGAAGATCAAGTCGGGCGTGCCATGCGGGGGGCCGTTTCTCCCCAGTACTCCATCTGCCCACTCTTTGCCCGCCTGCAATGGGCTGGTGTATGCGAGGCTCAGTCGTTTCTCATCTGACCTGACGGACGCGTCGACTGTTACGGTGACCCCTGGGTTGGAGGCATTGAGATCCACCTCATCTAAGGATTTTTGTTAGACAGAAAGACCGTCAAGCCTACTGTACTTTACTTTTGTCACGTAAATCCTCTCGTTCTCCATCTTGCCGGTGAGCTTCATGCCCTTTATTTGATGATTAGAGTGCTTGGCCCTGATGAAAAGCCTGTCACAATGGGAATTACCTGTTCCTTTCTGAATCGATTTTCACTTGGTCAAGCTTCTTCTCAAGCGTGGGCTACTTGGCACAGGGCTGGTTTGCATCCCGATTTCTCCCAGGCAGAATGCACTGAAGCTGGGAGGCCCTTACCTGAAAGAGCCTTTTTGCAATGAGGTCATGCCTGGATATAACATTTGCCGAGTTACCTTTTAGGATCGGATTACGATCACTTTAATCTGGAACAAAGGTCACGGGGGTCTTGCCGGTGGCAAGCTGTCCACTGTCCGAGCCTCGTTCGTGCTTAATCCACATCAGCAATCTCCCTTGCTGCTTCGTTGGCTGGTGACCAGTGTCTAGCGTGGAGCTTCAGGCCGCGATAAATTGCTACTCGATTGCCCTTGCGTGTGAAATATGCTGCCTGCACTTCCTCCAGCAACTCATCCAAAATTCGATTTTCCCAAGCAAAGATGGTGATTTTTTTTAGCGTCCATAGGTCAAGTGTTGCTGGGACTCGGACGAGGATTGCGATAGAAGCCCATTAAATGGCCTCGATTACGGAAGACACGAAGCTGAATTTGCCCGGGGGGCAGCTAATAGTCTGGAATCCACCCTTCTTTCTCTGGCTCTGCCAGAGCAAACTTTTGTCTTTCTCATACCTCGGATGCTCCTCAGCAGGGTCTTTGTCCTGATTTTCTTCATCTGTGTCGTCCTCTCTATGGCAGGGTGAACTTCGATTTTTGTCACGGCAATAGACTATCGACACTCCTTTAACTGGTTATGTTCCGATGCCCGTTTGATAAAGGATCGTGGAGCGAGTTTTCGAACTTCATATCGATGGAAGCGGCAAAATATAAATTTAAATGCTGCAAATTGTGATAAGCGGAGGAACTGCGAACTTGGAAAAGGCAGAGAGCAAAGTGAATAAAATAATGTGACTAGAGTGAGTTGAGACATCAACGAACGCCCACGAAGCACTTGCTCTCGACTGTGGTTGTTGTGGCCCATAAATATCTAAAATTTTCAACTGTTCGGATTAAATAGCTAACGTTAATAGCGCGTTATGGGGAGCCTTTGGATATACATGTATCACACTTCATTTAGAACCCAAAGCAGATGAATATACAAAGTACTTAAAAAGTGAATTTTGTAGCTACACAACTGATCGTTCATTAGAATATACATAGGGGAATACGATTACGACCAGCTTATTCAAATATTGTGAACGGGTAGAACTTTACAAACGGTATACAGATGCACGGCTAATGCCATTCGCAGCCGAATTCTTCCAACCTCGCTTTAGGTATGCAAATGAGTGGATGATGTAGAAAGCCGTGAGAGAAACAAAGAGCATATGAAATCGGCAGTGAAAGCAATCTAATGACAAAGAACCAACACAATCGTTCCAGGACATGCAGTTTCACTGCTAGGCAGAGTATACAACCTTGGAAGCACAGACAATATGGTGAGCTTCTGATCAGAGAGCAGAAAATGACGACAGTCGCCAAGAATATGCAATGCAACCTCCTCCCCCCACGACTTTAGCCGAGGCTATACTAGGAGCACTGGGAGACTAATATTGGTAATACAGCCGATGGATCCATTGAACAAGACGTATGCTCTCACTCTCTTGGCTGTACACAAATGTTTGCGGTGTACATAAGCGGACCGCGGTAGTTCCATCAGCCGGACGCTCAGGCACTACTTCCACCGAAGTTCTACCGAGCATTAAACGGATACGGTGTACCCGATTGGCCTTCAGGACGCCCTTAAGCAGCTTTGTCACCAGCTAGGAAAGCTTAAGCCTAGCGGGATTGAAGATGTGGAGGGGTAATACCAGCCACGAAGAATCCAGAGGGCACGAGCACTAAATCTATGGAGTTTATAAGCACATTTAGGTTCGACTAAATCCATTAGCTCCTCTCTGCCGTCGGGAAGTTGTATCTATGTACTATACCCTGCGCCTGCAAGGGATATTTGCGGGGAAGGCGGGGAAGTTGGCTATAGATCCATATACATACGCCAAGACATAAAGTCACGGTGGTGTTCAGGGAACAAACAAATGAAGATGCGCTGATTTATTGTATTAGCGTCTTGGTGTCTAGTATACATAGGTCGTGTCGGCAGTTGAGGCATCGGCTGTACTCCGAGCATCCCACGATGAGGATCATATATTAAGCAAGCTTTCCCTTCTGTCTAGGGCAGAATAATTCTTTAGGCTCCGGTTATATTACATTATATCCTCAATATGAGGCTCCTTGCTTTCAGCGCTTGCATTGCAAGCGTTACGGCCGATGTTATCACGTCCGACAGTCACTTTTATGGTCAAAGTCCGCCTGTGTATCCGTCACGTACGTCACTTGCCATATTATTCGAGGTATAACTAGCCATATATGCTAATGTATCTTTCTGCTTAGCTACTGGGACTGGGACTGGAGACTGGGCAGAGTCATACACCAAGGCAAAAGCGTTTGTCGCCCAGTTGTCACTTGAAGAGAAGGTATCCTAACTACACACCCCGCGGGTAATTATCAAACGAACTAACAAATTAAGTCAAACCTTACTTTCGGCGCTTCCACAACTGATAATGGGTGCTCTGGTTTCATTCCTGCTATCTCACGTCTTGGATTCCCCGGACTTTGTCTCTCGGATGCCGGAAATGGACTTCGATCTACTGATCTAGTCAATGGATATCCGGCCGGACTAAGTGTTGGCGCAAGGTACGATATACCAGGCACACTCAGACTGTTTCCTCGCTAATTCCAGTAGCTGGAACCGGAAACTCACGACCGAACGAGCACACTTCATGGCCGGCGAGTTTAAAGCGAAGGGTATCAATATTGCCCTCGGCCCGGGTAAGCATCGTCCTGAATAACACAGCTTCGTGATTTGCGTTACTGACAAACGTGATCGTAGTTGTTGGCCCTCTCGGTCGCGTCGCTCGTAATGGTCGAAACTGGGAAGGGTTCAGCAATGACCCATATCTAAGCGGTGTCCTTGCTGCCGACACCGTCACAGCATTCAACAAACGTGGTGTGATGACCAGTCTCAAGCACTACATTATGAACGAGCAAGAGACGAATCGGAACCCTATTACTGGTAGCACCCCTCAGATTGAGGCGGTTTCGTCGAATGTGGACGATAAGACCATTCATGAATTATACCTATGGTACGTTGCAAATATCTAACAGACGGTCCAAGTGATACTTTTGCTAATGTTAATCTATTCATCATTAGGCCTTTCCAAGATGCCATCAAGGCAGGCTCCGTGAACATCATGTGCAGGTGAGACGAATTTACTTCATGATTGTTCGTGGCTAACAATTCGCCTATAGTTATAACCGAATCAACAACTCATATGGCTGTGCCAACAGCAAGACTCTCAATGGGCTTCTTAAGACAGAGCTTGGTTTCCAGGTATCTACTCTGATTATCTTTTAGTGTTGTAGTAGAAAAACTGATCGTTTAGGGATTTGTGGTTACTGATTGGACTGCGCAACGTAAGTGGTTACTCCAGCCCCAGGTATTTTCTCATTCATCTCACTAACTTTGTATGCAGACAGCGGAGTTGCCAGCGCTTTGGCCGGTCTTGATATGGTCATGCCCGACACTACATACTGGGGCAACAATCTGACTACTGCAATCAACAACGGCTCTGTTCCGGAGAGTCGATTGAATGATATGGCAACTCGGTATGTTATGAACCCTATATTAAAAAAGTATATAGAAACTGACATCACTCAGTATTCTCGCTGCATGGTACTATCTGGGTCAAGATAGCAGCATTTCCGAACCTGGAGCTGGTATGCCCTATTCTGTCATTACACCACACAAGAGAGTGGACGCAAGAGACCCAGCTGCTCGCCCTGTTATCCTACAAGGTGCAGTTGAAGGCCATGTTCTTGTGAAGAATAATCATGCTCTGCCCCTCAAAAAGCCCCAGGTCCTGTCCGTCTTCGGGTACTCCGCCGCCACCTATAAAACATCAGTCCCATCTACCAGTGGACTAGGATCGTGGGCACTCGGTTATCAAAGCACTGATGTCCAACAAATTATGGCTGCAATTGGACGTAACGAAGGACACTTAGTTGAGCTTCAGTCTATTGCGATCAACGGTACGATCATCATGGGCGGTGGTTCTGGTGCAGCAACACCCACCTATGTCTCTGGTCCTCTTGACGCCCTTACAAACCGAGCGATGAAAGATAACTCGGCTCTGTTTTGGGATGTCGAAAGTCCAGCACCTGAAGGCGTCCCCGCTTCGGATGCTTGCTTGGTCTTCATCAATGCGTGGGCATCTGAAGGATATGACAGACCTGGTGTTTATGATGATTATTCTGACAACTTGGTCCTTTCTGTCGCTGACCAGTGTGACAACACGATTGTCGTGATCCACAACGCGGGAGTCCGTCTCGTTGACAATTTCGCTGATCATCCTAATGTCACTGCTATTGTCTATGCTCATACACCAGGCCAGGATTCCGGTGCTGCAACAGTTGCATTGCTCTACGGTGATGAGAACTTCTCTGGCAAGATGCCGTACTCTGTTCCGAAGAATATCAGTGACTACGGCGCGCTACTTGACCCCAGTCTCCCAGAGGGTGACTATGTCAACTATCCTCAAAGCGACTTTTCTGAGGGTATCTTCATCGACTACCGTGACTTTGAATCCAGAAATATCACACCTAGATATGAGTTTGGGTTCGGTCTATCGTATACTTCGTTTGAATATGGCTCGCTTTCTGTTACCAAGACCAAGAAGGCAAACAATGCCGCCAGGTATCCTTCTGGGGCCGTTGAGCAGGGTGGACAGGTTGATCTGTGGGATGTTCTTGCTCGGGTCAAATTCACAGTGAAAAACACTGGCCCAGTGGCTGGAAAGGAAGCTGCACAGCTTTATATCGACACTCCTTCCGGGGTCAAGCAGCTCCGCGGCTTTGAGAAAGTCTCACTGAATGCGGGCGAGAAAGATACCGTCACATTGGCCTTGACTCGTCGGGATCTGAGTGAGTGGGATGTTGTAGCTCAGAAGTGGCGGTTGGTGAGTGGTAAGGTTGGGGTCTACGTTGGCGCAAGTTTGAAGGACTTGAGGCTTCAAGGAACATTGCATCTGTAATCTCGATTATTGAGAGGAAACACAGTGTGGCAGTATATAGCATTTCCCAGTATCTAGTTTTTGTAAAGGTTATGGGATATCTTTTTCTCGATTACCAACACCGGCGTACTCATCCAGCCCTGTTAATCAAACAATGTTGCCTGCGTGAAGTTGGTAATTTGTGTCATCACTCTTGTCCTTTGAACCCTATCGGACTTAAGACGCAATGTTTGAGAGACTGCATTCCTTCGGTTCAGACATTCTAGGGAGAACACGCAAGCTTTTTATAAGTATTCAAGTGGTACAAGAGGCTGATTGGTCATTGGGGTCATATCTCTCGTTCATCAAGCTCAACTTAGACAACAATCATGGGTACTCAACCAACCATCGTCCTGATCACAGGTGCAAGCCGAGGCATTGGTTACGAAGTTGCCAAGCTCCTCTTCTGGTCACAAAACAATTATTACATTTTTCTCGGTTCTCGAGATGCAGGAGGTGGTGCTAAAGCCGCCGCAGAATTGGATTCCACCGGCGCATCAGTGGAACCAGTCACTATTGATGTAAGCGACGACGCTTCAATCGAGCTAGCAGCAGAGCATATCGCCACAAAGCATGGACACCTCGATGTGCTCGTAAATAATGCGGGCATCAACACAGATCTCGACGTCCTCCTGCAGCAGCAAAAGAAGCAAGAACAGAGCGACCTCGGGGCAACACCAGACTTTGCGAAGCTGCGAGAAGAAATAAAATCAAAAGGGACTGAGAAATTCAACCTTGCTCCGCTTCGGAAACTCTTCCGCGATGCATACGAAGTCAACGTCTTCGGCGCAGCAGCAACAACCGAGGCTTTCAGACCCCTTCTTGCGAAAGCCGTAGCCTCGCCACCTCGCATTGTCTTCGTTTCTTCTCACACGGGGTCGATGGGTCTGCGGAGTGAACAATCATCTGGGATCTGGGAGAAGCTTCGCAGCCCTTCATTCCCAACCTAACGCAGCACCAAGGCCGGTCTGAATATGCTGACGCTGCATTATGCGGCACTTTTTGAAGAACAGGGGTGGAAGGTTAATGCCTCGGCTCCGAATCTGACTGCTACGCATTTCTCGCGCGGGATTGGACGACCTGCGTCTGAATCTGCTGTTAATATTGTGCGGTTGGCGACTTTGTCGGTTGATGGGGAGACTGGGACGTATTCTGATGAGAATGGGACTGTGCCGTGGTAGTTATAGGTGTAGGATAGGATCATAGTAGTTAATGTCCTTCGTTTAGCATTGATTACGTTACTCTGAAACATGGATGTTGTTCTTTAAGAGCACAACCCGAAATTTGCCTAGGCATTGTGACTTTGGAAAGTCAACAAAAGGACGTTAAATCCCGGATATGTAGAATGTACCTGTCATTAGTATGTGCTATAGGCCAATCTAGAGGTAGTGGGTACTTACCGGCCGAACAGCAAAATGAGCCTCGGCAGTCTCGGGCTACAGAGCGATGCGGAGATCTTCTCTCATACTTCTTCTCTTCCTGCCCACTCAACTTGACTTCATCATTAACATCCTTGCATAATCAGTAAGTCACCCTTCCTCTCATCCCAGAGCAGATCCCTTGGTCTTCTTGTCTCGGCCTGCGGTCCTGGAAGTGAAGCTCGCGTTGAAGCTTCCCCGCAATAACCTTGAAAGATCGGAACATTCACTGTCATACATCAGCACTACAAAAGTCCTGGGAATTAATCAACAAATTCAACTAACGTTGCAAACCGTTCTAGTCTCTCTTTCATAATTCACCATGGCCGCAGACCGTCTTAGCTCGCTCCTGAGCCACCTTAAGCCCGGCTCCGCCAGCGGCCTCAACGCTATGTAAGTTCAAATAACCTCGGCAGGAATATATGGGCCTAACATACCTTCGAAGCACCCAAAAGAATCCCGACGATGTCGTTATCACACTTGCTCTCCGCACACCCCTCACCAAGGCACGCAAGGGCGGGTTCAAGGACACAGAGCTTGATTTCATCATCTACGCTCTCCTCAAGGAAACCCTGGCCAAGTCCCAGATCGACCCTGCCCTGATCGAAGATGTCTGCCTCGGTAATGTATGTCCCAACAACCTCCCACCATGCTGAACCCCTGCATCACATTTCAACAATCTAACAATCAACCCAGGTCAGCGAAGCCAAGGCCGCCTACATGGTCCGCGCCGCTGCCCTAGCAGCTGGAATCCCCCACACAGCCGGCGCCTCCTCAGTAAACCGCTTCTGCTCGTCAGGTTTGAAAGCCGTCCAGGACATCGCAAATCAGATCCAGCTCGGCGCCATCGACATCGGAGTCGCCATGGGCGCCGAGTTGATGTCCGCTGCCGGCGATCGCCTCGAGAAGCCATTCAGCGAGGAGGTCCTGCGTAACCAGGAAGCCGCCGACTGCATGCAACCCATGGGTCAGACGTCCGAGAACGTCGGCAAGGACTTTGATATCCCGCGCGAGCAGCAGGACCGGTATGCAGCGGAGTCGTTCCGTCGTGCTGAGGCTGCGCAGAAGGCTGGCTGGTTCGATGATGAGATTGCTCCCATCACTGTTAAGGTGAAGGATCCTAAGACTGGGGAAGTTAAGGAGGTTACTCTTACTCGGGATGATGGTATTCGTCCAGGGACTACTTTCGAGTCCTTGTCTAAGATTCGTCCTGCGTTCCCGCAGTTTGGTGATAAGTCTACGGGTGGAAACTCTAGTCAGGTTACTGATGGTGGTATGTTTTATCCTCGTGAAAGAGTCGTTCAATTTCTAACTTATTCGACTAGCTGCCTCTGTTCTCTTGATGCGTCGCTCAAAGGCCATTGAGCTGAACCAGCCTATCCTCGCCAAGTTCTGCGGTGCTACCGTCGCCGGTGTGCCGCCTCGCGTTATGGGTATCGGCCCAACTGCCGCCATTCCCAAGCTGCTGAGCAAGTTCCAGCTTGACAAGAATGACATTGACATCTATGAGATCAACGAGGCTTTCGCTTCTATGGCTGTCTACTGTGTCAAGACCCTTGGTCTTGACCATGCCAAGGTCAACCCCCGTGGCGGTGCCATCGCCCTCGGCCACCCACTGGGTGCCACAGGTGCACGTCAAATCGCTACCATTCTGAGCGAGGCTCGTCGGACAAAGAGCAAGATTCTGGTTACGAGCATGTGTATTGGTACTGGACAGGGTATGGCTGGTCTGTTTGTTAACGAGCAGGTTTGAATATGGAGGTCTTAAATTGGGTTAAATATGCGGCAAAACAAATTCGATGTACAAAGAATGAATATTAACCAACGAGTATTAAACAATCCAATGGTCTCATATGTAAATGCAGAAAAGGTCATAAATCATCATGAAAAGAGTAAATATCCCAAAAACAAGTGACATCACATAGCATCATCCTGCTTCCCAGTCCTCTCCTCCTTCTTCATCCTCTCCTCAGCAGCCCTAGCCATAATCTCCCTCCTGGACTCAGCACCAGACGCCCCAGCCCCAGCCCTCCTCCCAGCCTCATCCTCCCTCAACCCACCAAGAACAAACTCACCCCCCGTCCACCCACACTCATCAACAAACTCTCCCTCCGCACCCTGCACACTCTCCCAATCACGCGGATTATAAAACTCCTGCCCAGAAACACTATGACCACCAGACTTCCAATCCCCACTCTCAACCTCCTTCTCAATCTGCGCTGTCAAATTCCAAAAATCGCGATCATGAGGCCCAAACACACAATGCGCCAGCTCATGACAAAGCGTCTTCCGAATAGTCCGATAATCGCGATATCCATCATACGCATCCGTCCGCAGCCGCAATTCAATAACCTCGCCCTTATTCCGGTTTAGACCCAGCGTCCGAGATTCGCTGGTTGTATGCTCTGCCGGGTTCATCTCTGTCAAGAGCGGGACGGAGAATTTGTGTTTGGCCATTGCGGTGCGAATGCCTGGATCGTCGCGGAGGCGTTTGAGGAAGTCGAGTGAGCGGTCTGGGTTGGGTAGGTAGGAGAGTGGGAGGAGGCGGTGGAAGGTGTAGTTGTTGCTTGAGGAGGAGAGGGTGTGCACGCCGCTTGGGCGGGTTGTGGTGGCCGGTTTGTTGCGTCTTGCTGCTGCCAGGTGCGTTGCTCGCGCTTCTCGGCGGCGCTTTTCGCTGGCGGATTGTTCGTGTAGGTCGGCGATTGCTTGGGCTGGTGTGCCGAGCAGGGTGATTTTGAATTTTGGGGATGTTGTTTGGAGGATGCTGTCTAGCCGTGTTGGGGGGAACGGCGCTTTTTGCATTCCTGGTTTTGGGGCTATTAGGAGCTTTTGGTTGTCTGTTGGGATGTTGAGGGTGCTCTCTATTTCGGTGGATAGGTCTTGTAGTGTTGCTGATGATGGGAGGGCGAAGGTATGCGGGGTACCGTGGTGGTGAACGGTTAGCTCCATCGAGGCTTCCATCTTGATGTCGCGAACTGGATATTGAAAAGGCAGAGATGATCTCGAATAGTTTGCGACAGGGTAAAGCTTATACGTCCCGAATAGGCAGGCGCTGAGGCGAATTCGACACGGTTCCACGGCGATAGCTTGGTCAGCACGGAGATAAGGTCCACGTGAGATTTCCTGTGGCCTCAGATCTCAGGCCACAAATATCAGATGTCCCGTCAAAGTTCAAGGGCCATAGTTCGAGTCACCACATTTAGTCAGGTCAGAGGATTATTGGGTTGCCAGATTAATAATACAACTTCTTCGACTCGAGGATATTAGACTTAAATAAGCCAATAAGGATCACTTGATATAATTCTCACATCATTGGCCACGAGGCTCAGATATCATACTGCTGTCGCCTTGCTGGCTGTGCAGTGTCCAAGTGATCGATCCAACGAATAGGGCACGAAGACGCTGAAGATGCCACCAGTGTTGTAGACTACGCTTACTTCTTGATCCGAATACAATAAATTTGCAAAGCAAATTGTTGAAGACAAAGGCGTTGAGTATATTCATCTATTCATAAGCATCCAAGAAAAAAAAAGGAACGATCTACAACATAACCGTTTGCCATTAAGAACAAAAAAAGATCAACCATGTTGTTCGTTGAGTTGATCGAGTCTAGTCCGTAAAAATCTGTGAAAAGTTCTTTTCGTCATACCACGCCAACGCCCACCTCAGAACCAATGGAAGCAATAAAAGCCATGATCCAAGTATGACACGCCGGCGCGGGTTCCCATTTCCATTCCCATAACCAGGTCCAAACGTAAGAAAATCAGTGAACAATTATGTCATCTGATTTACTGCTTGTCCTCGGCTGGAGCGTCCTTCATCTCGGAGTCACCCTCAGCGTACTTCCGAGCGTTCTCCTCGTTCTGGGCGGCGGCGTCCTCGGTGGCCTTTTGGGCAGCAAGCTCGGCGCGGCGCTTGGAGGCGGCGGCCTCCTCGGCCTTACGGATAACCTCGCGCTCAGCCTCGACCTTCTCCTTGTAGCGCTGGATGATGGGGCCAGCGATAAAGCGGATTTCGTCCATCTTGGCGACGTAGATGGACTTGGTGGTGTCGTCACCATCCTCATAGAGCCAGTCCTGGAAAATGGTCAGTATATAAGTTGTGATAGAATGATATATGTAAACTCACCTCGGTGGCGCTGAGCTTGGCACGGAGCTTCTCCTTCTCCTCGTCACTGGCGAATTCAGAGTAAACGCCGTCGATCTTGTCACGGAGTTCGTAGATTGAGGCCTCGAGCTCGTTCTTCTTCTCGTCGGTCTCGGCGACGAGCTTGTCTTCCATGTACATAGAGTTCTCGCGCTCAGTCCAGGCAGCCTTGACGGACTCGTCGAAGCCGCCGGTGGCGGAGGTGATGGGGAGGTCGCCCTTGCGGACCTGCTTCTTGACCTTGCGGGTCTTCTTGGGCTGCTCCTCCTTCTCGTCGGTGTCCATAGCCTGGAAATGGTCAGTATAGCTGCTACGTGTGTGGGATCAGATAACACTTACATCACCCTCCTTCTTTTCTTCCTCAACGGGCTCCTCAACCTCCATATCCTCAACGTAGTATCCAGACTCGACATTCAGGATACCGTGCAAGTTAAGGCGGGCCTTGAGCTTGCAGATCATGAAGTCGTTGTTGGCATCAGCCTGGACACCCTTGACGGAGAAACGGCCGATCCAGGGGTTAACCTTGCCGGGCATGGTCTCGGCCTGGGAGTAACGAGCCTCGAGGTCGAAGGGCTGCTTGCGGTAGAAGGTGAGGATCTTAGTAGAGGGCATGACGTTGCCACGGCTGAAGACGGTAAGGCTGGTGTCCTCATCGGGGATCTCAGGGGACTGCTCCCAGGTGAAGTCGATGGGGTAGTTAACGATATCGTGAACGGAGAAGTCACGGACACGGAAAACGGGGGAAAGGGTAGCACAGCTGAAGGCACAGCCACGAGCAATGGCCTCATCCTGGTTCAGGGTGAAGGAGAGGGTCTTGCCGAAGTAGTTGGTGAGGGTCTCCTTGATGGCGGGGACACGAGTGCAGCCACCGACCATCTCGATTTGGTCGATGTCAGCGGCGGTGAGCTTGGCCTCGGCGAGCGCCTGGTCAATGGGGACAGTCAGACGCTCAAGGAGGGGCTTGACCATGGACTCAAGCTCATCACGTTTGATCATAGCGCGGACATCGGTGTCCTCCATCAGGGACTCGATGTTGATGGGGGCCTGGGGGTTAGCCGACAGGACCTTCTTGAGCTTCTCAGCGGCGACGAGGGTACGGGCCCAGGCCTTGGGGTGGGTGCGGATGTCGACCTTGAACTTCTCCTTGAACTCATCGGCAAGGTGCTCGGTCAGGGCCTTGTCGAAGTTACGACCACCGAAGTGACGGTCGTAGGTGGTGGACTTGACGTTGAGCTCACCCTTGCGGAACTCAACAATGGAGCAAGTGTAGTCACTGTAACCAATGTCGATAAACATCACGCGGCGGGGCTTCTCCTCGGGGCCGGGGAGGTCCAGCTTGGTGATACCCCAACCGAGAGCGGTGGCGGTGGTGTCGTTGATGAGACGGAGGACGTTCAGACCGGCAATGTCACCGGCGTCAATCATGGCGCGGCGCTGCACATCGGTGAACCAGGCGGGAACGCTGATGGTGCAGTCGGAGACGGGAAGGCGCAACTCCTTGGAGGTGATGTCCTTGATCTTGCCGAGGAACATGGCGACCAACTGAGTGGCTGTGAACTTCTCCTTCTTGCCGAGGTAGTTAACCTCGACACCGGCCTGGCCGTCGACGTCGACCAGAGGTGCTGTGTTGTATTCCTGCTCAATGGCGACATCGGGGTCGTTGAAAGAGCGGCCGATCAGGCGCTTGAGAGAGCCGACGGTGTTCTTCAGGTTGGAGATCTCACCACCCTTGGCGGCCTCTCCGATGTGTCTGCTGCGGGCAGTGAAGCCAACGAGGGAGCTAGAATAAATAGTTAGTCCTCCATTTGCAAATGTATCAGGGCGGGGACTTCGGGGTAGAACTCACGGTGTCTGACGATTGGAAACCTCATTGGTAATCTAGAACATCAAAAATCAGGTTAGCGCCAGGTTTTCAGGTATTGTACATGGGGTCTCGATTCATCTGGACAGAAAATCGCGAACCCGCATTGGGGACGTGGGGCAGTACGCACAATGTCAATGCCCTTGTTACGGGCAACACCAATCTTGGTGCTCTGCGCACCCAAATCTATACCGACGACACTCATTGTGGTAGAAAGTAGTGAGGGATGTGAGGGGAGATGGTGGAAGGATGGAGGTTCAAGAGAGAGAAGAAGCGAGAAGTCGGAGGGGAGAATTTGCACGCCACTCCACTATTATTGGAGGGGCGATGGCCGAGTTGTCAAGCGGTCTGTCAAAAAGGGAAAAACAAAAAAAAAAAGTATGGGGTATTTTAGGGGTATAAAGTAAGGCAAAATCTTTCAAAATAATAAAACTTCCAACATTCAGCGATCTACCTAGACTACATATAACTACCATCAGCACTTTGTGTTTTCACATCGAACCTTCTGGCGGCTGCTGGACTACCCACCTTCACCGCCCTGGTTCCCAGCAGAATGGGGAAAATCTGGTCACCGCTCTCAGCTACATCATAACCCTACGAGAATGTGTCTACTCTATTGTTTGATATCTGGGATGAATGTTGATGTGAGAGTAAATATGCACCACTAAAGAAAGAAATGGCCAACACAATGCCTATCATAAGAATAGTGGCTGGAAATACATGAGAGAACAAGGCAAACGTGTGGAACTGAGAAGTAAAAAAAAAAAAAAAAAGAGAAAACTGACGTCAGGTAGAATATCATATGGTGGGCCATGGTGTCCGGGCTATCTTCGCCTCACTTGTGGTTGAAGACTTCTTCACCTGGAGCGATGTTCTCGAGGCGGTTCATCTGGTAGACTTGCGCCGGAACCTCAAGCTCTTTCCGTTCAGATCCGGACGCCATAGACTGAATAGCATCTCCGTCATCTCCAGCACCACAAGGGTCATCTAGGTCATGGATACTTATTGTGCCCGTTGATGCCTGACCTTGGCGGGCATAATAGAGTTTTTTCTGGTCCTCCTCACTCATCATGAGGTTGTCCACGTCTTGTGGCATCTGCACGAATCCGGAGCGACAATCTGACGATGCGCTGAGCACTGATTCTGTCGAATAGCGAAGGCGAGGTGGTAGCTGGCACTCAGGATCTTCCATGGCATTGACCATCAACGCTAGCGCAGGCCCGGATCCGGCAGTGTTGACATAGAAGCCATCTAGAAGTTGCTCCGCCGGTGCAAATCGTCCTTCCACTCTCTCTGATGGTCGGATGGGGACCGATGTCCGTCGTACTTGGTTGCTTCGGAATGTGTCGACATCCACATTGAGCTCATCGCCTTGTTGCCTCGCCCGTTCAGCTGCTTCCGCCGGTGTGGTATGGTCGTCCGCCGTTGCAGCATCGGCCCGTGGTCCTCCCCATGTTCGCTGACCGGCTGTGAAAATTCCGTACACCATGTAGATCCAGTTGAAGAATGGATTTACGAGGAACATGATTGGGTACAGCCAGGCCTTGTAGCGCTTGAGTCGGAGGCCGAAGTACAGCATGAGCAGATAATTCAACCCGAGAGAAACCCCCATGAAGCCGACAGGGAGATCATTTGCCTTTTTCGATGTTGTGAGAAGTGCAATGATCATGATGAAAAACAGCAGTGCCGTCGTGCGGATCGTGTTCTGCATGAAGCGAACGAGACACAGCAGGGGATACCGCACCCACAGCCGGATATCCGTGATCATACAAACCTCGTTGGTGATAAATCCCAGGAACCATCGTCGACGTTGTTTCAACAGACTGCTAAAGTTCTGAACTGCCTCGGTTTTGCAAAAGGCGCTCGTGCACAGTTGAATCTGATATCGCTCCTTCGCACCAATCATGAAGAGGTGAGTGAGCCAGCGGTCTTCCCCAAGATGACATTTCCCATAATCAAAGAGATCGTCACATTGTTCCGCCTTGTCTGAAAAGTAGTATTTGGCCATTTTTCGAAAGGCTGAGAAACGTAGAATTGTGAGAGCGCCGGGAAGGCAGGTCACAGCACCGCAGGCAGACTCGACAGAGCGCTCAAAGAGCTGACCATGGATGTATTCCATGTCCTGAAGAACTGTAAGTAGGTTGTTCTTGTTCGTTGTTGAGGTGATGATCCCCGTCATGGCCAGCATGTTGTGCTTGCTCCCAGGCTTGAGCTCCATGTCATACATGAAGTTTTGCAAGCAGACCCGATCGAGGATACAGTCGGAATCTATGAAGAGCAAGAAAAGGTTATCATGCCGTTTCAAATACTCTGCATACACTTTGTCAATCAGCTTGAAGGTGTGCTTTTGGCAATGTCTCTTCCCGCCATGCTTAAAACGCGAGACGGTGATTCGGGCGCCTTTGTAAATAACGTCGATGCTCTGTGGATAGCTTTCCAGGGAGATCGGGATCCCTAGATGGTGAAGCACTCGAAGATATGGCTCGTCCACAGTACCACCATCATAGGAAAGGAAGACATGGATGCAATTGGCGGGGTAATCGCAATCAACCACCGAGTCGATTGCTTTGATTAAGACTGCAGGCTCCTCCTTGTACACAGGCATCACAACCACGGTCTTGGGGGCAGTCCGATCATCAAGAACACGTTTGATCTTCTTCGCTCTCCCCAGTGAATTAGTAGCCAGGCCATAAACACAGAAAAGCCATGGCCCAACAAGCAGGATTGAAAAGGCCCAAAATGCGAATATTTGAAAACCATGGACCATTTCATGGGGCAACCACACGGTGACTTGCGGTGGCAGCGGGAGGGTAACAATCATGACAGGAAGAAAGGAAAACCTATGAGACTCTTTGGTTAGTCTGTTTGTCTCCAAAGTTATGCAATGTGTATCCCATCTCTTCATCTTCTGGAAGCTTACCGCGTCGCCGAGAACAAAAAGATCATCACGACAGCAAGCACCTTGATGCTCCAATGGTCCGCCTTGCGATAAACCTTCACCAGGCAATATAAAAAGGCGCACAGCCAGAGAATCCATTCGAAAACTGCTGCCAGCATGAGTGGCCCGACAATGCAGAGGTATATGATCTGTTCGAGGATTGTCAGGAAGGTCTCATGGCCTCAGAAGATGAACATACATCTTGCGCCGGCCAACCCTCCTTGTTCGACGAGTCTCTCTGCGCTGGAACCATTTCTAGCTACTATCAGAGAATGGCAATGTGTCAATTGCTCCGTAACCCCGGATAAAATGCACGATGAGAACAGAGGTTTGGTATGCGGTCACTGGTTCTGCGACCATGTCTGACTCGCAGAACGGATGGATGATCAGGAAGAATATTGATGAATATGCTGGTGTACTCTGATGTGTGTGAGAGAAGACAAAGAAAGTTGGAATGAAAACGAGAACGTGACTGCATGTCTATGTAGGCAGGCGCGATGGACTCGACTCTTGCGCGGTGAGAACGGGCAGCTGTCCATGGTGAGATATCTCTACATGATGTTAGTTTCTTCTCTCTTAACTCCTTCAACCCTCAACTCATCTCGTTCCTCAACACGACTATATTGTACATCGTATAGATGTGCGGACATGTCGGATTGCCTAAATGGGACAGAATCCACTAAACCCTATCCGGCCTAGCCTTATGCCTCAGGCCGCATTAAAGCTCCTAAAAAAAATTCCAGATTCTCCCCGCCGATTGTACTCGATTCATCCCATTCTCCCATTCTGTTCTGGTTAGGATATTCGGCGCATTGATAATATACTACGACTTATCACGCGCATATCCCTACCTTCCCCATCTGACTCATCCTTGCGCTTGAGTCACCTCGGCTACTCACTTGCTTCCTACCTATCACTTCAAACACAACAGTCGCATCCAAAATTCGCAATGGCTGAGGAACAGAAGACCCCCATTGCCAACGTTGAGGCAGAGAAGGACGTCCAGAATGTGCTTGCTGAGCTGAAGGAGGGCGCCGCTTCCGAAAAGCCCACTGAGGACGCCGACGAGGCTCGCATTGTCGCTGAAGCTGCCAAGCTCGGTGAGAAGTCGGAGCAGTCGGAGGAGAAGGCTTCTGCTAAGCCTGAGCGCGAGACCCGTAACTTCCAGCGCGGTGGCCGCTTCGGTCGTGGTGGTGCCCGCAACAACGCCAAGTTCGATCCCTCCACCCAGGAGGAAACCGACGACCCGGTGCAGATCCGCAAGCAGGTGCGATCAAACCAGTCTTTTTGTCTCATTTGAACCTTACTAACACGCAAACTATAGGTTGAGTTCTACTTCTCCGACTCCAACCTCCCCATGGACAAGTTCCTGCTCTCCAAGGTCGGCGGCAGCGCCAACAACTCTGTCCCACTTGAGCTCCTGCACTCCTTCAAGCGCATGCGCCGCTTCCAACCTTTCAGCGCTATCGTTGAGGCTCTCAAGACCGCCGAGACTGTCGAGCTGACCGACAACGACACTGCCGTCAAGCGCAAGGTTCCTCTCCCCGAGTCGGTTAACGAGCACGACTCTAGCGCCGTCAAGGTGTATGAGGATGCCACCATGGCCCGCAGCATCTACGTCAAGGGCTTCGGTTTCGGAGAGGAGGAGCCCACCACTCAGCTTGATATCGAGGCTCTCTTGCCCCCTACGGCCCCGTCAACGCCATCCGTCTCCGCCGCCTGAGCAACGACCGTACCTTCAAGGGTTCCGTCTTCGTTGAATTCGCCGACGAGGACAAGCAGAAGGCCTTCCTCGCTCTCGAGGAGAAGCCCCAGTACAAGGGCAAGGAGCTCACCTACAAGAGCAAGAAGGACTACTGCGACGAGAAGGTCGAGCAAATCAAGGCTGGCAATGTCTACCCCAGCCAGGGCCGCAACAACAACAACAACTCTCGTGGTGGCCGTGGTGGACGTGGTCGCGGCGGTCGTGGCCGTGGCCGTGGCGGTCGCGATGGCGGTGACCGCAAGGAGCGCGACTGGCGTGATCGCCGCTCCGAGGACCAGAAGAACGGCTTCCAGGCTCCTCGTGAGGCCCAGAAGGATTCTCGGTAAGTTAACCTGATCTGATGCTCGCTGTGAGAGATTTTATACTAACTAATTGCAGTGGTGTCCCCGTGGTGCAGAGCACCCAGAAGCGTTCCCGCGAGGACGAGGGCGGCAACGACCAGCCCGCCAAGAAGGTCGATGCCAAGGAGTAAAGAATCTCCTTGCCTTCCCATTATTGTTTCTCTGGTATCAGTTGGCGGGACATAAAAGTATTGCGGATAGGAAATCCGGCCGGCCGCATTTGACAGGTTTTTCTTAGAGGTGAACTTTGATACGGCGTTATGTGTTTTATTTTTATGAGCATCCACGCGTTGGCAAGACCCAGGCAATCACAATAAACTGAGGTCAATATCTGAAATGTACAAACGAGATCTGTGATGACACTGCTCGACGACTTTCCATTCCCATTAATCTGTAGCATTGCATCTCATCTTGCAATGGACACATACATCCTGGTCAAAATGCAACCTAGAACTCGAGGTCATAGGCTAGGGTGTCATCACAAAGCTCCTCGCGCATTTTGTGAACCCTACACAGTGTCAGCACAGCAACTACACCACAGACGAAAATAACGTCAACGTTTCAGGCAACATACTCCAAATGAGCAGGATGCACAGCATAAGTAGTAACATGCTCCGGCGTCTCCAAAACAGCAACAATCCCCATGTCGAAGCCCTTAGCGCGGGGAAGGCTAATCGGCAATGGGGGACCACTCTGAATAGACAGCAAACCTATTGAGTGATATTCATCAATACATGTACCAGCTTCAACAGCTCGCTTCTGGGATATCCTGCTAACCTGGGATTTTCCCAACCATTCCCTGGCATATCTCTCGCCAGGCTCCAATTTGTGCGGGGGTAACGCCGGGCTTGAGGCGGAAGAGGACTTGACGTGTATTGGTTAGTGTTGCTAGTTCCTCTCTAGGTGGCTTGTAGGTATATAAGTTATCTGGTACTTACCAACATGATAGACAGGCATTTTGATTGATTGATGAGGATGGTTGTTTTGGCCAGGTCTTACATCTATGATGATGGTGTGGGGGTCATCGGCGGATGTCCGATGGCCCGAAGTATATATGTCCGCCTCGGGGTTGATGCACTTCCGATTTAGAAAGTGCTCACTCTTGCGGGGATCAAGCGGTAGGCTTTGACTCTCATGCTCCGCACAGGCACTAAATGTTAGGTTAGATCGGATGGTGTATCTTGCCTACCGTGTCTATGAAACTCACTACCGGTGTGCTAGAGAGGAGTCTGATTTGGCTGAGGGTGTAAAGAGTCTACGTGAGATGTTCCTAACTATCAATGTACGTTGGAATGTGGCGGGCGTTGACCTTCAGCTGCTAGAGGGCACGAGTGGCGACTGATTTACAAGCTTGAGTTGAATCGAACGCAGGTTGGGTTCTTAGTAGTATCTATACATTATTTGATGCCCACTTGACTTTGCATTTCATTTTTTCATCTCTTCTTCAGCTATTCTCTAGTAATGAGTAAGAGCATGACAATAGCTGTCGTATCGATTTAAAAGAAGTCCTAAGAAGACCTCAAAACTGAAAATTTATTCATTGAGAGAGATCTGACGGTCATTTTACAGATTGAGTTCGAGATTGTGGTTCGACTGGCGTTAGGGCTATGTTTCACAGGATGGAATGATAACAATATATAAGGGCTTAGTTTGATTATACACGGTGGATTTAACTACATGAAAAGTAGCATGAAAAATAGCAGCCCACAAGAAGAGAAAAGACCGGTGCAGCTTAGAGCTTCGAATCATAACGGAGCTCGGGGTTTTGGTGTGGGCCCGATTATTCGTCACTTCAACTTCTTCAAGGTTTCCCTTCGCTCGCTCCTCTGTGCAGCTGGCACTGCTTTCATCTTATTCCTACCTACCTCAGTCCAAGATAATTGCCTCGCCCTGCCAACCATGTTCAAAAAGAAGCCTACAGTGAATAACACCTCTCCCCGCACTGCCCCTCCATTGGAGCTTGCTGAAACCGCACCCTCAGCGCGATACAAACAGGAGCATACTGACATGGCATAGATCAAAAACTTAGCGCCTCTACGGTCATCTGACCGGAGGAAAATTGCGGATCAGATCATCAAGGAATATCAAATCTCCATCCCCTCAACTTCCGCCGAAGATCCAGCCTCTACCACCTCCCCAAACCTGACATCGATCAGGAATGCGCTTCTCCCCGATAATTCGCTCACCGCCCGTTTCACAACAACCGCCGGTCCTGATCTTCGAGAGCTCACAGGCGTCGTGTATGTCGGCGCGCATCCCGACGGCGAAGAGCGAGTGCTATGGTTCAAGCTGGAGCATGGCCCGGGAGCCGACAAGCGACTCTACCCCACCGTCTACACGCTATGGCATAACCCGAATCTGGTCCCTTTGCTCTACACTCCAGGATTCGTGATGGGAAAGCTACATGGCGGGGCTGACCTTATGACGCCTGGTCTTGCAAACGAACCGCCATTCCCCGCAAGGGCGGTCAAGGGTGCTGTTGTTGCGGTCGCGAGCGTGGATAAGCACACTGTGCCTCTTTTTGTGGGAATCTGTGAAATCGATATCTCGGCGCTGGGGGAGGTGCAAGGTACAAAGGGCTCGGCGGTTCGTGGATTGCATTGGGAGGGGGATGAGCTTTGGGCTTGGAGCTCTTCATCACGACCGGGCCGTGCAGCTCCGGAATACCTGGAGGGCTGGGATGAGGATAAGACTGAAGAGCTCGAGGATGGGGTTGAAGCGTTGACAGTTGAGGAAACTGGAGGCACAGAAAAGATTGAGGAGTCTCCAAGGGATGAACCTTTTTTAGCAGAGGAGGCTAGCCCCGAAGAGCCGGAGCCAACGACAAAGGGTGAGTCTACGCTGGATGATAACTGTGGACTTAACGCTGACAAAGAACAGAAATTGATGATGCTTTCGTCAATGCCTTTGTTTATGCTCTCTACAAGCTGAAACAGGACAATCCCTCGGCCAACAACCATGGCCTGTCACTGCCAATATCACCCTCAGCTTTAATAGCTAACCTCACCACTCCTTACCTACCAATCTATACTGCTCAGCAGGCCCAGTTTTACAACATCAAAAAGACAAGCTGGAAAAATGTCAAAAAGTTCATCAAGCATCTGGACAAAACGCAGCTTGTCAAATCCAAGGACCGCAACGGCCAGGAAACAGTGATCCTTGATGTCGACTTTGGTGATCACCGTGTTGAGCGTTTCGTTCCATACAGACTACCCTCAAAGAATTCTCTCGATAACAGCAAGCCTTCCGCATCAGAGGGGAAGAAGCCCGCAGCTACCGATGGCGGTGATCCATCAGTGGGACAGACGATCAGTGTACAAAATCTCTATCGGCCATCAGGAAAGTTGATCCCAACCATCTTCCCCGCGCTTTCCGCCAGCAACCCAACCAACTTCTACAAATACTCCGATATCTCTACCCACTTGGATCAATACTTGCAATCGCAAGATCCTCCAATCATCTCTCGGGAAAACCGACGTATCATCACCGTCAATCCTTTCCTCGCCAACACGATCTTCACCTCGTCTTCCACTGAAGACAAAGGGACGCTTGCACGTGGGAAGGTCACCCGCGACGGTCTTTTGAAGCGTATCGCTGAAGACAGAACCCTTCTCCAGCCGCATTACCTCATTCTGAAAAATAGCCAAACTATTGCAGATGTCAAACCAAAAGCAGGCACTGCTCCGAAGGTCACTGTCACCCTCGAGAAGCGTACAGGCTCGAAGACTGTCACGAAGGTTATGAACTTGGAAATCTTTGGTGTGATCCCTAGTCTTCTATCACAGGAACTTCAGAAGAAGTGTGCTGGCAGCACTAGCGTGGCGCAGGCTACAGGAGCACCCAAGGGTGTTATGGAAGTCCTGGTCCAAGGCGATCAGCGAAAGGCGATCGAAACAGCCCTTGGACGCCGTGGACTGAAGACTCAGTGGATAGAAGTGGTTGACAAGACCAAGAAAAAGAAGAACTGATTTGTTCGAGTATGAAAACATAACCCTTGAACAGACGAGATTATTATACAAATGAAAATCCAACTACGTAAGTGGGGTCATGCTCTGCATACACCAAGAATAGCCAGCTCATAAGTTCCTGGTAAGTTTATATCCACACCGCGTACATCACGAAAGACAAAAATACCACCATGCCCGTCACTAAGTTAGGAAGGTATGTTGATGACGAGGAAGGGGTTGTTGATCTATCTTCCATGAATGCATTGTACAACCACACCAAAGAAGCCATGAGCCCTGCGAGATCGGAAGAACTTCCCCTCCAAGTTCTGCTCGGGAGTTGTGCAACTGATTATCGTTCATGACTCGTAACAGAGGCAAAAGTATGACAGAACCTCAACGTAAAGCCAATGCCAGCTTTCATAAACCATCCACCGATTTGCACAACTGAGACAGAATCTTTTCTACCTTGACTTTTCGAAATAGTCACTAGACAGATGTCATGGCTACTGAGATCGAGATTCTTTCTGATTTGTTTATCAAATCGAGATATCCATGGATGTAAGCAAACCCCATGGCAAATAGCATGTCTGAATGTAAATACATGCCAATCGATGATCATCTCATAGAGTCGATACCATTTCTAGCCTGCTGCACATACTTGTTTTTCATAATGGATCTTTCTATGATGAAATCAGTAAATCGACACAGATACATTGATTGGATTCTCAGCTCCTATTGCAGGGCTGGTGCATACCCTGCATTGATGTCAGTCCTATCATTTCAACGTCATTGGGTGTGGACTGTCTACATGTATGTTTCACCGAAGATTGGTTGGTACCTACTACCAAGGTAAGTGTACGGCAGTCATGAGAAAGATTAAGTGCGAATTATGGGGAGTAGACATATATTTGGACGTGACTCTCTGTAACAACCTTGGAACTGAGATATCCAATTCCTAAGAGAAAACCATTCTCATATCTATTACTACACATTTCTAGTACCAACCTATCCATCATGTCGACCAAAGCATATAAATCAACTCCATCATGCGCCAAAGTCTTGATGCTACACGGTGCGTTGCACCCTATCTATAACTTGTCTTTAAAGTCATGTCTAACATATAAACCATCTAGGTCATGGCCAATCTGGCCATTTCTTCCGATGCAAGACTCGATTCCTGCAACCGAAGGCAAAACAAATTGTGCTCAACGCTCTACAGCAGAATCCAACCCAAGTCCCCGTTGATGTCGTCGAGTTCCATTATCCTTCAGGGAAGCTGCCTGCAAACCCAGATCAATCCCGAGAAGAAAGCAACTTCATGTGGGCATGGGGATACGGTAATATTGACGAAGATCGTATCCAGGGCCTTGAGAAGTCTATTCAAAGTATCTTCCAGTACATGGACAAGTATGGCCCTTTCATTGGCGTCATGGGATTTTCGACAGGCGCGACCGTTGCTGCTATCATTACTTCGCTTTTGGAGAAGAGGAAGTCGCTTTGCAACATCGAGTTTAACGTAAGTGCAGTCGGACAAGAGGATTCGTGTCTCGACGCCTGTGATAATGACGATTGATTTAATTTGAAATAGACCAGCCATCCTCCCTTCAAGTTTGCGGTGTCCTTTTCCGGATTTACACTTGCCAATCCATTCTATGACCCAATATACAGCGAGATTACCACGCCTTTTCTCCATGTCATAGGTAAACTGGACACGATGATTCAGCAATACCAATCTTCAAGACTCCAAGAATGTTGCAAGAATTCGTTCACGCACTACTTTTGGGGGGCACACTATGTACCTCGCTCTGAGGAATTTCTGGGAGCCTTAGGTAGATTTTCCGAGGAGGTGTTGGCCCTTAAAGGGGATACTAAATGGCAACTTGAAAGTGATCAGGAGGAGGCTTGGGAAGACTGTGAGGATTGGGAGGATTCGAAGGTACTTTAGGATTCGTGCTCTGTATATCGTGTTTGTTTTATCGTCAAGCTTGATCTACATTTTTTTTGTTGTCTCAGCCAAGACTCCTAGCGTGGTAATGAAAAGCAAACTATTATAAATGGCTTATTGTAAATGTATGAGCCAACAAATCGACCGTCTCGCGGGATGAGTTATGTGTGTATCAAACTCAATTGTGTAGTGAGACCATGAACATCAGATAGATCTCTAATCTTGCCTACTAAAAGCTGGAGTGATTTTGTCGGTCTCAAACATTTCACCTAGACAGACACATCCATGTATCACATCGGAAACCAATGTCATCCAACAAGGCTGCAGATTACAAGAGTAGATAAAAGGTAGACTAATTTATTAATAACAAAATCCCGGAATAAGAAAAGCAACGCTCTTTGTAATATGAACACCGTAGCCTGAGTGTCTATGATCAAAATACATCGAACGGGGCACCATCTTTTACAACAGGGTGTTGGCTTGACTATGTGGCAACGTATTGCCGCCCACGCTTAAAGATCAACAAGGATGCTGGAACTTGCAAGGCAGCAAAGGCAATCATAGCCTGAAACTGTACCGTGTAGCTCTGAGCAAAGACGGTTCCTGCTGCCTTTTGAACCTTCTCTGGCAGGGTATCTAAAACACCAGCTCTTTCGATGACTTGATTAACCTGATCGGAGGGCAAATTATCGGGCAAATCACTTTTAAGTTTCCCATAGAGGATGTTTGACGCAATGGCTAATCCAATCGCTCCACCTAGGAATCGAGCTTGGTTGAGAGCTCCCGTAGCCGTAGCTATGAGATATAAAGTTAGCAGAGTAATAAGCCTCATCGGTTAATAAGAAAAGAATTGGCTCGCACCTAAGTCTCTGGCTTCGACAATAAATGGCACAGCCAATGTCAAAATACCGATTGTAATTCCCACACCGGCACCAGCGATGGCTTCAAATCCATATCCCTTTGCAGGGTAAGATGAGTTCTCTGGGAGTGTTGTTAAAAGCGCCATGCCAATGGTGTGTAGCATAGATCCAATCAGCGAGAAGTAAACCACAGGTATACGGAGTTTGCGGCTCGCTAGACATGTTACCATAGTAGCCACTGTTGCAACTGCGGCATATGGTATGATGTGAACACCAGCATCAAGGGGCTCGAGCCTGGTGATGAGCTGGAATCTTTGGGCCAGGTAGACGATGACTACATTCCAAGGGCAGCCGCAAAGGAAGTTGGTGCTGTAGCGGACCAAGTGTCAGCCAACATTCATAAAGAGATGTCTTTAACTTGACTTACGCCAACATTCCCATCCATGCTTTATTGTGGAAGAACCGCTTCGGAAATATCGGTTTCAGACCCAGTAGGTAATCAGGTATAAACCACTCCCATGCAAAGAATGCAACCCACATAACCCCAGAAAGAACTATCAAGGCAATGGCAGTTCCCGAAGACCAATCGAACTCAATATTTGTTTCGTTTAATACCGTTACCAGCAGAAGAGACGCACCCAGTAGCAGGAAGGAGCCTAGCGCATCGAGGCTTTGGAAGAGGGAATAGCTTGGTATTAGGGCGGATAATGGCTGTGGGTTTATGGTTCCAAAGTCCGAAGGCATTGCAACGATTAACATAAGGACTGCCAATCCTCCTGGTGGGAGGCTGTTTCGTAAACTTTGAGTTAGCTTTCCTCCTTGAACAAATTAAAGACGGATCCTTCTATATAACTCACTTCAGATAAAAGGCCCACCTCCATGCCGAGTTCTCTGCAACAAGACCACCGAAAATGGGGCCAGTCAAGGACGCGAGCGCGATAGTAACTGCTAGCAATGCGCCATAGAATGGAACCTTCGGTTTCGGAACCAGCTCATACATACATAGAATTGCAAGGGAGTAGATTCCTGCTCCGCCTGCACCTTGTAGTGACCGAAATATGATCCTAATAGCATATCAGGTTGATGCCTTCACGATGTGAGACTCACTTACAAGTGATTCATTTTTTGAGACACTCCGCATCCGAGAGAAAATGCCAAAAAGACAACAAGTGCAGCAACGAATGTTCTTTTGCGTCCAATAATATTGCTTATTTTGGTCCATATTGGCATGAAAGCTAGGTCATTAGAATCTCAAACATGGTAGTTGACGTCGGTACCCACCTGTGTATGTTGTTAAGAAGCCCGTAACAACCCAACTTGTTTTCTTGAAGCCGTCGAGATCATTTGTGATACTGACAAGCGAGGTGCTCACAATTGTCACTTCGAGGTTGACCAGATAGAGGCCAATGAGAAGACTAGATTGCAAAAGTTTTGATCAGTGATGAATCCATAGCAAAAGGAGTGAAACATTATGTACCCTATTGTAATTACCCACAGCCTCCAACCTGTAGGATAATCGATTTGAATATCAGATTCATCCTCAAATAGGCGCCGATCCCGGGTAGCGCTATGGTCGTCGTTAGTTTCCTTTTCCATTCTGATATGCGATCTTTCAGTAAGTAGTATATTACCAAGGAATATACCGGAAGACGAAAATATTTATACACCTATCATTAAAATTGTTGGACTTGAATTCTCAACAAGAACATTACGCCATAGTTCTGTTTGAAGATAAACTTCCACAAAAGGCTAAGCACATCTTGTGCAACCGCATCCGGCATTCCAGGTATCTAGCCCTGGGCTGGGGAAGGGAAGCCCGGGATGGCGCCCGATGAATACCAATTACACTGATAAGAAGGGGCTAGCGACGAGACTTGATTTTATGTGTTACAAGGCGAAACTACCGACATTCCAGTCACGGTATCTGCTACGTATCCGTGCATGAAGGGCTAGAGATATCAAATCACCCAGGTGACAAATCAAGAAAATACAGTCTTTGAAGACTCAAGTTGAAATATGGCAATTGCCCTACAAAACCGATATTAAGTAGGAATAAACTCATTTAAGCCATTGCTTTCGGACCTAGTCAGGACTCTTCATGATATCAAGGACTAAGATTAGTTATATTCCGCAACCTTATATCAAGGGTGATTTTAGTGTTCTCATTGGGTCGGCTTGGTGTAACGACGACCAAACCCCGAGATTTTGCATGAACGCAAGGAACTCCATAATAGGTATTTCTTGCATGGGAGCCATACGAGCCATGTTCGCGTCATTGACTGGTCTTGGTCTTGCATGGTTTTGCATTGCCTTGAAAGCTTGAAAAGAACCTCCTTGATTTCAAGTGTGTAACGCTGGTCATTCCCATGGATGATCTTCATCGGCGCACTCAACGTCAGAATGTGTAGGAGCGGAATTGGCACATATTACCACACCACCAAGTTACAGCATGTTGTGACCCGGAAGTGGGTTTGAGTATACTATCACTGTCCAATGAATCATTGCGTTTGGTACTTGAACGTATGGGCACTGGATATAAGAACCGCATCAAGGAGATTGGTGCCCAATGAGTACTACTAAATGCCAGAGTAATTATACGTCCAGTCTCCAACGAACATTGATTGCTTTTGATCAATTAAACCAAAAATATACTGTCCAGAAAGGATTCATGAACCGTGGATCAGTATAGCCTTACCAGGCGATGGCGGATTTTTGGGATTCCTATTGGATCATCGGCGTTAACAGCCCACATATTCCGTTTTTATCGGTGATAAGTGGGGCCAATCGAATGGCACATCGCCGATGACTCGGGGATAAATAGCCCGAAGACTGGACATTCGGAAACACAAGCATTCATACCAGTTCAATATACAATCCTTGCAAACCATTATGCCTTTCCATGGTCATTATACTCTCGAGAAGGTGCAATATCCTTCTCGTGGGGAAATACTCAGTGGGATCCTGTTTCGTTCGACCAACATCAAGAACCCACCCGGGATTGTGATCCCCGGCCCATATTCATTCGTGAAGGAACAAGCACAACTGCAATACGCAACTCGTCTAGCAGATGAAGGCTACGCAGCCTTGATCTTCGATCCCCGCACCGTTGGCGAAAGCACCGGCCAACCACGAAGATTGGAGAACCCCAAAATGAAAAACGATGATCGCAGGACTCGAATACCTCACGGCACGCGATGGCATCGATGCATCCCGGCTCTTCCTCGACGGTATCTGTCAGGAGGGGCCTGAGTCACTGGATGTAGCATCATATGACAGCCGCGTTGCAGGCGTGGCCTCGGTCTCGGGATATTATCGGGACCGCGAAACCGACATCTACATGATTTGTGCTGGGTGCGTGGTCCGGGAGCCAGGACCTGAAAAAGTAATGCTGGGAATACAAGGGTTTCCGGTGCTAATCTGTCAAAACCTGTTTCAGGGCCGGAGTATGATACCTCCCCCCATGTCTGCAACTGTTCTCGAAATGACTGCTCATCAAGTAGATCGTACTGCCAATTGAAGTCGGAGAAAAATGTCTGGATCAGTATCTCGATGCAGGCTGGTGAAGGTAATTTGCGGACTAATTGCTTGCACTTTCGGCCGACATGACCAGGAAACTGGGTTTGGTTTGAGATTTTCAAGCTGCCAAATTCGGTATTTTCACCTTCGTGCAGCTCTGCGGATCGTAAAAGGCTCATGGGATTGTAGTTGCCTCGGCTGGAATATCTCAATCATTTAATCTGGTCCTGTAGCCCGTTGGCCAATTCCGACCCTGGTCTAGCAGATGGACTTGGTTTTATCGTATCAGTGCGGGTACTAGTCTCTGTAGAATGTGTTGTGGATGGGTAGTCATTCGGCTCAGCACTGTAAAGGCAAAGATTCTGTACTCGTCAATCAGACTCAAGATCATGTTTGTGGCTAGAAGTAGTTATACCTGCTTCCCTCGTTCGACGCAGGTCAACTGATCTAATAGAAGATCGATAGTTCAAGGGCTACTGATAATATGATGATGTTGACCGCCTTAGCACCATACTTCAGGCACCAAGATGCCAACTTCCGATGTTCATATAATGATCTCGACTCTACGAAGAGAAGAAGGCAAAATTGAGCAGTCCAGCAATTCCATTCATGAAAGAAAATGATGAAAGAAACCCGATTAAGCGAGTTTCTCGTCCCCTAAAAGAAAAGGAGGATAAAAGAAAGAAAGGCAAAGAAAACCAGTAGCACGGTGTTGTTACATGCAGTCCTCCCAGAAATCACAAGCCGGACAGGATACCCGATCCAAAGGCCAAACCTGATTCCAAAAAGCAACAAATCATACTAAAAGAAACTGATATATAGACATGAACGTGAGAACATCCATCTTTATACATCTAGTGTCGGTGGGCGCTTTTAGATAGACAGGTCACGGGCGTGCACCTTCTTGTCAGAGACAAGCCACTTCAGGGTAGAGCGGATGACGCTGACGAGCTGGTCGGCGCTCAGGGAGCTGAGGTAGGAAGAGTAGTCCGAGGTGGAGGTGGTGGTGGAACTGGAGCCGGAGGAGCTAGAGCCGGAGGAGCTGGAGCCAGAGCTGGTGCTGGAGGTAGGGACAGGCACAGCGGCAGCGGTGGTGGCGGTACCCTCGGCGGAGGACTCGTTATCAGCGGCGGGGACGGCGCTCTGGACAGACTGGCCAGGGGCGGTAACAGTGGCGGCGCTGGCGGTCTGGATTGCAGGCTGGTCAGTAACCTGAGCAGTAGCATAATCGGTCACAGTGGCATCGGAGGGGGCGCCGACGGGAGTGGCCTCAGGCGCACTGGGCATGGAGATAGAGGGAATGGAAGGAGTGGCGCTGTGGGAGGGACGCTTGGTGCGGCTGTAGGTTGGGTGCGAGAACGAGGAGCTCGCGATGGGGATGGCACTCACGCTAGAGGCGGCGGCGGTAGTGGCAGCGGCAGTAGCAGCGGCAGTGGTAGCGGCGCCGGAGCCGGAGCCGGAGGAGGCGCCAGTGTACAGAGCAGGACCAGGGATGGTGTAGGAGCTCATGGAGGTGTAGATGTTGACCAGAATGCCGGGGTCGGTGTTCTTGTACAGAGCGGTACCGAGAGTACCGCTGGGCTTATCGCTGCCACCGCCGGTGACCTTCAGGTTGAGACACTGGGGGTAGTTCTGGGCGCCGTTGGAATTGCCGGCGGAGTGCAGGCCGATGATCTCGTGACGGAGGACGTAGTTGCCGGAAGCGATGGCACTGGGGATAGTGACAGTGCGGCTGTTATTGGCGGCGATGAGCTGGTCGGAAGCCCACTTGCCGGGGACAGAGCTGTCATCAATCAGGCCACCCTCGTCGATCTTGAAGAACTCCAGAGTGGTCTTGTCGACGGAGGAGCAGTCACCGTTACAGTTAGCCATGTAGGTGATGACGGGACCGTGGTGGCTCTCGGGCCAGTCAGTCCATTGGAGCTCAACGGAGCCACCAGCCTTGACCTCGGCGGAGATGGCACCGGGAGTGGCATCCTTGTGACAGATAATGTCAGAGCTGGAGTAGGAGGAGCCGTCGACGAAGCCGTTGTCGGTGGCTTTCTCTGCCCATCCAATGTTCTCGGGAACACTGCTCATATAGTTGTAGGTGTCAACGAGGAAGCCAGTGTAGTAGGTGCCGTCAACAACAGCACCAGAAACGTAGCCGTGGCCAGCGACCATGGAGGCCGAGGCGAGGACGAGACCAGCAATTTTAGACACAGACATCTTGAAGAAGTTGTGATGAAAAGAACGCACAGCGTTTGGATCGTAGGATCAAAGAGGAAGAGAAAAGAATGCAAAGGGGACTTCAGTCAATGAAGTCAACCCAAAAAGAGAGCGGAAGGTGCTGGACCTTGGAAAGAATGGAATGCAAAGGACTGATGGATTGGAAAATCAACTCAGACGGTGATGCCAGGGCCTTATATGCTCGTCCACGTCGGCATCATAGCTCTTTTCGGTATGGGAGGAGCCGCACCGTTTCCCCTGCCAAGAGAAGCCCATCACGGAGCGCATCAATAGTTCAGGTATTTCTGGTATGGCATAGGTTTCCGTCGCTCTGCTTCGGCGCCCATAGGTGGAGAATCTTCAGCGACTGAGACACCAGCAGCTCCGTGGTGAGAGATAGATGAAGCAAATTGGTCTCTAACGCGCTGGGTGTTCCCAGGATGCGCTAAAAAGAAAATTAATTAAGGTATGCCCCATCGGACAAATGAAAGGAGAGCGTTTGACACTGAGCCCTGCTCTAGTTGGTGCCTGTCGATCCCTGGGCGGTTGTCTGCGACACACCAAGTTTCATCCTGACGGTGACTAGGGCATTTGCTCCCTATTTGGAAGTGATCCATCACTGAATCAATTGACACCTCCGCCATGCCAAGAAGGAATCCGAGCTCCTGCACTTCGGAATAATCTCGTTGAATTCCAGGAAAAGCTTGGTCAATAGAAACATGATTCAGGCGACACGTCTCCACTAGGTAGTCTAGCAGGTCCAGGCTGTCTAAAGTACTGATCAAGTTGAAACAGGGAGAAGTTGTGATGAGAAGTACCACGAGGTGGCAGAATCGAATATCTGGGCCCAGGCCACTCAACGGCTTTTTTCTCCTTTAGAATCCAACCGGTTGATTTCACCTTCCAGATCTCAAAGTCTACGCCTGTTTTCTCCGAGTCGAAGAACTTTAACTTGCCCCTTTGGCTGAGGGGTATCGGCGCTTATCCGCATTTACTCTGAAACACCCGGCACGCCGGCCCGCACGGAGTCCGAGAGCGGCCTTTGACCTGCATCGGTGACAGCGGGCTTCGACTCGGAGACGTTAATCTTATCCAGGGGCTTACGGCTAGCTTCTTGCACATTGAGCTTGGAGTTGAGGACTGAGGCGCTAATCGTTTATTCCCAGATTGAAGCCAAGAGATAACGTTATTCAAAAGACCAAGTGCATGCTGACTGCGATGTCTCGCCATCCCTGGGATTATTCGCTTCCAAGAAACCTTGGACATAGGCTAAGATATATTCGAGGCACGCCTTTCACAAATTCAACGGGGGACAGTGCGCATCACTATCCGGGCAATCACCCATGCAAATCTAGATGCACCGAATGGAATGTCAGTCTCAGCCGTGTGGCTGTCCGTGAACTCGATCTCAATCTGCAGGCTCGCCTCCAAGGTCACGGTAATCCCTCGGGTATGTCTTTGACCCGATCTCTACATATACAGATTGCGACATATACGGGATGTGCCATGTTGAGGGCTGTGCGCAACTACGCCGCCATGGGCTCGGGAGATCATGGCGATCATATCCACGTAACGTGCGGGGATTGATAAGGTAGTCACCCAAGGTGTACTGCAGCTAACTGGGTTACTCAATGGTCGGACAGCCGATTGCGGCAACATTTGACATGGGCATGATAGCCCGACGTCTATCTGGTACTTGGCAAAATACGTAATGCATGTATTTGAGCAGTCGGGTCATTCCCAGATAGGCCCGGTGCGTGGAAGAGAAAAGAACGGACCAACAAGAAAGAATGTGCGGTGACACAAGGAAGAGGTTGGAATGGCCAAAGTATGTAGAGAGATGGAGAGAGGAAGAAGATCAAAGATGCTGTCAGACGGCAGTTGACCAATCAGAGACGGAGAACAGCGTATTATGTGTACCAAATTGGTCACCGCTTTTGGTGCCTGAGGCGTCGGCCTCATAGTAGTTGTAAGATAACATTTCAACGTCGAGTCATCCCCTGCTTTGGGTTATTCTGACTTTGCTAAACCGGTTATATTCAGCTCTTCATTGCCTGATAATCATATAACCTCATATATTCCCACACTGGCGGAGATCCTCTATTGGCGTTCTGCCGGGCCGGATCGGCACTCACAGTTTTCCCGCTCTCCTTTCCTCCACAAGTCCAGGCTGTGACTTTCCCCCCAAACAACCAACCCCATACCTCACCACTTTCAACCCCTCGTGCGCAGGGCCATGGTCTCTGGAGACTGGTCCTGTTAGAATCCGTGTCAGCATTATATCTCGTGTCCCGCACGCGAGTCAGCCTCCGGGAACAGTGAAGGTGGCGGGTGAACTCGACTCCTGTGACTTTTGAGATTCAATTTGGAGAACAGTGAAGCATGGGACCAGCGCAGGCACCCTCTTTACCCGCATTCCCTTCCTTGGACCCGATCATCATGGACGACGATATGGAGTCCACCTTCCGCAACGCCAACATGGACTTCCTTGACCCAACAAACCTCGAAATGTCGACTGAAAGCGC